TTTTTTTTTGATTATGTTATCATAGTAATGCAACTATCAATAAAATTGTGAAATTTAGTATTAAAATATTTAATTGATACTCGACTATGTTAAATTAAATTTAAATTTAATTAATTGAACAAGATTAAACTAAATTGAAAATTAGATTAAATTAAAATCTATCGTTTTCATTTCTTTCTGTTATACAGAATTATGAAATATTTATCGCAATTAATGGATATTTATTTGTGAATTAAATATAATTATTGATTAGAAAGATAAGAATGAAATTTTGATTTATTTGTAAAAATTTTTTTAGTAAAATTGATAGAAGTATTGAGCGAACTGAATTTACTGATAATCGAATGATAATAGCATTTAACAGTTCTTATCTTTTTTGAATATTTATAGAAAAAGAAAGCTCTTTATTTAATTTTTTGCTTCATTTTTTATTTCTTTCTTTCGTTTTTTCTTTTTTTTTTCGCAAGTTTAATAATTATTCTCTTTTTACATCTGTCTTAATTATTAATTCCTCTTTCCTTGGTATTTTAATTAATTAATTAATTAATAATTTCAAAACTTTACTCTTCAAAAAGAAAAATCGCTATATTTTAAATTAAATAACTAATTATAAATAATAAAATTCTATTAGAATTCTATTAACTTATATTCACAATTTATTACTTTATATTTTATTATAACATAACAAAAAAGAAAGAAAGAAAAAAAAAATGCTAATGAATTTGACAAAACTAACAAATAAATAAAATTAATTTTATTTTCACAAAAAAAAAAAAAGAAAAGAAATTGTAAAAGTGCGTGAATATTTCTTTTTTTTTTTTTTTTTTCATTGCTCAGATATTTCGATATTTTTTTCTTTTCTTTTTCTTTTTTTTTTCAAATATAAATCAAATTAAGGTGGAGTATAGTAGTAAGTGAATTGAAGAGAATATGGGAATATAATAGAATTTGTAGTAATTAAAACATCAAAGATTACAATGAAAATATCGCACAGAAAAAAAAAAAATAGGAAAATGTCAATGTCACTTATTAAATCATTCACTTTTTATGTTCATTTTTCTTAAAAAAAAAAGAAAAGAAAGAAGAAATGTTCTTTCTTTTCTTTTTTTTTTTTTTTTTTTCTTAATTTTATTTTTTAATTATATCATTTTTGTGAATTGTTTTACATTGTTGAATTTTGGTTTTGTTTTTGTTTATATTAGATTGAGAACTTTTGTTTCTTTCTCTTTTTTTCAAATATGTTAATTTAAATATTTAACAAAATTTGAATTTTAAATTCAATGTATATTATTGAGTAATTAAACTGATGCAAAATTTAAATTTTAGTTTTTCTTTCAAATGATTAAAATTAAAGTTTGATAAAGTATTTCAATGTTTGTTAATTTTAATGTAATTGACAAAAATAAAAATCGTTTCATTTATGTTTTACTTTGGTTAGATTCTTTTTTTTCCTTCAATTTTTTAATATATGCTCCATCAAGTAATTAAAGTTGAAATTTCAAAATCTAGGTAAAAACGAAAATTTCTTAATAATTAAATTTTAAGTTCTAATCGATAATTTCGACATTTTTGAGTTAAAGTTAGTTTCAGTTAAAATTTTCACTTTTTTCAAATTATGGATGAGAAATGCATAATTTTCTTTTAAATTTTAAACTTTTCAAACACTTTAAGCAAAAAGTTTATAACCATATCACATCATTAGAAGAGTATCATAATTTTAGTAGAATTGAAAAATTTTTCTGCAAATACTCGAAAATTTTTTTCATTTAAAAAAAAATTCTAAAATGAATTTTTGTCTTTTTTTTTTTCAGATTATTTTATTGAATGAAAAATTAAGATTCTATGAAGGAATGGCCTTTAAAATTGATGATGAATTGATCAATATGATCGGTGATTTTGCAAATTTGAATCGTTCACCGGAATTCAAAGTAAAAACAAATGAAAATCCACCAAAAGTAGCAAAAGCACCAATTAACCGTCAATATTCTCTTAATTTAGCTGTTGGTGTTTCGGTAAGTTTGTTGAAATTCGTTACTTTATTAAATTAATAATTAATTATTTAAGTAATTTATGAAATTTTTTAGCATTTTGAATTAATAATTGATTTATTATTTTAGTTATGAAGTTTGTTATCTTATTAAATTAATTAACAATTGATTTTTCCTTTTTTTTTGATAGAAAGACAAAGTATATTGAAAAGATATAAATGATTGGTTAATTGATTAATGATGGATGAATTAAATGGAAGATAATTTTAATCTCTTAGTTTTTTTTTTTCTTCTTTTTTCATCGTCCATCTATTTGATTAAAAAAAGAGATTAATTAGTTAATTAATCAATTAATTAAAAAAAGAAAATTATATTTTACGAATCATTTTTTTTTTTAAAGGTATTGTTTGTTTATGTTAAATAATTAAATGAAGCATTTTTGAAAAAAACTCAAAGAGTTTTCTTTTTTTAAAGAAGAAAAAGAAAAGGAAAAAACTTGTTTTTTCCTTTTTCATCATTAAAAAAAGTGTTATTTAACAAAAAAATAAACAAAAAAGAGGAAGAAATGAATTGTTTTCTGTAATGACCTTTTTTTATTTTATTTTATTCTTTACTCTAACATATTGTAGTAATAAAATTAAATGGTAAATTTATATAAATCTAGAAAGGTTCAATTTGTTTTTCTTTTATTTTTTCTTTTAACTTCACCCTAATTCATTATAATTTCATACTCAACAGTAAATTTTTCTTTGTTTTCATTTTAAACCTTAAACAATTATAATAACATTATTTTTTCATCTATAGCTTTAATATTCTTTCTAACACCAAAGAATAAAAAAAAAAAAAAGAACAAAAAGAGATGAAAGGAAATAAAATTAAGAAACGTTATTGATTAATATCAGTTAAATTTCGAAAATGATTTATAAGCTAAATCAAAAACAAAAAATTTTCATATTATTAAATATCACACCTTTTAATGACTAATTTTAATAAAACTTTAATAAGCAAAAAAATAAAAAACATTGATGATTAATTTAATTATTAAACTTTAATGTGTCTTGAAGAATATATTAAAATTAAAATAAATTTCAGGAAGAAATACCACCTCTTAATGAGGTAAATAGTACAACAAGACGACAATCAACTGGTAAAATATCCAATCCAATACATTTAATTAATAAACGTACTTTCTCAGCTCCAATACAGATGAAAAATGATATTGAAAAAATACGAAAAAAACATGAAAAACATGGAAATTTTTCATTATTAAACAATAAAAATATTGGAAATAAAGAATTAAATTTTGAAATATTAGCAGAAGAAGAAACAGATTTGCTATTATCAACAAATAATAATGAAACAAAATGTGTAATAAGTCAGAATGAAGCATTAACAAATGATAATGTTGATAATACTAATGATAATCTATCTATAAATTCAACACTGTTACTACCACAATCATTTCATACTAAAATTATCAATAATGTGGGTCATCGAGGATCTATCATTCTAATTAATGATGATGATGATGATGTTGATGTTGATGTTGGTGTTGATATTGATGATAATAAGTCAATAAAAAAGTAAATAACTTGCAAAAAAAAAAAAAAACTTCAATAATTGTTTTAGTAATTATTGATAGAAGAATAATTAATGCTATTAATTAATTAAATTTATCAATTAGTTGGAGAAAAAGAAAAGAGAATATTAATTTATTAGTAACTAAGATATAATTTAACTTCATAAATAATGGATAGAGTAAAATTAATGCTTTTTGTAATTACCAAATATCAAGTGATTAGTGAATTTCAGTTGTTGATAATTCTTATCTTCATTATGCCATTTATTATTTTGTATATAGAAATAAAGTTACATATCAATTTTGTTTTACTTTTTTTTTGTTGTCAAAGTACAGCATCAGACATGGAATTCCATTTGTTATTTATTCAAAAATAATTAATTAATACTGATTCTACGAAAATACTCAACTTTACCGGAAAAAAATGTAAAATTAATGCAGTCCTAACTAATTAATTCTGGTCGGGAACAATATTTTCAACAATTAAAATCGTTGAATTCGCCTTTAAACATTTTAAATCCATAAAACTTTTGTAGAAAATAGCGTATATCAATTTTGTTAATGATGTAATACTTTTACTCTTGAAGTAATAACTTGTCACCTATGTTATTGTAATAATTTTCAAGAAATCCAACAAAGGGTACATTTAATAAGAAAAACCTAAAGAACTCATAAAATACTTCTCGTCTAATCTCTTCACTTGAATACTTCCTAACAACCTATCATAATTCATTATTGTTATCATTTTCATAATATATGGGAAATTACAACAATAAAGTAAAATGATTTCTTGTAACTTTGAATGAGATGCAGATGGAACAAATATCATTATTGAATTTTATTATTTACCAAGCTCTATATTTTTGCAACAAGCAAAAGAAATAGGAAAGAAAGGCAAAGCTACCAAAGTAACATTGACAATTGCTGGGTGATTACTCTGATAAGGAATATTTGATCACTCTATTAAAAAAAAAAAAAAACTTTTTAGTCTTCTCAAGAACCAAATTAAAATTTATGACATAGAAATGGAATTAAATACCAATTCTACCTCACAAACAATAACAAAATCAAAGTTAGCATCCTTTGAGCTGCTCGCACAATATTCAATGTTTGAAACAAAAACAAAAAAAAAAAAAAACCAGAGGAAATATCCAATATTTTCCAATCATATGCAATGATTACCCTTCATGACACGAATTTTTCAAAATAGAGATCAACTGAGGAAGAAATTGAAGCAGCTGCTGTCCATACGTGGAGTTTTTCGAAGTTGTTCACGAGAAATGGACAATAACCAATAATGTGATGCAGAAAGGAATGTTGCAAAGTAAGCCGCAATGTTACGTTGAATAAGCGTAGTTGGCAGCTTTATAATTATTAAAAAATCAAAATTACCATATTATCAACGAGAAAACAAAGAAGGATTTTCCATTCCTTCAACCTTCCCGTGTTGCTTCCTTAATCTTTAAGTATTCTTCTGTACCAGTTTTAATTTGCTCTATAGCAGCAATATATTCTGGTGTATTTTGTAATATCGCTTCATGCTCACTAATCACCTGAAATAGAAGCTAATTATTTGCATAAAGTATAGAAAATAATCTATTCAGAAAAGAAGAATAAACTGAAAAAATCACTAAAATGTTCAATGAAAATTATACACTCTACTTGTATGAGTTTTATTTAATGATATTATTATAGTTAATTACCTTTTACCTGCCACTGTGGATAATAAAAAATAAAGATTTCCCTATCAATAACCTAGCACATAAATCATGATGCAGCGAAATAAAATACCTAACCACACCTAATCATTACAAAGATGTAATTCATCAGTATCTTAAAGTAATTAAGACAAATCAATAATCAATTTTTGATTTCGTTGTTAATATCAATCAATTACTAGCTAAAGCTCTTTCAATAGAGGAAGTAAAGAAAAAAGGTCATCTTATGTCGGAAAAATTTTAATCCAAACCTTTTTCAAACTTTCAACCGAATTCATCAACCGTCGGGCACATTCTGGTATCATTTGTTTCGTTTCCTTAAAAAAGCTTAAGCACTTCTTTTCTCATACAATATTTTACTTCAACATAATCATGACTATCAGTTTAATGTAAACTTTAAGTACTTGGAAAAAAAATCGAAAATAATCCCAAAATATGACCTGAATTAATTCAATTTGTTTCTTAACAACATGTTCATCAGCATCGCTACTACCTTGCATTGCTTGCAATTTGATCACTGACTTTTCTTCTTCTTTCTCATAATAACATAATTCTTTTACCAGTCGTTTCACGACACCTGTCTTAATTGATATATCTCTTAAAACTGCAGGATCTGCCATTATCCTGCAAAAAAAGCAATTTTTCAAAATTGACAAAATTAAGTTTTCTAATTTTCATCACGGCATAATATAAATATTTTTCATGATGATTATTATTTTATCCATTGATGCATTATATGGACCCTGCTTAATTGTCATCTATTACTAGAGGAACATTCATTTTACATTTTATTCAGCTAACTTACATTACCAATTATTAACTAATTCACAATTTAGCTAATTAATAATGCTTATCATTACATCGTATCATAAATCAAATTTAGTCTTTTCATTTTTCAATAAAGGAATAATTACCAGATCATTTAATGAATGATTAGCTGATAAAATAAATGAATATTAATTTGCTGAGAAAAAATTGCCATAAAAAAAAAAATGTCAAAGTAATATTTGAAATGCGAAAAAAAATTGAAATTTATAATAAATTAACAAAAATATGCTAGCAAAATAATAGTTAAATATATAGGAATATTCATATTGAAAATTAATAAAATTTCTAGCAAATCACTAAGCGTTATCAGTAAACACCCTGCAAGCGCATGCCTGCACGCTTCTCGACTTTAACAAATATTCCTGCCGTAATTCACGTAAGTATTTGCGGCCCGTGAATCTCAGTAGGCAGGAATCATTTTAAACGTTATCAGCGTGACTAGCTTGAATTCGCATAAGTTTGTAGTATTTTGTTGTATACGTTGGAGGGAATACATAATATTTGATTTGTACTCAATTACTTAATAACTGAATTCTTAATTAACTAAAAATCGAAATTCAATTGTTTAATAATATGCAGCAATTTATTTGCTTAATAATTCATTTATTCAATTATTTGGTTAATTGATAAATGAATTAATTAATTGCATGAGCATTTGATAAAATTAATTAGTTATTTGATTGTTTGATATGTTTCAAAAATTAGCTGATTATCATGTACAAATTGATAAACATTTTATAATTGATTAAAATACAGAATTATTTGGATGGATTATTATTATTATTACTATTATTATTGTAATCTCTAAAGTATCAATATGTAATGAAAAAGAAAATGGCAATTTTTTAAAAAAAAAAAATGTTCGAAGCGTATGCGCAAACGGAGATAGCTACCAGACTAGAGAAATCAATTGATGTATCATCATTGGTTGCTCATGGTTAATTTATTTTATTGGTTGCTTTTTTTTTTTTTTTTATAATTTAAATAACCAAATGATAAGCTTAAAAGATTTGCATAGAAAAGAGTTGGAATAAAAATCCTCAGAATATTTTCTCCTATCACTTTAATTATTTAGTTGCAATTTAATATTATCTAAATTAAGCATTTTAGGTCATGCCGCTAAAGTTTATGTTGGAAGTAAAGCCGGTTATTTGTTGGCATTAAATGGAATTCGTGAAGGTTTGTTTATTTTTCATGTTTTTCTTATTCTTTTTTTGAAACAGAAATGTATTAAAATGTTTATTAATTGTAAATTGTAATGCATAATATAGCAGTATGTGATTTATACGGTACAGCAATAAATTTTTAAGAAAGTAAAAGTAATATTAGAATGTTTTTTTTTTTTTTTTTTTCGAATTGTTTTAAAGTATCACCGTTCTGTGAAAACTGTGTTGATTACAGGTAAGCGTGGATACGATTTGTCGATATGCCGTTCTTTCGAAAAGAAGGCAGTAAATGAATTATGTTGCATTGAAAGGCATGACATACTACTATGTTTAACTGATTCACAGCTTGCCGCGCATGGTCTTTCCCATCCATTTGCCCTAAAAGCACTTATTTCCGATGTTAGGCCCATATCTGCTTTTTGCGCCGGTGTATCAGAGGTATATTTTCTTTTCTCATTGTTCACTAAAAAATTATATCTTTGAAATTATAAAATTTGGTTGTAACATTTGGTTATTTTTAAAAAGTGAAACTAACCTTATTGAATATCACATAACAGGTTATATAGTTTAATAATTAAATGAAATATAATTTAGTATAATTAAATGGAACAGAAATGATTGATCGATATTTTGTCCTTTTCAATGAAGCAATTGTTGAAAAATTTACAGGTTGATGGAATGTTATATGTAGCTGTAAGTGCAAGGAAAAAAATATTCCTTTATAAATGGCTTGTTGATGAATTTATTAAGATGAATTTTGAAATGTCATTGGGTAATTTATTCTTCTTTGACTTTTATAACATTAAAGAAAACCTGCATCTTATATTTTCATTTGCATGTACTGATTTCATTTTGCAGCCTTTTTTCCGGATTCAGTGAACTATATGGTTTGGTGTGGTCCTATTATATCAGTAGCCGTACAAAACGAATATTACTATATGACTGTCTTTCCGATTAAGGTATGATTCAAGTTGCAATTGTTTGGAAAATATGAGACAATACTTATATTCAAGAATCTGCTATGATAAGTTGTAATAAAAATTTCACTCCCCAATTCGTTAAAGTTAAAATATTGTGAAAAAGCTTTTAGGAAGATGTAGTGAATGTGAAAAAATTATTTGATGTTGGTTCGAGAACAGAAAATCCAGTTATTGTTGGATTATCTGATTATAAACAGATTGCATATTGTCGTGATAATTTCTTATTCTTTCAAGAATATTATGGAACCGTTAGTCCGATATCAGAAATGAAATTTTCGGATGCACCACTTAATATTGGTATGTTTATTTATTCTTTTGAAACATCATTTTTTTTTTTTTTAATGCATCTTACTCTCTTTCCATTGATGTTACTTAATTTTACTAACAATAGAAAATATTTGGAAAATAAAGTAAGATAATAGAGGAGGTTTAATCTGGAATACTACTGAAATGTTTTCTCTCAAAATGGATATTTGCAGTATATGATTCTCCATATTTGTTGGCACTCTTAGGAAGTGGGAAAGTTGAGATACGATCAGTGAAACCAACAACACACATACAAACTATACAACTTAATAAAGCGATGTACATATCCACCGGTTTGAGGTAGATTATATACGTCTTCGATTATATACGTTGTTAGAATAGTAATTTTTTAATTGATCATTTAATTAATTTGTTCATCTATCAAATATTTATGTCTTTTATGACCTTATAACATAATTCATCTATGAATTGTAATTTAAATCAAATTTCTTACTGATGCTATTAACTTTAGTTATAAAATATGTTTTGCTAATGAAAACTTTCATCTTTTGTTACAGGGGGACAGTTTATGTGGGAAGTAGTAGTGATGTATGGCTTTTAGATTCTCGGCCACAAATGAAAAGTAATGTAGAAAAGTTGGTTAACGAAAAGCAATTCGAACTAGCTGTTCAACTAGCGGTAATTTATTTTTCTTTTATTCTTTAATATTTTTATTTTAAAATGATGCACAGATAAATCAAATTAGTTTCTTATATTTTCATAATTCTTCTCATAAGTATTTGCAAACTATTCCAGGAGAAATGTAATGAAATAGGTGATAAAGGTGTTGTGGAAATCAAGCGCAGAGCAGCGTTCAATTTATTCTGTCAGAGAAGATTCGATGAATGGTTGGAAATTCATGCTGAAATCAAAACTGGTAGGTTTATAGGCCATCGTAGTTTATGCTAAGACTAATACTTATATTGTGAGCTTGCTTTATTGTTTTGTAGATGTGATAACTGTGATAGCGCATTTCCCACGACTATTGGATTCCAGTTATCAAGAATCATTGAAGTCTTTACTTGATGGGCAACCACCAGATTTTCCTGAAAATGAATTTAGAAACGGATTGCAGTCTTTGGCTCCATATCTTGCTTCTGTATGTTTGCTCACAACTATTTCTGGTCTGTGTTACTTATTTTGGCTACTTTTATATAACATTTAGATACGTATGGAACATGCCAAAGCAGTTATTGAGCTTAAGAAACTTTATCAGACACATATGCGAGACGCTGATATTATAGAACGATTGAAAAGTCATGAAAATGTTCTACAAGTAGTGGATACCACATTACTTAAGTGTTATCTTCAGGTCTGTTATCTCATCATGCTTGTCATGATTTCATGTGCTTAAAGTGAGTATTAATTTAAAAATCAAAGGTAATATAAATTTGACTGGTTCCTGAAACCATTGGTAGATATTCAGGAACCAGAGTTCCTGAGACTATGTTTGGTTTCTTCGTTTAGTTGAATGTTAGTTCAGTTTTACGTTATTTGATATTTCTTTCCTTATTTTAATTTGATTTTAAGTTTTTTGTAAAATTTTTGTCAAAAAGAGCTTTTATCTTACAATTGTAAAAATGCATAAAAAGTAGGTAAGCTGAGATGATATTAGTGATATTTATGTGAGTTGGTTAAAAAAAAAAAAAACGATTAGGATTATTGGTTATTTTAATTAATTATTAAAACAAGAAAATATTACAACATGAATTTAGTGATTAGTACTTTGTCTTCCGTTAATCTCATAGCACATATCCTAGAGTAAATGACCAAATTCGATTTAAAAAAAAAAAAAAAAAAACTGCGTAGAGATTTTTTCAGAGTAATGAAAGCTTGGTAGCTTTGCTATTACGTCTTCCAGACAATATGTGTATAGTGGCTGATTCAGAAAAAGTGTTACTGGAATATGAAAAATATAATGAACTGTTTATACTATATGAAAGGAAAGGTTTGCATCGTAAAGGTGTGGTTTTTTTCTGTTTTATTTCAGTTTCTTTTTCAAGCCATTATAGCAATCATTTAAAAACTCCGTGCTAAATATCCATTAGTTATAACTGTATCATTTATTTATTGCTTTCTTGTAATTTGCTATTGTCTTACCTTTTACACTACAGAGGAAAGAAATCTCTTCTTTCTCTTTCATTCATTTGATAAGTTTGAAAAACTTTTGTCGTTTTGATCTCAAACATCCGATGAATCCGTAGAGTAATTTTTGCAAACTTTTGTTAGTTAATATATGTGAATTTTTTATTACAGCAGATGATTTGATCAGTCTTTGCAAATAAGCAAGCATATCATATGATAGTGTATGTTGACAGCCTGAATTAAACTGAAGAATAGGAATGAAAATGCTTAATATATCTGATGATAATCTGATAGATTTCGAATTATCTAAATATGCTATTTATAGCATTAACTTTGCTGATGGAGCAAGCTCATATAGAGGGAAGTCCACTACGAGGTTATAATATGACCGTCGAATATCTGCAGAAATTGGGAAACAAGCATTTGCATCTAATAATCGAGTTTGCTGCTTGGGTACTTCAAGAGAACCTCAATGCTGGTCTTTCGGTATATATCTTGATTTAAGTATTACCCATTAGTTTTTTCGAAAATCAAAACATAGATTCAAATTCTTTTTGTGAAAGATTCACATTTTCTATTTATATTGTTTCTTGACTTTTTCCAAACTCTTGACTAGGAAAAGAACGTCCTTGTTGATATTATAATAGTTTAGCATTGTTGTTTCTTTCTAGCTTCTCATTTACAGCTTAGAAATATATGAAACAATCGATCAATAGTTCACAATTAGGTATTAGCTAATATGGTCATAGAAACTAGAAAAAGAAATTTTCTATGATTTCAAATAATTGATTACTTATTCATAACTTTTCTTTACTTTCACTCCTTGTTTTCCTTTTTTATATTTATTGTAGTTCATATTTTTTCCTGTGTTATGCAAAAAATTTAATCGACATTGCTTAGATGATTATTATCGATTGCTGTTGAAACAAGTGATTGGTAATAACTGCCATAATTTTTTGACGTAAAATTAGTGCTGTTGTAAACCGAAATTCTATAGTACTACCTCTCTTAGTTGAATAAAGTTCAGATAAAGTTAGCAAAAATTAAATTAGATTTTTATTGAGCATAATTTCGACGATTTTCAGATTTTCACTTGCGATAGTGCAGAAATTCGTTCATTGGATCGAGGACAAGTCTTAACATTTTTAACACATGAATGTACTGCTGCAGTGGTTCCATATCTAGTTAGTTCTTTTCAACATAATTATTTAAGTACAGGAATTTTACAATCTGGCTATAATTTTTGTTTATAATATTTAAACATTTAGGAGCATATCATCTATAATTGGAATGAAGATGCGCCTAAATTTCATGAAGCATTGGGCCAGCATTACATTTCAAAGGTAAAACAATTGCAGCGAGATTATATCAGTATACTTGGAGAAGGTAAGAACTTGTTTCATTATTATTCAGGTTACGATTGGTGGAATTAAAACATAAAAATTTCTTTATAATACAAAAAAAAGAAATTATCACTGCATTTATTTTACTTTCTTCTTTGCATAATCTTTAAAAAAGTTTGATGGATTTTAAATTTGATCTTATTTTTGAGATGAGCATGTTGCACCAGCTGGAGAAGAAGAAGGTGAACTTGGTGAATATAGATGCAAACTTCAGCGTTTTTTGCAAACTTCAACTGCTTATAGTCCAGAAAAATTGCTTGTTCAATTGCGTCATAACTGTAAGTTTTACTGTTGCAATTCTTATTATTCATATTGCATTGAATCTTTTTTTTTTTTTTTTTTTTCATTATCTATTTGTTTAGACTGTTTAGCATTCGTAATTACATACTAAAACAAATACTCTTACATTTATTTCAAATTATCATGAAATGAAATGATGGTAATAATCTTTAACAGGTAATTTCTCTATGATATTTCAATTGTTATAAAATGAAGAAATACGTATTTACAGCGTTATATGAAGAAAGAGCATTGTTATTGGGACGATTAAAAAGGCATCAGCAAGCATTAGCTATTTATACGCAAATTTTAAAGAATTATAAAGCAGCTGAAAAATACTGCATGGATTGTTATGAACCAAATGATCCTGAACGTTCCAAGGTAATCATTATAAGATTTGAATTTTTTAATTTTTAAAAATATTTTGATGATATAAAAGGTATGTATCAATTTAATATTCTTTCGAAATATTTAACTAGTTTTTTGTTCGATGACTAATAGCTAATTTATTAAAAAATGGGTTTTTTTTTTTGTTTCTTTTTCTGAAAAAAAATAATGTCCAGTGTAATATTAATAAAGCTGTTGTAATAAATTATAAATGTTTATGTCCAATTTTTTAGATTTTTTTAATTTTACTTCAAATGTATACAAATCCACCGGATACATCTATTGTTGGATTAATGCACAGTGATCATTGTCAAGCTATACCGAATCCAAATGAAGCAGTTCGAATCCTGAAAGAACACAGTGATGTGTTTGATCCAAGTTAGTAAGATCAATAGTGATTTTTTTGTTAATTTCTTGTTTTTTTTTTTTCTTTTTTTGTGAATTAAAGAAAAGTGCCACTAAATGAAAATTAAGCTTAAATATGTTTTTTGATTTCGAATTCATTATTTGCAGTAGAAGCGTTAACTTCATTACCTCTCGATTATACATTAAAAAGTGTCTGGCCTGGTCTTGTTACTATTCTACAAACGGCACATAACAGGAAACATACCGTAAGTATATTCATCAAGTAATCAGTAGATGTTGTCAATTCTTCTTTATCTATTTGAAGTTATTAAAATTTTTGAATGAATAACTTTTATTCGTGATAATTTCTTTAGCTTTTAAACCTAATTTAATGAAATGTTAAAGTTCATTTTCTTATTTCACATCGATCGTAATAAGTTCGATGTGTAAGTTCAATTTGCATGAAGTAAAATTCTATGAAATATAAGGAAGCCTGAATGCTGTATGTTTCTTTTGTTCTGAATTATATTTGTTGCTATATTAAGCAATCATTTTGCGCTACTAAAAACGAAGATTCTTTTTTTTTTTTTTTTTTTTTTTTTTTTTTTTGTATGATGAAAATATTTCAATGAAAAGATTATGCTATTTTACAATGAACTTCTTTAATTTTTTGAATTTAATTTTTACCATTCCAGTTTGTCCCTTTCCTGAATGTTTTTTTTTTTTTTTTTTTTTGTTCACGAATATAATAGAGCGCATTACTTACTTCATTTAAAATGTTTTAGATATAATAATAATGATAAATTTATACGGTATTATAGCGAAATGAATTATTTGGAATGACTTTTTTTTTCTTTTTTTTTTTTGAAATATCAATAATATAGAATTTTTCACTGAAAATATTTTAAATCATTAGTTAATATCAGTTGTGAAAATTATCAGTATGAATATATATATAACAAATTAGTTTTTTTTTTTGAGAGAGAGAGAGAGAGATTTTCGATAAATAAATGAAGATATTACAGAGTATGATTCATAAATCAGTATGTGATGCAGCATTAAAACGTGCACTACGACGGAAAGCTCTATCACATTCTACGAAATTTGTTATAGACTATGAAATTGATTGTGCTGCATGTGGAAAAAGAATTGCTAACAGGTTTTTTTTTTTTTTTAACATTTTTTCTATTTATTTGTGGATTAAAAAAAGAAAATTTATAAGACAAGATGTAAAATTGATGATTTTAGGTAATTACTAGTTTTTATGTTTGTATTTTCACTCTTCAAAATTCTTTCAAAAATTCTATCACTCAATTAATTATCCATTGTTTGAATTTTTTCACTTGTTTGATTGTTATTGTATTTTTATTACCATCAGATTATTTTCTTCTGAAAAATTTTGTTAAAATTTGGTGATCTATTTTGCTTCAATCAGCTAGAGTGAAGTTATTGTTTCCAGTTATTTCCAAATACATTGTTTTATCAAACATATCCAAAACTCTTTAATCATTATACTTTATTTTACTAATTCTAAGAAAAAGACTACTTTTTTAAAAGTATATTTTATTATCAATATGAACTTTTGTAATGTAATTACTAATTGGGAAGAAATTACAATTCATTTTTTTCTTTCCTTAGCTTCTAATTTTCATAATACTGACGAAGGTTTTATCTTTATTGCGATTAACGCAAATTTTGGTTAGGTTTTGTTTTGATCAGTTTTAATTAGTTAATTTCTTTCTGTTTTAAAATTTGTTTACGTATTACGGTTTTCAATTTTGTAATTTATTTATTGTCATTATTATAATTTATTTCTTTTCTCTTCTAGATAATGTTTTTTTTTTTTTCTTCTTTAGTGCTTTCGCCCGATATCCGAATGGTCGTTTGGAACATTTTTATTGTTATCAAAGGAAGGATGAAAAATGAAGAAAATTTTCTTTTTTGTGATGATATTAAAGTTAATACACGGGAAAATCTGCATGCATTACCTTATTTTATATTGTATATTTTATTGATATTTTTCAACAAATTTCTTATTTTATTTCCTAAAGGTGATCAAATCTTTTTATCACTTGTGTTAGTGTTGTTTGCTTTTTTTTTCTGCTTATTTGAAGTAATTTTAGGAATATGTTTGGTTTTTTCAAGAATCATAAATTTGTTTTATCGGAATGGATGAATACACAAGAAAAAAAAAATAGAATTTATTCGAAACAAAAAATTAAAAAAAAAAGGAACAATAAAAGAGATATTTGTCACAAATATAAGAATCTACACGAAAACAATTTCTGCTCGTTTCCTGCAACTGCTATCTTCTATAATAAGAAACCGGAATTACGGTTAATTTCATTTTAATCTTGGAAAAATAAAAAACGAAAATCGGAAAACCATCCATAATTATTTACCAACAGAAAAGTGTATTTTAAATTCTCAAATATTGATGGTTTCTTTTTTTTTTTCGTTTTCGTAAAAAATTGAATAAAACATTCGAAAATTAATTGATAATAAGAATTCAGAGAGAAAGTGCAATTCAAATACGATCAATTCGAGGAAAACATTCACAATGACAAATTTGAAAATACAATAAATTTCAATGAATAACAACTGCAAACTTAAAAGCAATTACTATTTCACTTTTTTTTTTCCTTTTTATTTTTAATAAAAATGAAATTAACAATTAGTTAAATTATACTTTTAATTATATAGTAAGTTTTAAAAGTTCTTTTTTTAAAATACTACATTGTCGTTTATTAATTTTTTAATATCAAATTTAATCAATTTATTATTGATCGATTATTTTCTCAAAATTCAATTAAATTTATTATACGAATTTACAATGCCAATGTCTTCTTTTTTTTTACCATTTGTTTTAAAAATTAAAATCATATAAAAAGAGTTACTTATTCTGTTATTAACGGAAAGTAAAAAGAAAAAAGCAAATAGTTTATTGAAATATTAATTTACAATTTTTTAAATCTTTTATTTATTTTATTTCTAAAGAAATACTTGCGACTAAAATGTCATTACAATATTCATACATTTGCGCATCAAATAAACATTACATTAAAATAATTAAATAATTATATGATAATATATAATTATTTTAATATCAATTTATTCAGTTTGTTTTCTCGTTTCTTTTTTCTCTTTTATTTAATATATTTATCAAATATATCTTCGCATTTCATCAACCATTTTTATCTTTTATCATTATTTGATCAATTATTTTCAATTTCAATTCATAAATTGATCCAATGGTATAAGATATAATAATGCACATAATATAATTGTTAAATGCTGAAAATAATAATCAATTAATTAACCAATTAACAAATAAAAATTTATACAAAACTTTAAAGGAAAAAACTTCAATTTCTCAGAAAAAAAAAGAAAAGAAAAACCATTAATGACTGTTTTATTTAAAATTATACATAATCTGTAAACAAATTTATCAATTTTATTTTATGATATTGAAATGATTGAAAAATAAATTAGACAAATAACCTATATTTGATATGTGATAATATTATTATCAATTGATGTAATACGTAAAATATGTTCTCGCATGATAAATAATAGAAATAGAAATATGAAAAATGTCAGCAAATACAGTAAAATAGCTGCAAGAAGAATGAAAAGATTAAAATATGAAATTATTTCATTTGTAAGTATTATCGATTCATCCAATAACATTACAATCGCTTTTTTTTCATCTTTTCCATAACAAAATTGCAAGTTTATTTCTAAAAAAAAAAACAAATTTATTAAATTAAAGTCCATTTCTATTTTTAAAATTTCATGTAAATATTGAATTTTTTGTTTTATTTTATCTTATTTGATAACAAAAAAAGAAAAAGAAAAGTGTGAAATTTAAAAGTAGACTTTATAAAGTTAAAAAAATCTTTACACTGATTTACGACTTCATAAATTTGAAGTCTTTGTAAATTTTGTAGGATAGATTTTATTAAATTGCTGTAGAGATTTTTTGAAAGAAATTTAAGAACTTTTACTTTAAATTTGAAACTTTTCTTTTTTTTTGCAATCAAATGAAGTAATAATTTTTGATTTTGCAGTGAAATAATCTCATTTTTTTTTGTTTAATTATTTCATCTTAATCCTACAATTAGTTAAATTTATCATTCTATAAAAGTCAAAAGAAATTTATAACCTAAATAATAAAAATGGAACGAAATTGAATTTATAGCTGAATCATTAATTTTCATGAAAACGATGAAAATTTACCTTAGAGCATAATATGGACAGAGTCTATCAGTATATTTTAATTATACATAGCAGAAAGAAAGAGTAAACAACATATTTAATTATTTGTAAAAGCTAAAAAAAGAAAAAAAAAAACTAAGTAACGTATTTTTCAATTTTCCATTGCACTAAAAAAGTAAACAACATATAATATATTATTATTTGTTAATAATAATAATTATTATTCGTTGTGTTATTTACGAATAACAAATTAATTTAAAAACAATACACAATAAAATGAAACGATTACGAATTATTTGTATTTCATTTCCAGTACATATATTACATTCAAAAATGCACAAAATATTAATTAATAACGAATTAAATTGATGTTTAAGTTTTAATTGTTTGCCCATTAAGTAAAGCTTCCAAAAATACTTTGAAATTAAGTTATAATTAGAATTGTCTCTTAAATTTACCTCTGTAAATATGACAAATCGTTTCAAAACATTAATACAACTTCTAAACAAAATTTTATAACTCTAACAAATATACATATTTAACTTTTTAAATAAAATATTAAAGCCCAAAAAAAAAAAAAATAGTTGGAATTAGTAAAGCAGATATTAGTCTCTGAAGTATAAGTTTAGATTATTTCAACTCTTTAAATTATCTCAGAATGAATATCAACAATTTAACAACATTTCCAATATTTTAATCTCCCATTTCAAGTCATCTTTCATTATCATGATATTTCTCCTAATATATTAATTAAACCCCTCAATTAATAATGATTAACAATAATAATGGTTAACAACAATAAGTACAATGGTAATATTAATGATTAAAAATAGCGATAAACAGTATTAAAGTGTAGTGATAATAAAAATTAATAACAATGATAATAATTAATAATAATTCATTGGATCATTTTAAATCATTATTGCTTACCATTACCAATAAGTTTTTTGCCTTTTTTAATCTTTTATTTAAAATCATCCCTAATAATAGTAATATTAATAATAATAACAATAACAATAATAATAATAATAATAATAATAATAATAATAATAATAATAATAATAATAATAAACAATAATAACAGCGAATAATAATAGCAATAAAAAACAAAAAACAGCAAACAAAAATTCTTTCAGTTCTCTTTCATTCCTTTTCTCATTCTTTCATTTAAATGATATCATTTAATTAAAATTAATTTCCGTCTTTTCCTCTTTTGTCAATTATGAAAATCCCAAATAATATAATAGCATTATTGATTTGTTCATTTTCAAATTTTTTTTCGTTTGTTGTTGGGTTAACTTTTTCAATATTATTGTTATTATTATTTTTTATTATTGTTATTTATTATTATCAATGCTTTCGTCCTTTGTTTTTCTACTTTTTTCTTCATTTAATGATAAATATATGCAGTATTCAACATCAGTTTTTAATTATATGTTAAAATTTTTTATTCTACCTTTCCTTTTTTAATGAATAGAAAGGAAAAGGAAAGGAAAATTTGGTTTTTTTTCTTAATCCTCGTTATCATATCGATTGACTGATTAGCTGATTGATTGATTTATTGATTGATTGAAATGATTTGCAGAAAATGTGTAGTAATTAAAGGATTTTGGGAGGTGCTATAGTAATGTTAAAGGTAAGAGTGAAGTTTATATGATGTTGTTTATATGTGGAAGGAATAGATTAGAATCATTTTCAAGTGGGACTTTGCCAAATATTCAAAAGAGAAGAGAGAGGGAGAGAGAAGGACGAAGAGAGAGAGAGAAAAAGAGACAAAGTTTGATCAAGATAGGACGAAAGGAAATTTAACTTCCAATTAAATAGAAAAGCGGTACCAATAATCGATGAAACGGAATGAAAAATGAAAGGAATAGAAAGGGAAGAGGAAGTGGAAGAAGAAAGAAGAATGGAGGAGAGGATGAAGATGAGAAATTGCTGATCACCAATAGAGGACGATGGTGGTGATGGTGGTGGTGGTGGTTGTTGTAGGTGACCTTGGTATTTGTCAACCAATGTCATGGAATCAATCTATTCAGTCGCTTAATGTCATCAACATTATCATCATCACCATCATCATCATCATTATCATCTCAAGTCAACCAAAAATAAGATTAAACTGTACATTTAAATTTGAATTAAAAAAAAAAGAATAGAATAGAATAGGATAAAATGGAATGGAATAGAATAAATTAGAATGAAATAGAATAGGAATAGGAATAAAATTTAGCGGAATGGGATAAATAAAACAGAACACAACAGAATAGAATAGGACGAATAGAATAGAATAGAATAGAATAGAATAGAATAGAATAGAATAGAATAGAATAGAATAGAATTAGAATTAGAATTAGAATAGAATAGAATAGAATAGAATAGAATGAGGGAAAAAAAGAAAAAGTAGAGTGATAAAAGATTAATACATTGATCATAATCATAAGATCATATCATCTAGCAATAGTTGATTTCATTTATTGATTGGTCAACAAGGTAAACACTGAAGTTTGAAAGAGGAATAAATGAAATATTTGAAAAAGAAGCATACAAAGAGAATAATGATGATGAAGAAGAAATAACACTGGGAAAAACTGATGTGGAAATGTTAAAATCTTCCAAAAGTAAATTAAATTCAACCGAAGGGAATAGAAGACTAACTATTGCTAACATAACCAACTGACCAACGAAATAACCAATCAACCAAAGAACCGAGTAACCAAGCAACCAAACAACAAAACAGTCAACCAGATACAGTCATCAAATAATAACAACATTGAAAGTAACAGTGAAAAAATTTATTTTCTCTCTTTTTTTTCACCCAATTCAAAAAAAAAAGAAAAAAGAATTTCTCTCTCCTTTTCTGTGCTACTATCAGAATATATTTGATATAAAAGTTTTTTTCTTTTTTCAATTTAAAATTTTTTGAATTAATTAAGATTATATACTAAATTAGTTATTCTAATTTCTTTATGTTTCATTTCGTTGTGACATCTTAAAATTTTTGAGATGAATCGATTGATAAACAAATAAACGAACAAACGAATGGACGAATGAATGACTGGAACATACAGGAGGACAAAATGGACAGACAAACAGATTTTAACAGACCGACAGGTGTGTACAGACACACACACACACACATTTGTACACATACACACACACACACACATACATACACGCACGAGATTGCCGGTCTGTATTCTTGTAACCCATAAAAATATCATACCTGTTATTATCACTATAATATTTATCATCATCAATCGCTGATGAGTCATTCAATGGAGTATTAGCAATCTTTTTTTTTGCTATGAGATTATCAACTGATTGTATTTCTCTTCTGCAAGTGATATCTGATATATATTATTATCAGATTAATTAAGTAGTATTTATTAATTTTTGATTAATATTTAGTTAAATGTTTTATTGATATGATAAGTTTGTATTAGTATTATATGTTTGAATGGTATTTAATCGATTACTGTTATTAGCACTAGCAGTTGTAGTATTCCTTATTAAGTTCTGATTAGTATTTAATTAAATATTTTGTTGGATATTATATTGATGCAACTTTTTTATATTTATTTCATATTTATAGACTTATATATATATATATATATATATTTATATTTTTATATTAGTATTATTTGTTAAATTAGTATTTAACCGATCATAATTATTACTAAAATTTGTAATGATAATGTATGTTTTTTTTCCAATTAATATTTAATTAAATATTTAACGAATAACATATTAGCATAGTAATTTTATACTGGCATTAACTGTTGTATGCTTATTATTTAATTAATTAATTAATTAATTACTATTGCTACTGGTAATTACTCATTTTCTATATCTCATTTTAATTTTTTTTTTTTTTTTTATTGAATAGAAATTTTATTTGCTTATTGCTTATTAACACTAATAATAATAATTAAATAATATGTTACAGTAATGATAAAACATGATTTAAAATGGATAAAATTAAAATTGCAACAATATTATCACAATCATCATTTCTCTTATTGGCATATGACTACATTATCAACGATCAGCGATCAATTATTATCATTTATCAGTGTTAATGATATGATTATTGAAGTATTACTATCTTCATTTCGAATATTTTGCTATCACTTTTCCTCATTCATATTACAAATATTAATTTTCAACCTTATATTACAAACAGTTTTATTACCATATGCTAATGGTAAAACAGATATTTCTATTGCTAATTCTAATTCAAATAATTCCGGCAACATTATTTCTCAAACGGATTCGTCATTATCATCATTACCGGATGATATTTTTGACAGACATGAACCGATCAAAAATATTATTGGAGGTAATAAATAATATTTGAATTCTTTTTTTTTTTTTTTTTTTGTTTGATTTTAAAGTTAAATGGAAGAAAAAACACGTTTCAAATTTTCTACAAACAAATTTTGTTTTTTTGCTCTTTTTTTTAAAATTTCCTTTTTCTTTTTGAAAATGAAAAATGAAAAACAAAAAAGAAAAATTTGACAGAAATTTATTTTTCATTCTCATAGCTAACAGATATAATCAAATAACTATGATCAGATGTAAAATATAAAAGCTTTTTATCGTGCAAAAAAATGAAATGAATGTATTCAAAAAAAAAAAAAATGGTTTGAAAAAGTGGAGAGAGAGAGAGAGGGAGGGAGAGAGAGAGGGAAAAAGAAGAATTCATTAATTTATTCCTTCTTTTTCTTTTTAATTCTAAAAATTAATGTTTTCGATTAAATTATTGACTAAAAAACATATTTTGATTAAACTTTTCTAAAATTAATACCAAAATAGTATTTCGGTTATTTTCATTTAATACTATAAAGTAGTGTTTTGATTAAATTATCTCAAAGTTAGTAACATGGAATTGCATGCGATTAAATTATTTGAAAATTATCGCTGTGGAAGAAGAATTTTGATTAAATTATTTCTAAAATTAATGATAGAGAAATATTTCAATTAAATTAATCATTAATTTTTCAAAAGCATATTATTTTCCTATTTATTTATTTTTCGTAATTTTACTAAAATTTTTGGATGTTTTAAAAGATATTATCAAATAAGCTATGAAATTTCATACGATTATTTTTCTGACTTTCTTAAATTCAAAGATATTATTAAATCCTAAAAGTATTATTTAAGAATTAATAGCTTTAGAAAGAGAATTTAAGCTTAGTTATTGCTTGCAATCTTATTAAATAATAATTACTACGAAATGATATATAGTAATAACTAATAGAAAAAAGGAATTAAAAGGAATAAAAAATTTTTTAAAAAAACAAAATAACCATTTACTTATAATTATTCATACAGTGAATAAATTATTTGTAAATTTTTATAAATCTGAATGATTGCTTTTTTTTCTTAACTTAAAAATTTATTTTGTAATAATTTTTCAATATTTTACCGAAATTTTTTGTTGTTTCATCTAACTTTCAATATTATCTAATTAAAAGGAAATATATAGCAAATTATTGCAAAGTAATCATCCCATAATTGTATCTGAATTACAATTTTAAATTACCTAATATGATTTAAAGGTATTTTTAAAAGTGATAAATAAATGAATAAATGAAATTCAAAAATTAGAAAAAAATACCACACCTTTTCAATTATAAAAATAATTGTAATACAATTTAAAATTTAATTCTCTTTTCGAAATAATAGTCTTTCCAAAGGTAAATAAACACATATATCTTATTGACAGGTGTGTACTCAAGTAATATAACTTTATATTACCGTAATTCACCATATCATGTCCAAACCGATTTGACAATTGAGACGAATGCCGTTTTAACAATCGAAACTGGAGTACGAATTTATTTCGATAATGGTATTGGAATTAAAATTAAAGGAGCTATAAGGGCTATGGTTAGTATTATTATTGTGACTATCGCTGCTATTATTATTATTTATTATAATTATTATTATTATTTAATAGTAGTATTATTATAAATATTATTACTATGATTCTTACAGATAATGAAGTTTCGTTATAAAATAATGATTTTATATTTATAAGAAGTTCGCTTTTTTTTTTCTTTTTTTCGTTTTTTATTTATTTTCCTTTTTTTTTTCTTTTTTTATTTTTTGTAACATTTAGATTATATTTAAGTTAAATTTACATAAATAATAAAATAATATCGTATTTACATGTAACAATTAATAATAGAATATTTTATAAATATTTACGTGAAAATAGCACGTTTAATATAAAATTAGTTTTACGCACATCCGTTTTATTACACGTAATATAAGAAAAAGCAAAAAGCAAAAAAAAAAGCTAAGTAAATTTAAATTAGCTATTCATAACTTTTAATTTTCTTTTCAAATCTATATACTTCCTTCTTTTTTCTTTTTTACTTTTTAAGAATTCCAACATTTAAAATTTTTGAAGGAATTAAAATTTGAAGAAAATGATTGGTTCAAACTTATTTCATTTAATTGTATTTTTTTTCTTTCATTCTTTTGTTAAAGGTTGAAATGATACACAATGTAAATGATATATGACAGAACATTTCGAAAAAAAAAAAAAGAAAGTCATCGCTCTTCCTCAATAAAAATAGGAAATGATCGGATAATGTTTGCAAAAGGCTATTTGAAAAATTTTTCTTCATTCAATTTTTTTTTTTTTTTTATCTCTTTTTGTTCATTCAAATTTTTCACAAATTTGAAATTTTAATTTTAAATATTATTGCGTGAGAAACTAGCAAAAATTTTCTACAATTGAGTTTATTTCAATTTTTCTTCTTTCTTTTTGCATTATTTGAAAGAAAAAAATGAAAGAAATTCGAAATTTGTGATAACGAAGAATTAGAAGTAAAACGCTTTAATGTAAAAAAAAAAAAAAAAAAACGAAGCATTTAATATTGATGTATTATTTTAAAATGAATCATAAGAGAAAAAAAAAATTTGTGTAAAAACTAAAGAAGAAATTATTTAAATTCGAATTGCTAAAATTTGAATGAATAGTTTAGCATTACTAAAAATTGAATTGAATGAATAGTTGAGGATAAAACAAAAAAAGCAAATGAAACAATAAATAATAGTGGAAATTTCATTTTTTGACTTTTTGCTTTTTTTAAAAAAAAAAACTTTCAAAATTATATTTAAATAAAAAAAAATAAAATAAAAGCAAAAATTGATAATATGCGTTACATGAAATGCCCTAATAGGCATTTCATTTTTGTTTTTCCATTTTTTTTCTTTTGTTTTTTTTTTTTTCAAGAGAATATGAAAGCTTTTTTATTCTTTTATTTATTTATTTATTTACTTATTTATTTATTCATTTGCTTTCTTTCCCTTTTTTTTCATTTTCACTTTCTTTTCTTACTTTTCATTTCTAAAATGATTTTTCTCCTTTTTTTTTTTTTTGGAAAGAAAGAAAAGATTAAAAAATAGACAGCGACAAGGGACAAAAAAAGAAAAAAAAAAAGGAAGAAGGAAAAAAACGAAATCTGAAATGAAACTGAAATTTAATTAATGTAAAAAAAAAAGTGAAGACAAGAAATAAGCTTAGAATAATAAAACTGTAAAAGAAAATAAAATTATCGCCGATAATAAAAATTGTCATTTTCACGGTGCATTATGATTATTAATTAGTTTGCATGTAAAAAGAAAAAAAAAAAAAAGATTTCAAAATTTTCCAATTTTTCTTGTTTAAATTTTCTGAAATTGCATAAATAAGAATGACGCATAAATCGAAAAATTGTTGAAAGATTAATTAACCATTTTATCTGATTGTTTTCTTTTTTTTTAAAAAATTTTTAAAATGAATAAATGAGAATGAAACATAAATAAAAAAAAAAAAAAACTGATTAATAATACTTATCTTGTGCTTGCATAATTTTTTTTTTTTAAAGAAATATATATTTAATTCGAAATGCATATATTCATATTGCATTACTATAATACTAATCCTTGATTAATGAATAATTAAATTTTTGATAAAAGTATTTATCAGGGAAATGAGTTTGCTCATATTCAAATGTTACCATATCAACAAATTATCAATTATGATTTGCAAATGCCACAATTTCGTCTTATTGATGGGACATCCGTACGACAGGGACGATTACAAATTAAATTTCAAAATCGTTGGCGGTCAATTTGTACAAAGCTAACAAAGTTAGTTAAATATTTTAATATCAACTTTCCTACCTTTTATTTTTCTTCCTCTTTTTACAATTTATTCATTTCAAATAATAATTAAATCAGTAATTTATTTCCGTTTCTGATATTACACGTTGAGAGAGCGAAAAAAAAAAAACAATAAATTCATTAATACAATTGTTTGTTTCATTTCTAATATTATCGATTTTGATTGTTTTCATCGATAAATGAATTTAATAAAATAATTCTTCCATTTCTATTTCTAATATAATCCATTGAGTCATCCATTTTTCATTTTCTCATTGGAAATGATTTATAAGATTTTACTGTTAAAAGAAAAAACAAAAACGATTATTTTGTTTATTAATTTTAACTCTAATCAAATTATATTCGATATGGAAAGCTAATATATCGAATATATTTCATAAATAAATATTATTAATGAGTGAAATTAGTAGAAAATAATTATGATGATAAAAAAATGATCAACTGGAGTCTTTTTTAAAATAATTTAAAATTTGACAAATAAATAATTAACAGATGAAGTGTAATTATTCTAAACACGATTTCTTTTGCTTTTTTTTTTCCTGCTTTTTCCTTTTTTTTTTAATTAAAAACATCTTATTCATTATCATTGCATGATTGAATCTTTTTTCAAGAAACAAAAATTTTTTTTTTAAATTTCTTTACAAAAAAATAAAATTTTTCATTTCAAAAGGATTTTTTTACGTTTTTTTTTTTTTTTTTTTTTTTTTTGTTTCAATATAATAGTATTTTTTGATAAATAATAAAATTTCAAACTTTTTTAGATGAAAGATTTTTAAAATGTAAAAGTTTAAAAAATATGAAAAATATTGTAGCTGGACATCAACAGATATTAGCACAGCATGTCGATCGATGGGTTTCAATGATGGCGGTTTGTTTGTTTTTTTTTTTTAATACAGCTTCTTCTTTTTTTCAAAAAATTGTAAATTTCTTCATAAAAATTATGTATAATACAAAAAAAAAAAGAAAAATAAATTCTTGCTATGATAATTATAATTTATTCTAATTAATTAAAAGCAAACGAATTTTGATGAAGAAAATTTTAATAATTTTAAAAATTAAACTATCATAAAGAAATATTAGAAAACTGAAATATTTTTTTTACAAATTTAATTTCATTTATTTTACACATTTAAGGTTTCTGGAAATGGTATAAGCGAAACAACGATACATTTCCATTTGTGATGCCATATCCGAAATGTCCACCAAATGTTTCATCGTTGTGGAATTGCGAAGGATTCAGTAATCCTAATGCAATACCATTAAGTGAAAATCTTTGCCAAGGTGAAGATGATTTAGGAATTCATTGCTGGGGAATACCGGTATTTCTTGAATCGGAAAAACATTGGAAAGGTAAATATTTCTTTTTTTTCTTTGCTTCTAATAAAGTTAGCTAACTAATTATTGCTTTATTTTTGTTTAATTTCTTTTAGCAATAAATTAAAACTTAAAAAAAAGAAAAATGAGTAAAATTATTTGGAATTTACTTACACATTTTTTATATTTGAATTTTTTCATATTTCAAATTGTCATAATAAGAAGTGAAGGATAAATTTGGGTCTGAAAAATTTTTATGTAAAACTTTTTGTAAAAACTTTCTGACATTAACTCATTCCTGCTTTTTGCTATTATTATTATTGTTAATACTATTATTATTATTACTATTATTTTTATTATTATTGCCAAAATTGTTGTTTTTTATCAACATTTAATTATTTTTCGAATTTACCTGTAATTTCAATTATGTCCTTTTCTTCAATTCCAGCATTTCCAATATAATTAAGTACTTTAAATTACTACTAATTTAGGTTTGCAAATATTCTCATCATCATTACAGTATGTAAATTCCGATCCTGATATGGTTGCCTTACATCAGGAATCTACCAGTAAACTTGAATTTGTTGACATACTATATGCTGGATACGATGGGTAGTTATGCTTTATTAGTATTTCTTTTCTTTCACTTTTATTAAAATTAAACAAGACAAATACTAAATTATATCATTTAAAATTTTCTACAAAATAGGTCGTTTTATAGGAGTTATTATATGAAAATGATTTCTAAAAGAGACATTCAAAATTTTTCATTGTGAGCAAACATTCATAATACTATATAAAATAATTTTAAAAAAAGAAATAGAATGTTTTTTCAATATTTTTGTTAAATTTAATCTTTTATAATCTTTTCATTAGATTTAAAAAAAAAGCATCAGCTTGTTAATTAGCATATTATTGCTATTATTATATGCTATTAATTGAAGGTCAACCAAAAATACAACAGCATCGGTTTGGATTGAAGGTATTCCACCGATTATGAATGGCCTTCGGATTGAGAGAAGTGCCGGTGATGCTATTCATCTTGAACAACTCACCGGTCCTGTTGTCATTGCTAATTCAACCATCCGTAATAATAGGTATTATTCATTGGAATTGAATATTCATTCGAGCTGAAGCAAAAAAATGGGAAGAAAAGGGAAAAGAAAGAAAATCGATTATTGAAAAAAAAATTTTGTTTTTTTACGAATCTTAATTCAATAATGTAAATAAATTATTTACAATAGTAAAAAATACATTCATATCAAAAAAAGCGAAAATTTTATAATTATAAATATAAACCTTTTTTATTTTTTATATAATTATAATATTTATTTTATAATTGTAAATATTTTTTATAAATATATAATATATAGTATAATTATTATAAGTGTTTATTATAAAGATTATAAATGTTTTAAAATTTTATAATTATAAATATAAAAAATTATAAATACGGTAAAATATAAATCATTTTGGCTAATTTTTTTTCTAGAGGGATTTTTATGGTTTCACAGCTAGAGCTTAATTTTTTTTTTTTTCTTTTTTTTTGAGGATGAGACATTTTTATAATTTATTAATTTCATTGTTTGATTAAATTTTTATGGAGGAATTATTGTGGTTTCAATCATCTAGCTTGCTTTTTCGTTTTTTTTTTTTTTTTTTTTTGAGGAAGATTTTTATAATTATATTATTTGGCCAATTATTTCTTTTTGTTTTGAAGGATGAATGTTTCATTTCTAATTAGTTAGCTAACTTTTTTATCTTTTTCTATGTAAAACTGTTTGTTAAAATGAGCATAGACATATTTAGTATTTTCGCAACTTTGAATTTCATTGAAAATTAATTAATATTTTTCCAATAATTTTACTTGATTCTTTCTCAATCATATTAATTAATAATAATCTAATCTGAGACAGAAAAAGTGTTGAGGTGTTATTTTTTAAATTTATTGAAAAGGAATTAATTTATTGAAAAGGAATTCATCAAATTTTGCTTTCTTTACAATGTTTCATTTTTCACATAATTTCTCACTATTCATAGAATGCGATTTTTGTCAGTTAATTTTAGAGGTCATGGAATAGCGGTAATGAACACTACTGATGGCCGAGTTTTTATTAATATGACAACTATTACCGGGAATTACGGTGACGGTATACATTATCGTGAAGGATATGACACGTCTTGGTATTCTGCCGTATCTAGTAAGCGTGATACACTACCGTAGGCTTTCTCATTCTCTGCGTACGGTATTGCAATTACCGTATGTTTGGGTTAATGTTCAGTTGTAGCAGCAAAAAACAGTCGTCAATCAAATATACTGTATAGACTAATGTCAATTAAATTATTCTGTCAGATTAATATTGATTAAAGATAAATTGTACATTTAGCATGTACTGTACTGGTAAATTTCTAAGCGATTGCTTAAAAATTATTATTGAATTTTCTTATAAATTCAACTAATTGAAAATTGTTTTAATTTAGGTAATGGACTTGAAAATGATTTAGTGCAATTTCAAAATAATAAAAAGCCAAGATTGGATATGTGTATAGAACATAAAATACCGCATACTTTCTTTTTTCCACATTTAATTCAAGCAAAGCTTATCAATGGAACTGTAATTGATGGTAGCAATGCTTCACCTTGTTGGATGGTAATTTTTTCTTTTTATTTGTAATGAGTTTTTTAAATGACTTAACAAACTCTGTATAATTGATCACATAATATTGATTATTTGATGTTTATAGGAATTTTTATAATTTCATTCGTCAATTATTATTACTTCTTTCGTTTTTGCTTTTAGTTTATTTGAGGTTAACTTCAAAAATTAGTCTTCAGAGTAAAGTTTGTTAAAAATATGCCAAACATTTTCCATTTCCTTTCTACAGTATATGCATAACTTTATTTACTGTGTGCATTTAGATAGTATCACTACCAACCGAACTACCGTATACCTACAGTATACAATTTGTGGCAGTGAAAAATGAAAATGATGAAAATCTGGATTCGGAAACTAGATTAGTCATATGTAATGCAAATGTGAATTATGATGGCTGTGATAGTGAACGATATCGTATCCCAATTTTGAATAATATTCTTCCTCAAACAGTTTCATTCCGGTTATATTTAATTATTATTTCATTTTAAATTTCATTCTTAAATTGATCTTTTTTCTTCATCTTTTTATTCATTATGTGTGCAAATATTGAGATATTTTTAAATTGATAGCTAATTATATTAGTGCACCATAATCGGAGATTTAAAAATTTAGTGAAATTAATTAGCTTTTTATTTCTTAATTTTGGGAATAGTTGATAGTTCGGTAATAATTCAATATTTGCTAATATTTACTGCTAAGTTTCAATATTTTTCAATTTATCCACCTTAACGGTTGGATCATTTTTCCACTGAGGGTTGAAGTTGTCTTTACTTCAAATAAAATTAAATTACGACTGATATAAGTAATGAAAAGGGAAAATTTTTTACAGGACTACTGATCAACCAATATTTCTTTCGTTAGAGCATATACCAAGTGGGCTAAGTGGTCGAGTTGCTGGTGATATTAATTTAATTTTTCGAATTCATGCTTCTGTTACTGGTATGTTTAATAGTCTATCGAAATTCTCGAGAATGAAAACAATAAAAAAAAGTTGAAGATTAATAAGTATTTTAATCAAATAATACTAATTAGATTTCTCATTTTACAACAATTTTTAATTCATTGAGAATTTCTTTATTTTAATTTATTCATAATTTAAACTTTAGCAATACTATAGCACTCAAATGAGATTTCATTTAATTTACATCTTTTCATGATGAATGATTGCAAAAGTTCGACTTAAATATAACTCACATTTCCTTATATTCCTTTTCTTTTTATCTATTTAGTAATTAATTTGAAATTTTCATTTCCAATTTTAGATAAAGCATTTTACGGTTTGAATATAACGCATACGCTAATAGCAAATAATACGGGAAATGGCATTTTGGCGCAAGATATACGTGAAAGAACAGTGTTAACAAATGTAACAATAATGGAAAATGAGGGGAATGCGGGATTTTTGGTGCGTGATGGTGCGGCAGATATATGGATTAATGCATCACGAATCAGTGACAATTGGGGTGACGGTATTAATATTTCATATGCTGGTGGTTCGATTACAATTAATGGTACCATAATTAGTGGCAACAAATGGCGAGGTTTGTCTCCTACTTTCCTTTTTAATATTTGAAAGTTTTTAAATTTTTCTTTCCCAAATGTATTATATTTAGCTTAATTAGCATTTGCATGCCAATTAGATATGATCTCAAATAATATAAAATAATATGAAAAAAATATCTAAATTTCTTAGTTCCACATTTCACATTTTAATCAGTAATAATCAATAAATGCTAAAAAAAAACATTTGTTATGATATTAAAATTACAGAAAGATCAAATTCAAATGTAGCTGTTCATACTATATTAAATTGAACTAAATTAAAGGATTAATTGAACTGAAATGAATTAAATTAAACCTGGAATGGTGAATTATTATGTTTGCACACAACAATTAAAATGATTGAAAATATCTTTTAACCTATAATTTAGTTAGAAATGAATTAATGAAAATAATTTTAGGTTGTGCATTTCATCAAAATACCTCATCGCCATATTTACCTCTTCATCAAGAAATTATTATTAAAGGACGTCCATCGAATAATATTTTTTATTTACGTACACAAATTGTTGACAATGCATGGGGTGGTATTTTAATTGGAAATTTTTGTATACCATTATGGAAAAATATTCAACCAAAGGTAAAATTAATTTGAAATTCTTTCACATTTCAACTTCAGTTAGCTAATTTTTATAAATTCCAAGCTTTTTTATTTATTGCCATGATGACATCTACTATTACTTGTTCTTAATTCTAATTTTCGATTTTAAGTTCGTACTATATTCTTTTCACATAATTTTAAAATTTCTCACTAGTATTTTTTTATTTTGTGCAGAAAATGGGTAAATATATGCATCAATACTTTGGAATCGGTAGATATTTTTATATTTATTTAACTTTCTAAATAAAAGAAATGGAAGATGTTAAAATTTTTTTTAAACTTTTTTCTTATATAATTACTAAAGAAATTTAAATATATCGAAAGATTTAATTATTATCCCAGTTCTATATCTGAAATTTTCTATTTTCACTGATAATTATTTCTTTTACCAAATCAATAATTGAAATTTGAAATATTTATAAAAATAATTCATAAAATTTTTTTGTAAAATTTTATTAAAAAAATTTGATTTTAATTTAGGATTTTATCGTTATTATTGTTACGTTGGTTAATTTGTAAATTTCTTATATAACTTACAGGTGCTAATAAGTTGGACTGAGTTAATCGGAAATCGTTACCATGCATCTGTTGAGATATTCGCATGTCAGAAAGTTGGAATGGCTAATACCATTGTTGATTTTACCGGAAATAGAATTGAAGGTGGTCTAGGTGTAGGTTTCCGGATGGAACCAGCTGTAAATACCATAACGATTATATCAAGTAATCAATTTATTGCAAACAATAATACTGCCTTGATCATTCGAAATGCTCGTTATCCACAATTGTATAATTTACCTGCTCAGGTTTGCTCTCTCCTAATTATTTTTTATTTTTATTTTATTTACCAACTTTTTATTTCTTTTTATTTACCAACTTTCTTATGTCACTTTTTTTTTTGCTTATACATATATACAAAGAATAATTTTAAAAACATATTTCAATTTTTTTTATTTGTAAATCATAATTTTCCATTACATACTAATTCAACAGTAATTTTGATTATATAAACATTTAAATATTCATATTGAAGGACTTAATGAAATTTTAACTGAATGAAGCAATTTTAATTTCAATCAAATTTAATTCTGGTTCTTTTTCAGGTGATTATTTCAAAGAATTCATTCAAATTTAATATCGGCCAAAGTATCGTTTCTCTTGGCATGGTGGAAGGTTCCCAAATTCAAAATATTACATTTAATCAACAAAATGAAGTTCGAGAAAATCGTGTCATTAATCCATTTCCTTACCTTAATCCACGGTCTACTCCATATGCTGCTTTAGTGGTTTCTAGCAGGTATAACTTAACTCCCTTTGTTAATTTTATTGTTTCACTAAATTCTCACCTAACTAAACTATTTTTAACTAGTTATTTCTGTAAGTTATTATTACTTTTTATTTTTATTATTAATTAGTAAATTAAATTTTCAGCAATATAATAATCAATCGTAACTGTTTCAAAAATCCTCAAGCAACATATGAAATTGCTAGTGAACTTGCTGAACATGCTAAATGGATCGATGCTCGGGAAAATAATTGGGGCTACCCAAGGCCTGAGTTATTTATGCATCGAATTTTTGATCAATTCAATCGTTATACCTTAGCTGTTATTGAAGTATGTTGTTTTAGTAATATCAAAAAAAAAAAAACACTGTAATCACTTTTTTTGCTCATTATTAATGCATTTATTAAAACTATTTATTGATTATTTTATTTGTTTTTAAGCAAAAAAAAAAATTCAGTTTCGTCTTTTTTCTTTTTTTTTTTTTTGACAATTTTAAAAGGGAACACATTTTAGATTTATTATTTTATAATTATAATTTTTAATTTTTTTTTTCTTTTGCTTCTAAATCATTTGCCGATTGTTTTCTCACTAAAAATCCCAGAAAAAAAAGAATTATTATTGTCAGAAAATATTGAAAATAACTCCATTTTTTTCCAAAAGAAATTCCTTGTTTTTAAAAAAGCGCTCGAAAAAGTATATTGAAAATTAAGAAAAAAAGGGAAATAAAATGAATTAGAAAAGAAATTGAAACTTTTGTAATGACTAGTTTTTTTTTTTTTTTTTTTTTCTCAATAAAGTTATGGAGGAAAAAAAAAAAATAATTTTACAGGTAAATCCATTTGCTGCTGTATGCAATCAACGAAGGCCTCATATTACTACCGTACAGCAATACTATCGTTCATTTCGGAAAGATAGTGAACCATACATTTTAGGTGGTACAATTTGGGAAAATCAAGATTTAGGAAAGGGTTTGTATACAGTAGTAGATGATTTAAATATTGTACCTGGAGCTCGTCTTACATTATCACCAGATACTGTATTACAATTCAATAATGGTTTAGGGATGTTGATTCAGGTGATGATGCTTTTTTATTTATCATTATTACATGTTTGAAATTAATAGCTGTAAAACCGATGAAATTATAAAATAGCAAATTCATTAGTATTATTTAGACATGAAAGTCATTCATTGATTTAAGTTAATTTCAAATAAATCTTTCTTATACTCTATGCTTTGAAATTTACTTACTACAATTAATTTATAATGAATTTACTACTTCTTTTTTCAAATTGATAATTCTTTTTTAATTTATATTTAAAATTTATTGTAGGGTGAATTAGTGCGAGCGGAATTGCATTCCTCTGATGAAATGGTTAAATTCACAGGTGCACCGTTTACTCTGCCTCAGCTACCGAATATTCGTCTAGTGGATGAAAACAATAAAACTGATGTTAGTCTCTACTATTAGATTAAACCTATTACTGTATCAGATTACTGTACCTATTACCGTATCATATTACTGTATCTGATTGCTCTACAGATTACCGCATTGAATCAAAACAAAAAAAAGTTAATAAAAATACGGTATCAATAATAATTATAATACCGTGAAACAGTATAACTTACCACATATTTATCAACTAGAAGTTATTTCAATAATTTCTTCACCAATTACTGTATTAGATTGGAATTAATTCTGTACCGTATCCACCAGTAGCAAATTATTTCTGCCAAAATAATGAAAACTGCTTAAATAATTAATATATCCATTTTTTCTTTTCTTTTATTATTTAGGTTCTTTCTGGTCGTTTAGAAGTATTTGTTAACAATCAGTGGGGTACAATTTGCAATAGAAGTTGGACCAAAGAATTAGGATTACTGGCATGTAATCAACTTGGCCTTATAATGGATCCTGAATATTTTGAAAATTGGCAAATATTTCCATCTCCGGGTGAATTACCAATAGTAATGGATAATATTCGTTGTGAAGAAAATGAATATGATATTACAAATTGTCGACATGATGGTGTTGATCATAATATTGCAGCATCATGTTTACCAACAAATGTTGTCGGTTTGTTTATTTGTTCATCTCATTTTATTTTCAAATTATTATTTTCTCGTTGTTATTTTTGAATGAAAGTAAACAAATGAACAGAGCAAGTAACATATTAAATGATTTTTTTTTTTTTAACTTAAAATTTAACAACTTCAATTTTTGGGTTTTTCTGTTGCAAATTTGTTTGAGCTCTTTCATACTTTTTCTAGCTCAATTTTTTTTTTTTTCAATTTCTTGATAACTGTGACACATTATTTAATTTATCTCTGGCTTATATATTATCGTTTTTTTCATTAGCACTGTATTACTATTACTCTTACTATTATTTGTTGTTACTCTTATTATCTTGACTCCTTTAAAGAAATATTATATGAATCTTTTTACTGATTAAAGTGATAAGAAAGAGACAAAATAAAATCTGAATGTTAATTTTTGCAGGTTTACGATGTATGGAGCCTTGTTGGAGTGGTGTTCGATATTCTTTCCTTGCAAATCCACCATTAGTTACGGGTCAAAGTTCCATGGAAAAATGGATTATTGAAAAAGCGGGACTTTTCGACTTTCGTATACCAAAATTTAGTCCAGCATTACAGATTGATTGGAATTGTCATACGTTTCATAATTTGTACATTAGAAATAATTTTTGGAATGGTATTGATATAGTATACAATGATTTAACAAGAAAGCCAGCAATTCGAATGAGCCAATTTGAAAATAATCGTCGTCATGGCTTCAAAATACGTTCACAGGGAATTACAATTCATAAGGTTTGATAATTTTGTTAATGCTGAAATTCTTCTAAGTATCTAAATTGTATATTAATTACTGGCATAATAGTTTCAAAATTTAATAAAACTAAAAAAGTAACAAATCTGATTGGTATATCATTAATTAAATCAGTCGATTTTTTTCATTTTTTGCCAATTTTTTTATTGAAAAAATTTTTTTTTAATTCTTCAAATAACTTTGTTAATAATATTAACAGTATTAATCCTAATAATAATTAATATTAACAATAGCAATAAAAATATTAGTAATATTACTAGTAATATTAATATTCAATAATATCCAATAATTTTAATGCTATATATAATCTTTTTTTTTTTTTCATCAGCATATAGAGAAGGAATAATTTATCATTTTAGGTATCTCTAACCGGAAATGAACAATCCGGTTTTCGATATAATCCAATGATAACTAATGATTTACAACGTGATATAGTGACGTGGTTGGAGCGTAGAGAGCAACCGGAAATGGAAGCTAATAATGTTTTCATAATACCTAACGTAAATATCGATAAGTTAACGGTTCATGAATCACATCTTAATCAACGAAAATTTTTAATTGCTAAAGTAACATCGGACTGTCCACTTGGTTATTTCTTTCTTTTCTTCATTTCTTTAAAGCAGATTAACTAACAATAAAATGATAATTTTTCAAATTTTGGTAAAATTTTGATTAACTAATTTTCAAATTTTGATGCAAATTAAATTGTTTATAATAATTAAACAAAATATATTGGATGGTTTGAATTTAGATTTGAATTACTTATAATAATTGAACAAAATTCTGTTGTTAACGATAAAATTGGTTTTAGCAATTTTGCATTTTTTGGTAAAAAAAAAGTTTATCATTAAAAAATAAATTAATTGTAATAATTTTAAAGCAAAAAATTTACAGATAAATAAGAATACTTTTTTCTTTCTCTGTCCTTCACTCTCTCTCTCTCCCTCTTTCACAATTATGATAATTGAAATTTTGTCAAAAATTTATTTTTATTTTTAGCACTTCTTGATCCATGCATTTATGAAATGTCATTATTTGCAAGTGGCCATGAATATGGTTTGAATTCAAGATTAGCTATACAAGTAAGCATTTTATTTTAAATAACACAATTTTTACTTCGTCTTATTGCAAATAATAACACTTTGTTACTCAAATCAATCATCCAAAATTATATTATCAAATAAAATTTAGTAAAAAAAAAAGTGAAAAAAATGTAGAATTTGACGTTGATAATGCGTAAATAATAATTCTATCAATATATCATTAAATTATTTGTGATATAAAAATTAATTTTTTTAAAAAAAAATACATAAAACACCACATAACTTTTTAATATATCTTTTTATAACTTTTTTCTTCCTTAAAAAAAAAAAAATTTTTTTAAATTAATTATTTGTACATAAATAATTTAATGATAGATTGATCAAATTATAATTGACATATGGAGATTGTAAAATAGACTCATTTCTTTTTTTTTTTTCAGTGACAATTAGAAATGTAAATTATTTTTATTCAAAAATTTGTTACCATATAACAATAATTATGATTTAAATTTACAAAATTTAATAAAGCTATAATATAATTAATAATAATGGGTAGGTTATTAATTGGGTTAATGAGGAAAGCGATGAAGATATCCTTCTAATGGATAATATCGGGAAAAAAATTTGGAGTGTACGTAATGATCTCATTCATTTCCCCATTTTATCACTATCAAATACATTACAATTAAAATATACGCGAACATACGGGAAACCATCAGTAATCATTTTGGTACTTTTTCTTGATGGTAAGTTAAATTTATTCAAATTAATACATTTTTGTAATTAAAAAAACAAATTTTTTTTTTTTTTTTTTGAAAATTACTAAATGAGTAAGAAATAATATACTTTTTTTCTGATATATATCTTGGATATATCAGTTATTGATTATTTTATATGTTTCTAATCAGTAATCGAAATATTAATCAAATTTATTGCTTGTAATTTGAAAATGAAATCAAATTTAATTTAAATTTGCATTTTTTAGCTTTAGCATTTTAATTTCTTTTCATAGCACAAGAATATTTGAATCGATATGTGCATGTGTATCAATCAGAAATAATCAATAATCGATATGCTATATCATCAATTCATTATTCAAATTGGATAACACAAAATGATAATTTGTTGAATCGATTTGCAAATGAAAAACTTTGGTTTCAAAAAGTTGATTTTATTAATAATACGGATGCAATTATATGGATTCATTCACCACAACATATCATTTTTAATAATACACCAATTGCAAAGGTTTATTTTTGCATTTAAATTTGTAATATTTTAGAAAAAAGAAGGAAAACTGACCGAAAACAGTGTTTAATTAATTAATTAATTAGTTAATAAATTATTTTTTAGCTGAAAATTTCTTTCAATCATTGACGTTTTGCTGATTCAGTGAAAAAAAGAATGTGTTTAATATAATTTTTGAATTTATAAATTTTACTTTGAACACTTACTTAAAAGAACAAAGTAGAATAAATTTGTTTCTATTTAAAGTAAAAATGGTTGTTTTTCTACAGACAAATTTAAGATATAGTGAGGATATTTTAGAATTGATAAAGTAATTTGAACAATTGTTAAATTTTCATACCTAGAATAAGAAATATATGAAAGAAACTTTAAAATTAATAAGTAAATTATATCTTTCACAAAAAAAAAAAAAGTGATAAAATTTCTAAAATTTTTATTACATTAATTATTAAAATATTTTATATTAAAATTCAACTAAATATTTTTTATATAACTTATTGAAATTATTAAAACATTTCCCATAACTCATTGTAAATAATTGTTTTTTTTTTTCTTTTTACAAATAAAAATAAAATAAACAATAAATTTTGCTATTATAGATTGCTTATCATATTGATAACTGTTCGATAATTAACAATACTGGATCAATTATTGAATCACATTATGATCTTTACAATAGTGCTAATATATTTGAATGGTTTTTTTGGTCCAATACTTTTGAAAATAATGCAAATAGTACAATAATGATACATTTACCTGATACTATCAATTTATCAGCTCAGCAAATTCATTCTCTCAAAGTATTTATTTTATTTATTTTTTGCTATGTAAATAAAACAATAAGTATGCAATGATCGTATTTTTTCTGCGAACATTGCTATAGCAGTGATATTCTTCCTATGCTAATATAGTACAGTAATGATAATTTTTCTATGCAAATAATAAAATAGCGATAGTTTTTCTATGCAAGTAATAAAATAGCGATAATTTTTCTATGCAAATAATAAAATAGCGATAATTTTTCTGTGCAAATAATAAAATAGCGATAATTTTTCTATGCAAATAATAAAATAGCGATAATTTTTCTATACAAATAATAAAATAGCGATAGTTTTTCTCTGCAAATAATACAATAGCGATATTTTTTTTGTGCAAATATTATTTTCTTTTTTTTACAGATAGTACATTTATGAAGTAATAGCATTTTGTCTCCTCAACTTTTTAACTTTTTTTAAAATTTTTCTTCTTATTTACACTTATTAATGATTATTAAATAAAATTGTCATTAATGATTTTTGCAAGAAAAAAGATTTTTTGGCTTTTTATTATCGGTAACAAAATATTTTATTAATAATTTTTTCATAAATTGAATTAATCCGTTAATTAATCATTTTAAGTTTAATAAAAGAAATTTTTTATTCTTTTAAATAATACATCTTTTTTTTTAAAAAAAAAAAAAAGATGGAGGAATATGAATTAATTGATGATGAACATATACTTAATTATCAATCCTTCCTTTTTTTTTTCTAGTAATTTATTTAATTGTATATGATAATTTACTTTTTTTTAAAAAAATATACCACAAAATCGATGATCTTTAAAATATTAAAAATTTAAATTTACAGATGACAGAAAATCGCTTTGAAAATAATACAAATTTTGCAATATTTATTAATGGATATTATGCATTTATTAATATATCATCCAATAATTTCACAAACAATAATGCACCAAATGAAATTGGCTTAATTACATTAAATGGAATGGAAAAAACTTTATTCTTTGAACGAAATCGACTCATTTACAATTACGTATGTATGAATGAAAATTTTTTTTTTTCTTTTATTTACAGATAATTATTGCTAAAATTAAAAAAAAATTTTTTTAAATTTTCATGAAATAAGCATTTTTTTTCATTGTAATCTTAAATAATTATTAATTAGCAATAGTTTTTTTTTTTAATTTTTGTTTAATTTCACATTTTAATTTATATATTAGATATTATTTTATATTTTCTTGTCGGATATTTAAAAATATATATTTTATTCATCCAATTATGCAAATAGTTACATGATTTCAGAAATAGTTTCTACTAATAAAAAAAAATTTTTTTTCCTCTTTCAAATTTTGATTTTTTGCTTAAATTATCTTTTCATTCATTCAATTTGTAATTATTTTATAATATAATCATGACAAATGATAATTAATTAATTAATTAATTAATTCAGGGTTGTTGGATGTTAAAAATGAATATTCGATCTCATTCATTACGTAATAAAGCAACAGCTTGGATTCAATATAATTACTTTGTGCAAAATAGTTTTTTACATAATACGCAAGAATACGTGGATATGTGGCCACGATCATTTACTATTGGCATATTTGGATCACAATTAGCTAATATTCATTTTAATCGTTTATGGAATATTTTATTTGATTTCGAGCTTATTTCTGGCGCTAAGGTTTAATTATAACTATTCAATTACTTAAGTATTTAATTTCCTCTTCCTTTTTTGCTCGTATTTTTTATTTTACATTTTAGGTTGCTTTTCATCCTTTTAATTTTTTTGTTCATTTCATTGTTATTTTTAGGAAGAAATAAATTTTAATTAAAAGTTATCACTATTCAAGTAATTAATAAGAGTTAGAAATTTTTTTTTTTACAACTTAATCGTCTTTGTTTAAGTTAGCTTTTATAAATTTTCAATTTTTTCTTTTTTTCTTTTTTTTTTGAAAAAGCAATGTGTTAATTGTGATTTTAATGCGATGAATGCTTTTTTCATTGAAATGAAATTAATAAGAATTTGAAATATACATAAAATTTAAAACTGTTACTTGCTTCTTTGCTATATTTATTTTGCATTTTTTAATTTTTTTTCAAATTTAATAAATAAATTTAATTATTAGAAATTATTTTTTAATTTTTTTTTCTTCTTGCACAGAGCGCAAATGTGAAGGATACGATGAATGTGACCTATAATTGGTGGGGTGTCGCTAATGAAGCTGCAATTAATCAACGAATTTTTGATTTTGATGATTGGAATATTTTTACATTGGCATTATTTAGTCCATTTTATGTTACAAAGGAGAATTTCATTAGTTTTTGGTGGAAACCACAAAATGTTTGTCATAAATTATTAAAAAATTTTTTTAAAACTTTATTGTAAAAAATATTTTATGAAAATGCAATTTATCAACGTGTAGGAATTATGTAAAAATATTTAACTGAGAATATTTAACTAAATATTATCTTTTTTTTATCATTCAAAAAATCTCAAAGTTATATTTTAGTTTCTGCAATAAGAGAAATACTTTATTAAGTTTAATTTACAGCTAATAATATAATACACTATGAAATAATTTTATTATACTTTTTTTTTTTGAATTTAAAATTTGATCAAATTAAATATTGAAATATTTTATTATTAAGGTTTAATTTTCCTTCATCTTTCATTTTTTTGAAGAAAAAAAAATTATTTTTCTTTTTTTCTACTATTTTTTATTAATTTATTTTATTTATTGGCTTTCTTTCTGGTTTTTTTTTTCTCTGGACACTTTATGGCAGTTAATTTTCAATCAAATTTTTATTTTTTCAGGGACAATTAGCAAATGAAAAGCATTCAGAACCATCCATTTATAATTTAAATGGTCGTATTTACGAGTCTAAAATTCTCACTTATAATCGTGAACGTTGGCATGAATTTCCATTTCATTATAAGCCATTTGAACCGTATCGAATTATTAAAGATTTAACAATTATGCCTGGTGCAACACTTACTATTGAAAAAGGTGTCGAAGTCAGTTAAAATTTAGTTAAAATTTTTTCTTTTTCTCTCTTTGTTTATGTTTCTTTTCTTTTTTTTTTTTTTTTCATTTATGTTCTTATGAGGATTGTTGTGTTAATTTTTTGAAGTTAATGAAGTAAATTGATAAAAAAAAAGTTCCTTCCTTGAAACATTTTTCATTTAAATTTTTTGCTAGCATTTTGAAATTTAATAAGGTAACAAGTGCGAAGACAAAAAAAAATCAATAATAAGTTAGTAACTTTAGCAATAATTATTAATAAAATTGGTAATTAATTGTTAGGTATTTATTTATTTATTTATCAATTTATATAATTTATCATTTCTATATTAAATGCATTTTTTTATATAAAATTAAAAAAAAAAAGAATTGTTTGAAATGATATGGGTAAAAATGATATTTTAGGTACATGTTTGGCCAAATGTTCGTATCCTTGTTTTGGGTAATTTAAGAGCAGAAGGAACATACTGGGAGCCAATACGTTTTAAGCCAATTAACGTAACGGAATACGCAAAAGAACGTGATACAATCACGTCACGTCATAAACGCTCAAATCAACATTGTTCATTCATTCAATCCAATAATTTATGCCATTACCAAACAAAGCGACAAATTAAATGGTTAATTTTAATTTATTTTTTTCTCTCCCTCCCTGTCTCTCTCTTTCTTCTATTCTTCGTAGCTTTTTAAAAATAGTATGCAATTAAAATTATCATTTTGCTAATAATTTCAATAGCTAAATTTAAATATAAACAATAATTTTTCCTTTTTATTTCATTTTAATGATGTCCATTTTATTTTATTTTATCATTAAAATATTCAAATTAATATATAATTATGCAAAATTGATATATTATACAGGAATTACAAAAGTTTATCTTATTGTGAAGGAATTTAAATCATTTTAACAAATTCAGTTATCAATTAATTAAATTTTTTTTTGAATTTAATTATCAGATTAATATTTATTTCTAAAAAATTAGATTAATTTAAAATTAATTACTTTATTAGGTATGGAAAAGATACAATTAATCAATATTTTCCATCATTAAATCGATATAATTCATATTATCAACAATTTGGAATACGTTTGAATGGAACAAAGCCAACTAATGGATTTTTAGAATTTTATAATGCAACAACAAATGAATGGATACCATCGTGTGATCGAGCATTTACCATACGAAATGCACAGGTTTTTCTTTTTTTTTAATTGTTATTTATTTATTTGTTTATTTTTGAAATATATAATTAAAATTGTTAAATGATTGGTAATAAAAATGTTTGAAAGTTAAAAAAAAATTTATTGCGAAACGAACAAAAATGAATAATCAATAATTTGTTAATGGTTTAAATTAAATTAAAATATCATTTATTTTAAATGAAAGAAAAATTTTTTCAACTATTTATTATCAAAAAAAAAAAAAAAAAAAAAAAAGGATATTACATTGTTTTTAATTGAAGATCATATTTCCTTTATATTTTTATCAGCAAAAGTTTTTTTTTTTTTTTTTTAAGAAAAAGAAGACAAAAATTTTTAATTTAATATTAAAAAAGAAAAAATGAAATTTGTTAAAATTTCAGGTGGTATGTCGTGAACTTGGCTTTAAAAGTGCTAATGTTTATGAATGGTTAACACCACGATGGAATTATAATCCAAAAATAACAATTCGAAAAAATTATGTTACACCACGGCAATGTATTGGAGAAGAATTAAAGTTTGACCATTGTCCACTACGTATGAGTAATAATTTAAGTATGTGGCAATGTATTGATAATGAACATTTTAATTATATATATTGTGATGAAAAACCGACCCTAAACAGGTATAATTTTATTTTTCAATTATAATTTTTTGAAATTTTAAACTGAATTTAAGGAATTTTTGCTATTTTTAGTTTCATTTCTATTCTTTTTTTCTTTCTATACACTGATGAATTCATGATTGTTAATTTAATTTTTTTTTATTGAAAATATTGAAGAAAAAAATTTGAAAATATATATTGAAAAAATATATTGAAAAAAGAAAGAAAAGAATTATATGAAGGAGAAAGAGAAAGGAAGAGAAATTATTCAAAAATTATACAAGAGAATTATTAAAAATTATAGAGAACTATTAATGATTTCTACAAGATTTGTTAAAAAATTACATAATTATTGAAAAAATAATACGGAAAATTATACAGGTGAAAGAGAGGTATAGATAATAAATTTTTTATTAAATTAAGGAAGTGCGAAAGAATTTCTTGGAATTAAGATTAAATTATTTCAATAAATTTAAATCTAAAATAAAATTGAATGAATTGAACTATACGAAATTAATTAATGCTAAAATTATTCACAATTATTATTAGTGAAAAAATAGATTTAGAATTATAACTGTTGAAAAAAGATTATTATTTTTAAGAAATTGAAGAGAAAATTTGATTGAATAATTTCTTTCTCACAACAGTGTGATTAGATTATTTGAAAAAATCTAATTATTTTAATTCTTGTAATGAACCAAAATTTTTAAACATTATGTGAAAATAAATCATTTAAATTATTATAAATATTTCAGAAATTAAATGAATTTTAGAAGATCGATTTAATTAAATGAATAAATATTAATGCAAAAAGTTGAATAATAATTATCTGAACTATTTCATTGTTATATAAATAGAAAGAATTATACGAAACTAATTAATTATTTTTTAAACAAATCTGAATATAAAAATTGAATAACTGCATTATTTGCTTTCAGAAGTCAGAAATTATATGAAACTTGTTATTTCATTTAATTTGTATTTCAATTTTTCTAATTATAATGAATAAAAAAATAGTAAATAAAATGAAATAGAATATATTTTCAATAATTTTAAAAATGAAAGCGTAATTAATTATTCGGAATTTTATAGTAATTATATTGGTAATTGGGGTGGTATTACAATTACGCATGATAGCATTGATTATGCACAAAGTAATAATACAACGACAGGTTAAGTTTGTTCAATTATTTATTTCTTCTTTTTTTTTTCAGTCATTTTAATTCATTTCATTTCATTCTATTTTTATTCAATTCAATGCAATTTGCTGTCAATTCATATATTTTTAACTTTTACCAATTTCAATCAAAATGTAATTACCCAATAGATAATTCTTTTTTTAAAAAAAAAAGAAAAGCTTTGAATAAATAAATTGATGAATCAATAATTAATTCCATTTCGTTTTAATTTCAGTTAATTTAGCTTATTTTATATGCTTGTAATTTATCAATTTAAATTATAATTTACGTTTTCAAAAGCGAAATTTGAAACAAAAAAAATGTAAATTCTAAATTAAAAAGTAATAATTTTTAATTTTTTTCTAATTGTAGAACAATCAGTACTAAGAAATGTGGAAATTGTTGGTGGTGGATTAGGTCATAATGAAAGTATTGACGTAGCTACGTTACTATCAATTGGACGTAGTCCGATCTTCGATCACGTAAACATAACAAATTCATCAATGCATGGCTTACAGGTTTTTCGTTTTTTATTTTAAGTGATAAAATTTAAAAAATAAAAAAGTGCAGCTTAAAATTAACAGAATTAAAGTTTTAAATTTATAAATGATTTGTTATAACTAAATAGCAAAAACAAAATCATGATACTGCTTACATAATATAAAACCGAATTGCCGATGCATATATAATTAAATATAAATTTTAATTTCAAATTTCCTTGTAATCAATATTAACACCAAAAACTACCACTGATATTTTGATAAGAGACTCCAAATATAATTCTTTGTTTTCCTTCTTTTTTCTTTTTCATTTATCGCTTTTATGCCGTAAATATGAATCAATTTTGGATGTGATATGAATAAAATTTGCAGCTGATAATATTTTAAAATTGAGAAAGCAATAATTTCTTTTAAAAAATGAAAATAAAATCGATGATACAAGAAATATCAGTAAATACTAATGATTAACAAATAAAAAATAAAGATCAAAATTCATTGGAACCAACTAAAATTAATTCTAAAATTTATAGCTTTTTTAAATCATTTATTCATGAATTTACAGATTCTCATTCCATATAGAGATATAATTCTGAACAAACTTAATGTAACACAAAATCATGGCTATGGCATAAGCTTATGGTTATCAAATTTACAGGGATCAGGTGGTAATTCAGGTATTTTTACAATTACTAATTTTAATTTATAAGAAGTATTTTGGAGCACTTTGTAGGATAGTAAAAATTTAATACTATGAGATATATTGAAATATCTTTAATATGTTTACAAAAAGTGATTCATTTATTATATTTATTCGAATGTATGACATAACTTTTCTTTGAAGCAATTGTATTACGGTAGTTTGTATACAGTATGAATACAGTATGATAGTGATATTTTCAGCAAGTGTATTAGGAATGATGAATATTATACCGTATAATGCTCGTGGTTTATTAGATATTTGCTCAGCACAAAAAGAATTCGAAGTTTTAAATCGTATAATAATGTTTTACAAATATGATTCGCATACTGTTGATTGTGTTAAAATCTTTACATCACCGGAACGAAGCATTGGATTTCGATTTCTTTTGGTAAGGAAAAAAATAGAAAATTTTCTATTTCAAAAATAGTATGCATTAAATAGAATTATTTGCTTGAAATTGTTTTTAAATATCGTTTTGCAAGGAAAAGTCAAAAAATCTCATGAATACTTTTGTTAAATTCCAAATATTTATTAAATTTAAGTATCGCAAAATTTGTACTGAAGTTTGTATTAAATTTTACAACATAATTTAATTATTCTAGCGTTTTATGCTATATAATTTTGCAGAAATTTTATTAATTATACTATGAACAATTTGAGATTTGTTACTTTGACTGTTTGTTCAATCCCAATTATAGTTTAATTATACATAACAATCAATTACAGATTAATCCTTACGATGGTTCTCAAATGAATTATGGCCGTTTAGATTCAGTAACACTTTACAGTGATGCAAAATTTACTCAAATTATACATCAGTTTACTTCACAAACATCAGACTGGTCGTTAAATATCCAAGCACAATCGCTTTTGGCTATACATATGAGAGCTAATGCAGCCAATGGAATTTATGGATTTATTGCTGAAATTACTGTTGTTCCAACATTAACACAAACATGTCAGTGTGTCTTTACTGAAATTACTTAGTTAATTATATGAGTAAATTGAAATTAATTATTTTTATTACCAAAATAAATTGTTTTCTAAAAAAAGAAAAAATGAAATATCCTGTATTATTCATACAATATTATCCTAAATCGTACTTCAAGTTTACTATGTCTTATATATTTAAAATTTTCGTATACAAATTTTTACAGTTTTTTTCCAAATTAAATTTATTAAATAATAAATAAATTGCTTTAATTTCTCTCACTAATCTATTTAAAATGTGCTAGTTTTTTTCACTAAATTAATTATGTAGGTGTTTTTAAGGATATTATCTTGTATCCTTATAAAAATTATGTATCCTTATAAATATATAAGTCATATAATCTATTAGTGATCTAATTTATTTATATGATATGCAAGATAATTTTTCAATAATTTCTAACAGTTTGAAGTTTTTTTTCCTAATATGCTAAATTAAAGTTTTTTAAAAAAAAAAATATGACTTTTTTCATTATTTTTTGTTTTCTCTTTTCAGATGCTATAGATGAAGTTTTAATACGAAATAGCTACATCGAGAGGAATGACCGCGGTGCGATAATTTATCGTAATACAGGTGAATTAGGACCTAATCTTATAATTAGCAATTGTATGATTCGGAATAATGGCTATCATTTATTTGGTAATATCAGTACAACTACCTATGCCATTCAATTGCATTTTCATAATACATTGGTTGGTAATAAATTTTATTCATTGTTCATTTTATTGTTTACTATTTACATTTTATCGCTTCTCCTACAGCTATTACTACTGTAATTATTACCGTAATCATATATACCATAGTAAATAATCATATATATATACCTGATTATTATAAAAGTTTCAAAAGTTTGCCATACTTTCAATTATTTGGTATCATTTTTTTTTTTTAATTCAATGAATTTTTTGTTTACAATTTGTTTTTGTTAAATGATCAATTAGATCATCAATTTGATAAATATCATTCATAGCAATAATGTTATCTTTTTTTTATTTTTTTTATTGCTTAACTTTCATAAAATTACATCTTATTTTACATTTAATTTATGTATCAAATAGAGTTATCGTAATTTTTGTTAACAAAAACTCATTATGATATCATTTTTCTCATTTCTTTTCCTTTCTTTAATTTTAGTTCGCTCAATTCCATAACAATTTATTGATGGATAATATTGGTGGATTAGGGATGACTGCATTAACAACAAGTCCAATTGCTCGATTAAGTGTAATTATCCGTGAATGTGCTTTCATGCATAATTCAAATGGTACTATTCTTACTTTTGTAGGAAATGGTAATCAGGTTAGTTTCCTTTTTTTTTTTCTTTCTTTTTCTCTTTCTTACTCATCCTCTTCTATCTTTACCTTTTTATTCCTAATGCTACCAAAATTGCAACTATCTAATCATTTGCTTGAAATTAAGTCTTATGATTTGATTTAAATTAAATCATTACTTGGATTATATCATTTATATCAATAATATTTATCACTAACGAACGTGACTAAATGTCCATACGAGAAAAATTATGTTTAAGGAAGAGAAGAAAGAGATTTTTAAATTTTAAAATTAATAGATTTAATATACGGAATGTTTGAAAAAATGCTGATTATTATTTATTTTGAACTAACTGATTTTTGTTTCTTATTGTGACTTTTTTTTTTATTAATTTTCTTATTAATCAACTATTGAAATATCGGTGATAAAAAATGATTCATTGTAGAAATTATGGTTATTCAATAATCTGATCCGAAGTAATTATGCATTATATCACGATACAGTACTGCTAAGAGGTATTACGGCTAATTTAACACTTAATCTATTCGCTAACAACACGGGCTTACATAATCTCGACTTACGACCTAATTTACCTGATTCATTGGATTTATATGTATTGTATAAGAATTGGTTTTATGATAACGTTGCTGTTGGACATGGCTATCAGCGTCAGGTATCATTCATTTTTTATCTTTTTGAAATCAAAGCCTGTTTACTTTAATTAAATTTGTTTAATTTAAATGTTTTAATGTTTAATTTGTTTAATTTAATTAAATTTCTTTAATTAAAAAAAATAAAACAATAATTTAATTTGTGTCTTGTCATTATCTTTTTGTTCGCACTTAAAAAAGAAGTTTTGATTCTATCATTTTTTTTTTTCTTTTCTTTTAATTAGAATATTTCTAATAATTTGATTTTTCAATATAATTGTCATTTCACTATTTCGTCGCTTTCATATTGTAGAAAAACGATAAAACAAATAATCAATTATATTTTGATCAAGAAAAAAATCTCTTATTTTAGTAGCATAATTGTGTTTAGGAGCGATATGGATATCAACCGGATTATTTGGCTGATGAATTTATGTCTCGACCAAAACGACAACTAATAATGGAAGACGGTGTAAGTTTTGATTGGTGGACACATATTGGTACAGAATCGGAACGTTATCGAAGTACAGTATATGCAGGCATTTCGAATGTACTGTATCGTGCAAATGTATTCAATAATCCAATTAATCCGTATGAATTAGTTGCGGGAAAAGCAAATAGGTAAAATAATTATACCGTATCAATTAATTAATTCTAATGAACTAAATTAATTTAATTAATGATATTTGAATATAATTTTATCCATTATCATAAACAAATGCATCCACAATATCATTCTGCAATGATTAAGTTAGAAAAAAATTTTGATTATCATCACTTGTTATAGATTACTGAGATCAAACATCTTTTATAAACTTTTGAATTTGAAAATTTTGGCTTATTCCTAATCAACATAATCACAACAAATTTCATTATTTGGATAAGATCAAAGTGAAGTTTAATAGATTGAAAGTTCTTATTGTATCAGTTATTAGTTTTGATTATCGTTCGAGTGGGAATTTTTAATTTTAATTATTTTAAATTTGTTATAGCCTAGAAGGACATGCAATTGATGCAAGAGAAAATTACTGGGGTTATCCGGGAACAGTTAGTGTTGCAAGTGGAAAAATTCGTGATTATCATGATTATAAATATTTAATTCGAGTGGATTATGTGCCAGTGCTTGAATCCAATGCATCACTTGTTGAAGGTATGTGATTATTAATTAATGAATAATAAAGAAAAATTAAATTAAAAAATTTTTCCTTTAAATTGGATAAAATTTTTCACAATAAATTATCATAAAAAAGTTGCTTAGCATAAAATATATAACACAATTCATTAAAGCATAACTACAATTACAATTATAATAATTTTTATAAGATAATAATGAAGAAATTTTCTTAGTTCTGCACATTTTTTAAAATATTTTTGGAATTTTTCCTATTTGATGCTATTTTCATATTAATTATAATATTATAAGTGATATTGAATAATTTTTTTTTTTTTTTTACTGCGACACATAAATTATTCGCGATTTCCGGTTCTTGCCCAATCATATTAACATTTAGAATTATTAAACTGTAATTAATTTTTACAAATATTTTAAATCAGAAATTCACTGAAAACATAATCTTTTGGCTTTTCGATTGCTGTGTTAGGAAAAATAAAAGTAAAGTGCAATTTGTTTTCAGGTGACTGTCCAGCCGGATGGTTTCAGATCGGTAGAGATGAATTTAAATCTTGTTTTCTATACAGTGGTGCGGTAAGCACTTATATGGCTGCTGTCAAATTTTGTCAGGTATAAATATAAATACAAATGAATATATATTGTAACGTAGTAATAGTGATAATAATTATTATTTCTATTATAATTGATATTAGTGGTAGTGGTAATGTAATCAATATTTTTAAGTATGCTTAATTTGCTTTAACTGTAATATTTTTTTTGCTAAATTATGAAAATGTTAAAATTTTAATCAATTAGAGTAAATAATCGATTTTAATATTTTTCTTTTTTTTGTTTTATAAATGATTTCAGAGATAAAGTAAAATCATACATTTGTGGTATGAGGAATACCAAAATTAAAATAATTTTTTTCTATATGTGAAACGATCAAATGTAGCAAATGAAATTCAAACATAGTTTATAATTTTGAAAGCAAAATAAAAAAGACATATTTTTATTATTAAGTAATTTTTTTTTTGTTAAATAATCAAAATTGTATGAATTTATGAATAAAAGAAGAGAATGTTTAAGAGTGAAATTAACTTTTAGATTTATTAACTTTAATTAATTACATATATATATTCAGAAATGAATTTTAATTTCAGGAAATGGATGCATTTGTACCATATTTACGAGTTGATGATAACAGACAAAAACAACTTGCAAAACGAATCGATGATATCATACATATGCGAACAAACGATAATATCGATCGTTACAATACTTTTACAGTATTATCATTTTATATTTTCTTTATTACAAAATTGTTAAAATATTATTTCATTTTAAAAAGCTATTAATACAGCTATTGACACTTCGATTCTAATTTCAATTGAATTCAAATTAAAAAATTGCCTCTTTCAGTATCCACTTTTCAATAATTAAATAATTTCAATTCATATTTTAATTATATAACTTTCTAATTGTTTTGCATTAGTGTTTAATTTAATTGCACCACCATTAATAGCAATAATTATGCTAAAATTACAATTTGAGTAAATAAATTTCTGAAGGTTATTTGGAAAGGAAAAAGAAATGGAAACTAATTAATATTATAACTCTAATTTATGATATGTATATCTGCAAGCATATTTTATTAAATTAGTTCATTTTAATAAAGAGAAAAAGAAAAAACGAAGAAATGAGAAAAAAAGAATTGATAAAATTATTCTAATAATCAAGCATTGTCTTTTTAAAGTATTATTCTAATTTCATTAATCATTAAATTATAGGATGTATACGATAGACAGGTATGGATCTCAGGTGTAACAGTTCCATTAACACAATGCGGTTGGTTAAGCACACGCACTGGTAATATTGGTACTCAGAATTGCAATAATTTATTGTCATTTGTATGTGAAAAAGGTTAGAAATTATTAGAAATCAAATTATCTTAGTACTTATTAATTTGAATTAAATTGGATTGATTGCAATTTAAGTAAAAGAATGAAATTTCTATTAATGTATTGGATTTAAATAGGATTAACTTATTAGAAACGGTATTTAATAAGTTGAAATTTCTTGTAATTGTTATTCCTTTAATTATAAAAATATTAAGTAGTAAAAAATTCTTCTGAAATTGATTAAAAGTTATTCCAAAATTAGAAACACAAAAAAAGTGCATGAATAGTAAATTGGAATTGCAAAAAGAAAATTATTTCATTCAAATTAAAACTTTTAATGAATACAAGAAACAATTTGCAACTCAATTAATTATTTTAGGCGAGCAGTAATCATAATGAAAAATGAATAATACTAATTTTGATATAATTAATTGAAAGGACAACTAGTAATCATGAGTATATATAATTAGATATTGACCATAATAGAAAAAAATATTCATAACCATAATTAATTAATTAATTAATTACAGGAGTGTTATCATACGATGAGCCAACACTTTGGCGAGGTGGTATAATTATTGCTATAATTGCATTAAGTATACTTTTAGTCATCATTTTACTCCTAGCTGTTTGTTGGTACAGGAAATCAACAAAACGGAAAGAGGAAGAAGTAAGCCGGAAGGAATGCATCCGTGCTTCATTAAGACTTAGTAAATTAGCAAATGAATTACGGAAGAATAATGGTGACAACCGCCGAATTATTAACAATGTATAATATTTCATCAAATTTAATCTTTCTATCTTTTTTTTAAAAAATAATTTATGCAATTAGATGAAATTTCTGCTACAAGAATAATTGAATTTTATGCATAAACAACTTAACATTATTATTAATTATTATTATTATTGTTATTATTATCGTCATTATTATTGATTATTTCTGTTGTGCAATTTCATTATTCATATAATTTTATCACGATTATTATGATTGCTATTATTGAACATATTATTATTTCATTTTTAGATGCCAACAAATGAAATGTTAAATGGTGTTGATTTGCAAACAGATGATGCAATCATGAATGCACATCGTAATTTGGTTCACGGAAAGGATAATAATCCATGGTCAACAATAACAAAACCTGATTTATCTACCGGAATATATTCAGGAAATAATTCTGTTACTTCATTTCTTGATCAAAATATTAAATGTCGTCCATCTGCTGTAGAATTAAACAAAATAAATTCTACTATTGATTCATTATGTTCTCGAAATAGCTCGGAAAGTTTTACATATCATATGCCATCATCAGTATCCAGGTAAACATATAATTTATAATTTTTTCTTTAAATTATAAACAAAGTTCTTTTTTTTTCTTTTTATCTTATAATTATTCTTTAATCATACCTATTTATAATTTAAATTTAAACAAAATTCAACATGAATCTTATATTTTATTCAATAATTTTAGGAATTCGATATCACAAAAACCAAATCCATATGCTGAAGTATCATTAAGTGTTTTTAACGCTTATGGAACGATCAATAATCGTACAGGTAACAATAATAATCGATCAGTGATCGATCGACATAATACGGACACATCAACGTGTAGCACAAGTACGGACACTGTCACATGTTCAACATGTCAAGATTGTAATGAATCAACGCTTACAGAACGATCATCATGGAATGATACAAGTAGTGCTCAGTCATCAATCATTTCTGATCGAACTATCCAACATTTGGTATTTTTAAACTTTTTAATTAATCATTGTTATTTTTAATTATTACTATTTATACTTCCATAGTTTGCTCATTACTATTCATAGTTTTTTTATTATTTAAATTGTAAATTTTATGAAATAACTACAAATGTAAATAGAGGTTGTTGAAAATAATTAAATAAATCAATTTATGTTATAATCATTTCATTCATAATGATATCAATTATGTTTATACTTGAAATAATTGAAGTGTTAGTGATGAAAAATAAATTAATAAATTATAATTATTTAATTTCATTGCAATAACTAGTAGAATAAATAAATAAATAAATAATAAGAAATTGTCAATATGTTAACATTCTATTTATCGATGTTCATTTCTTTTTGTTTTCTTTCATTTCAAATAAAAATAGTGAAAAATTTTAGATTAAACCACTTCTTAATCGAACAGAACAATTGACAACAAAGGTGACAACAAGAGATGACATGTTACCTAAAACTTTTATTGATTCACATCCACGATCTCCATATAGTAAATTAGTAGATCTTCCACCACCGCCATTATTTAATCCAAAATTACTTGAGAGTAAGTTAATTTTTCACCTATTCATTTTAAAATAATAAAATGAAAAAATTATTATATAATTATGAAAATAAAGGGAAAAATGAAATTTCTCATTAATTTCTTTTTTTTTTTTTTAATTTTAAAAATTTGATAATTATTTTTTATAGCATTTTACATTTGTTTACTTTTATAATTTTTTGTTTCTTTTTAAATTTTAAGTTTATGGAACTTTATCTGTTGTATCAGATGAAAGAGATGGTGAAACATCACTTAAACCGATACGGACCGCACCACCACCGCCACAAACATTACCACAAACGCCACAATCACTATCACTATCAGCAACAATATTACCATCATTATCATCATCATTATCATCATCATCATCAACAACAACAATAACAACAACAACAACACCTTGTATTGCTGCTACCTCAATCAATGATCAATTTGATATTCCAACTATTTCATCGCCACCACGGCGTTCATTCTATGAAACTACAACAGAATTAGTTAAAAATAGACCTTATAGTAGTAGCTCATCTTCATATAAAACAAAAATTCGTCCTTCTATTCCACCACCAAATCCACCACCAAATTATGAATATATTCGAAATCCTCAATCAAGTCAATCACTTGTTGATCTCATTACACCAGCAGTACCTTATCAACGAAGTAATTCAACTGGTAAAGCATTACCTATCGAAACATCAATGTAATTTCATCTCCAAATTTTTGTATTTTCTTTCAAAAAAAGAAGCAAAAAAAAGATTACGGTTTTTCATATTTTTTATAATATGCAACTTTATTTATTTTACGGGTTTCTTTTTTCATTTTTCAAATTTATTTCTATGATTTCACTCATTTCCTCTTTTCTAATATCATCATTTGTTATTGTCTACTCTGAAATGATTTTGGATGATAATGATAATGATAATTAGCTTTTTTCTTTTCTCTGAAATTATTTTCAATGATAACGAGAATTAGTTTATTTTTCTCCCTGAAATGATTTCAATGATTTGTGAAATGATGTGTTTTTCTTTCTCTCTGAAATGATTTTGAGTGATAATAATTATCATAGTGATAGTGATAAGTACGCATATGTTACAATAGTACATTTATTAGGAATTAAATCAATCAAATGGAAGGAAATAGAAATTAATCATATGTTTAGGTGCTCTTATTCATCTTTCATTTAAACAAGCAATGTTTAGTATTGTTCATCCATAATACTTATAAAATCTTTAGGAAAATGTATTTTAAAAAATTTGATACTATTATATTTGCTAAAAATTCATTCCATTTTACTAATTTTTTTTTTTTTTTTACTTTACAATTTATATTTGTAAATTTACTTTTTTTCACGTACATATTTTTCTTGCTTGTTAAACTTGCATATAATATTTGTATTTGCACGTGATAATTTTTCTTTTTCATTGTTAAATTTTAATTGATTCTATATGTTATATTTCATTTTGCTCATTCATTTTTCATTTTAATATGAATTTTTCTGTGAATAGTAAACTTTCTCTGTAACAGCTCATTCATGCATTTTGCTTGCCTTTTTTTCATTTTTGCAATTAAATTTTATTTGAAATTGATAGCAATGTGCACAACTTCGCTCCTTTTGTAAATTACATCAAATTAGGCTAATTAATCTCATCTTGAGAGAGCTAAAAACAAGCACTTTGGGATTGAACATTTCATGTTGATCGCGCGTAGCGATATATCATGTTTCAAGGTGTGGTTTGCTGAGGATGCTACTGGTCGGTATTGTCGCAGGTCACTTGAAGGGGGCGGGAGGAGTTGAGAGGGCGGGTGTTGTCACCGGGATATTGTAGTATTAGAATTGTCATAGTTGAAGTTCTTGTTGAAAGAAGATGAGAGAAAGCTAAAAAGGAGTTATAAATGATGATAACTGCATGAAATATTCACGAACGAATTTAAAAATATTTCAACATTCCTTATTTTTGTTAAAGGAATTTCTGTTCTTATGATTTATGAGTCTTGATTGATAGTTCAAATAATTAAATTTGACATATTATTCATGCACTTAAAGTTTAGCATTTGTCAATGTTTTGCGTATTTTCCGATTCTACGCGTAACCTTTGTCATATTTACAAAATGCACTTTGTACTGTGTCCACTGAAATTGTTGACAAAACTTATTGTGACTTTCATTTTTCATTAGCAAAACAACAACAACAATAATAACAGCAGCATAGTTATTATTATTTATGACTTTTTTAGCGCATGGTCCGAACACTTATTATTGTCGATCTATTTCTGATTAATCAAAGAATCAGAAAACTGAAATGCTCAGATATGAGTGATACTCGACTATTACATTTCTGATATTCATCAGCACGAGCAACTAATTAACAGTTCTTGTGTTTTCCTTATTTTAAAAATATACTAACAGGAAGTACTTCCGGAAATTCATGCAATAACATGACGGTAAACTTGATTTGCTTGTACTGTTTAAATCATTCAGTAAAATCATTTTCTGATTAGTTGTTAGCATATTATTAAGAATAATTAATCATGAGAAATGTCCGAAAACTTAGGATTGAAAATCAGTAAAGCTTCGAATAAGCCTAAAATTACTTCAGTAATTCACTGTTTCATTTAGCAAAATCAAATGTGCACTTCAAAATTATCCTATATCTGAATAAGCAAGTAGATACATAAAAATTTCCGGAATAATAATTTAGCAAGCATGTTGGATTTTGATAGCCTCAAAATCCGAACAAACGCTTAATTTTTCAAACCAAAGTTTTCATTTAAGACAATTTTTTCCCTTCAAGTTCCTTATTTCAAGTGATATGACTTTATTGTTGTTTCGCCATGCTTCCTCCTTCCATCTCTCCATAATTTTATTTTCTGTTCCCCAATAAATTATTAATACAATAATAATTATGATAATGGATAAATTCTTCACGAATAATTTTCGATGCTGCAATAAGGAGTCCTGAATCATATTTTGAAATTTTCATCTTTTTTCCTTATATTTCTATACTGCTTTAAATTTGTTTAAAAAAATTACAGGCGAAATAAATTTTAAAATTATATATTAAGAAAGCTATCACCGATTAACTAATTAACAGCGATATCATTTAACTAAAAAAGAGAAAAAAGAACACTCGATCAATAGTGTGCATATATAAATTAATTTATTAAAAAAGTTGCAAATGAACATCGTAAAATTTATCTTTAGCAAAAAAAAAAAAAAGACTTTGTTTTTGTTGAAAAAAGTTTTAATAAAATTTCTTTTATAGTTAGTGTAATTTCCTCTTTCTGTTCATTTTCTTCTATTTTTCAAATTTGAAAATTATATTATTGTTAAAATGATTTTTGACAAATGTGCGAGTGATGTTTTGTTGTTAGAAAAAAAAGTTTTTTTTTCTAACTAAAGTTTTCTCATAGATTTCATATTATTTTTCTTTCCTATTATTAAACTGCTACTAATTGTTTTGTTTTGTTTGCTTTTATTTTTTCGTTTTTACACTTACATTTATCTGAAAAAAAATATTCGTAGGCTTTGTATTCTTCTCAACTACTACCACTGTTCTAAATTTTGAATCTTTTATTTTTCTTAAATATAATATCGTTTTTTTTTTTTTTTTTTCAAACAATATTATCACTGACAAATGTATTATCGTTAATATAACAAAATGTTTTTTTTTTTTTCTTTTTTTTCGTTTGTAGAGATTGATTAGAAAGATGAATAGATTAATTAGAAATGATTGATTGAATAAATAAGTGATAAGGTAGGAAAGAATGAAATTCTCAGAGCTAATTGGGTACTTTAATTACATTTTTTTTTTTATCTTCTCGAGAATGCTATACGTTGTCGTATTCGATGATATCATAATAAGAGATGATAATATTGTCCACATAACTTAGATGGAGAGAAAGAGGGAGAGAGATGCACTTTAATATATGTTATGTGATAAGAGGTGAAAAGATAAGATAGGATAGATATTAGAATGTTTATAAGATTATCAGTAGTTAGTTTGTGAAATGAGATGGATAAAGTTATGTTGTTGATTTTTGATTTAGAAAGAAATAGAGAAGTTGAAAAACAATAAGATTTATTATCATTTAATTTGATGAAATTAATAGCTGATAATGACTATTTATGATTTAATAATTAATCTATGATTTGATGAAGATAGGTGATAGTAAGTGATAGTAAATAGAATAAGTGAAATTTTATAAGATTGAAGATGATATTAAACATTGCGCTTTGTTTTTTTGAATAATGTATGAAATATGGAAACGAATAATTTGTGGAAAGTTGAGTAATACATTTATGAAATTTACTGGGTGAGAAATTTTGTTTTATTTTTTATTTTTTTCTTTAATATTTTTTAGTAATAAGTAAGACTGATAATATATTGCGTGAGAAATTGGATAATTTATAAAATGAAATTTAATAAGTGAAAATTTTTGTTTTATTTTTATCATAAATGAAAACAAAACAAAAGAAAATTTTTCATTCAATAAATAAGTGAAAAGTAATATTTTGACATTCGATTAATTAAATGATCATAAAACAATATGATCTTTTTCTTTCTAACTTATGATTCATAAATATAAAATTGTAAACTTTAGGTAGCTTAGCATTTTACAATCAAAGAAAATTTTATTGAATAATGTAAAATTTTGTTATTGTTACTAAAATTTCATTTTATTGTTTGCTATTTATTATTGTTCACTAATTTTAATTTAGAAAATTATATTTCAACAATAATCTAATTTTAGCAAATGTATTTTAATTCAATACTAGAAAATACAAAAAAAAAAAAAAAAGAAAATGGGAAAAAGAAATGAAAATTAAAATAGTAGTAAATGTGATAGAGAAGTGATAGTAAATGATTATTGATATTTAAAATGATAAGTAGTTACAATAATAGAATGATATAAGAAATTATGCGAAAAATTTTCCACTATATTATTCAATTTCTAATGTAATGATTTGAATTTAAATTCCACAAACACTAGCACTGATGAAAAAATAATATTAATCATTAAATTTAAGGTATCATTATTAAATTAATTAGATTAACATAATTTTCACTTCAGCATCTTACATTATGTAATTTGAGCTGATGAATGAATAATTTTAAACAAATTAAAATTTTATAAAGGAAATATAATGTAGTAATTTGTGTTATATTGTATGCATGCCGAACAATTTTCAATGATATCATTGATCATTGATTTTGTTTATGATGAATCTAATATGAGTTTTGTAACAGTTCAAACTGTTTCATATGAAATTAATTAAAAGATAAATCTTTGTTCTATTGTTTTATCAAAATTTGCGAAATTATTCGTTTCAATTCTCATATATTACATGTAAGAGATTGTCTGAAAACTTAATCATTTCTATTCCCTAAGATTTCTGTGCAGTAAGTGATAATCTTGGATTATTACTGATATCAATCAGAAATACAACAAAATGGAAATGATGGAAAGATAAGATGATAAGAGAAAAGTCATACAGTTTATGATAAGAAGAGAAATGAAAATAATGAAGGGAAAATGTACAGTTGATAAAAGAAGGAAAGAGAATCATAAGAGGGAAGGGAAAAGTATACGATTGATGATAAAAGAAGAAGTAAAGATGATAATGGGGAAAGTCTACTAGAATTGGTAATAAGAGTGCTAATGGTAAGGGGAAAGTTTATAATTGATGATAAAAGACTGAGAATGATAAGGGAAAAGAGCCAGAAGTATATATGGCCGATGATAAGGAAAGAAATGATGATAAGGATGAATGAGGATGATGAAGAAAAGCTTTATTGTTGTTGATTGTAAGAGGGAGAAAGAGATAGAGAGAGAGAGAGAAGTGAAATAAATAATTGTTATTTATATTCGATGTGATATTTTTCATTGTGGAACAATACTAATGAAAAAGCTGTTTATTTTTGAAATTTTTACTTTGATAATTTGAATTTAATAATTAGCAAAAAAATGGTACATTATAATATTAAAGTAATGCTAAAGTTTTTTAACGAATATTTTGGTGTTTCAATTTTACCAGTTAATTACCTAAAAAGTAACTCTTATTGTTTTTGAATTTGAATATCGAATGTTTCCGAACTTGAGTAACAATTATTATGAAGAGAGAATAGAAAGAAAAAAGAAAAAATTTTGGTTGATAAGAAAAGGATAACATCTTTGTATATATAATATTTGCAAATAGAAATTATTGATTAAAAGATGATTAATGTATAAAAATTTTTCTTTAAATTATATTTTTTAACATTTAATAATTAATAAATAATTGATAAAAATGTTAGATGAGGAGAGAAGGAATTTATTAATTGATATGTAATAAGCAGGTAAATAGGAATAAGTGATGTGTCTCGAAAATAAGAAAAGGAGTGAAAAAAGTGAAATTAATTAATTTATCAAATGGATGTGTGTAATGAAATTTTTGAAGAATTTCAAGATAACTTTCTTTGTAAGGATTGTGTTATACAAAAAAGATTTTCTGAATCTTTTTTTTAGTTAAATTTTCTCCAAATTCAAAATTATAATTGTAAAAAAATAAATCGTTTAAGTTTTCGAAATAGTTTAATAATTTCCTCACTTTTCTTTAATAAATCGAATGTTATCTAGAAGTTTTTTTTTTTTTTTTTTTTTTTTTGTTTATTTTTTTAAAGGAAATTATAAATTTTATTTGGATGTACTGCCATATTAAGCAATTTATTAATATTGTAATGAAGTAAGTATTTAGAAAATAATTGCTGTCAAAAATTTTATTTTTACATTGTAATTTAATGCAACAAATTGTCAAAACTAAGGCTGTTAATTTATTATTAATAAAATTAACTATTAATTGTTAATTAATTTATTAATAGTTAACTATTAATTTATTAATAAAATATGAAATGTAAAACATATTCAATAATTTTAATAAGAATTACTTTTAATGTTTCTTTAAATTGTTTTCTTTCTTCGTAAACTTTATTATATTTATCATTCATTTATTGCGCTATCAATAGTTATTAATAAATTTACTTAAACTATTTTCTCATTTTATTTTTTTCATTTATTTTTAGCATCAAAAATAATGGTACTTCGTGTTCTCGTAACCGGCGCAGCGGGTCAAATTGGATATTCTGTTGTTTTGCAAATTGCTAAGGGTGATGTTTTTGGTCCTGAAACGGTATATTTTTTTTTTGAATTATTTTTTCTTTAGTTTTAAACTTTTCAAAATTTTTTTTCGATAGGATTTTTTATTTTTTACTTTTTTAAGGCTGTGAAATTTTTGTTTGGAAATTGCAAACAATTTAATTATTAATGGTTTTTTGCATTTTTTCTTTCATTTTTTATATCAATTTTAAGAATTATAAGTATTAAGTTAGTTTCTTTTTTGTAGTATTTTTTTTTTTTATCACGTTTTCATGTGATAATTTTTTAAAGCAAAATTGCTGTAGTTTAGGCTTTATTTCTTGTAGCAATAAACTTTACATATATTGATTATTTTCTTTAAGAACTATTACTTATTGTAAGCTAATTAATTATTCTTAGATTTAAGAAATCTTTAATTTGCTTAAAAAAAAAAACTTTAGTTTGAGATTAAATATTATATAGAAAAAGGTATAAAATAAAGTGCACAATTATGATAAAATGACGGATATTTGATCAGTTGTCATAAAAGTGACAAAGGTTTGTTTGACCAGTTATGATAAAGTGACAATGTTTAAGTTTATTTGATCAGCTATGATAAAATAATCATATTTATTGTCAAGAAATGAACACATGTTGAATTCATTTAAAAAAAAAAATGATTTTTCTCAAAAATATGATATTCTTGTTATAAATTTTTGATTTAAGAAAAAATAATAGAGCAAAATAGAATAAATGAATGTTTCAGCCAATTGTTCTTGTACTATTCGATATACCTCCAATGCTACAAGCTCTTGAAGGTGTACAATTTGAGCTGCAAGATTGCTCTTTACCAACCTTACAAGGTTATTTCCATGCAGTCTATTTTAAAATCTATACTAAAATTTTCATTCATTTCCTTACTTTTTTTTTATTGCTAATATGTTATTTGTTTAGCTATTATTGGGTAACATTATAAATTTTTATTACAAAATTTATTTTAATATTTTATCCTTACCTATCTCTTATACTATTGATTAATTTGATAATAAGAAAGTTTTTATTTTTTATAGAAGTTGTTGTGACTGTAAAAGAGGAAGAAGCATTCAAAGGTATCGATTATGCTTTTCTTATCGGTGCAATGCCAAGAAAGCAAGGTATGGAGCGCAAAGATTTACTTTCTGCAAATGTCAAAATTTTCAAATCACAAGGAATAGCTCTTGCTAAATATGCTAAGCCAACAACTAAGGTAAGCATTTGGTTTATTTATTTACTCATTTATTTATATACTATTATTTTATTTATTTATTTATTTATTATTACTTTAGTCGCATATACAAGGTGATAAAAGTGATGCAACTTTGTAAAATTACAAAAATAAAGTTGTTAAAGTAGAATTTTTTCTGCAGGAATTGTATACGAAAAAGAAAATTGTCTTCAATCTCATTACTGTTTACAAATGATAAATAAGCCAGTGATCAATTATTGGTACCAGTAAAAGATAGTATTTGGAATTAAAATAGAAATCAAATTCATGATATATTTAGAATACGAAATTTCTCCTAAATATGCTAATTTACACCCGTTTCTTTACTTATTATTTACTTATTACAATCAACACTTTCTTATTTTGTAATGACTTATTGAATTTTGATGTTAATTTGTAGCACAGTTTATATTTAGATCATTGTCGTTGGTAATCCGGCAAACACAAATGCATTTATTGCTGCAAAATTTGCATCTCCGGCTATACCGGAAAAAAATTTCACATCGATGACACGTCTTGATCATAATCGTGCTACATCGCAAGTGGCAATGAAATGTGGTGTTGGGGTTTGTTTTTAGATTCGTTTCTTTCTATCGTGATAATGAAAGAAGTTTAGATTTAATATAAGTTATAAATTAGAATGTAGGATTCATTCAAGTGATTCATCAGAGTATTAGTAACTTCCAGAACAAAAATATTTTCGGATTCTTTTTTTTCTGGAACTTATCAGTTTCATTCCTGCAAGATTTCGCTTCTGATTGTATAATTAACAATTTTTACTGCTTTCTTTTGGATATATAAACTATATGCTTATATTGCATGTATAAATAGATTGCACATATGTAATTTGAATTTGTTTCAGATTCGAGATGTAAAAAATGTAATTATCTGGGGTAATCATTCAAGTACTCAATTCCCAGATGTTACCCATGCTAAAGTTGTCAAGAATGGTGCAACACTTGGTGCATATGAAGCGATTAATGATAAAGAATGGATTCAGGGACCATTTATCAGTGTATGGTTTCTACTTTTTTTTTTTTTTGCTTTCTATACTTTTCATATCTAAATATTGAAGAAGTAACATATTTAATTCATATAATAACGTTTTATTATGAAAGGAAAAGGAAAAATCACTCATAAATAAACTATTTAGCAAGAATTTTTTGCAGGTTGTACAAAAGCGTGGTGCGGTAATTATTGAAAAGAGAAAACTATCATCGGCAATGTCAGCAGCAAAAGCAGCTTGTGATCATATTCGTGATTGGCATTGTGGAACAAAACCGGTACAATCTTATGAGTTGTAATTTCTGAATTAAATAACAATCAATTGTTTCATTTTAGTCAAAATGTAAAAAGTTTTGATCATTATAAAAGATAATGTGATGAACAGAGGAAAAAAAAGAGGAAGTAGGATGATATTAAATTGATGATAGTTTCGTAATGTGAAAAAATTTGTAAATGTATGAAATTATTTGTAGAATGAATGGGTATCAATGGGTATTCCATCAGATGGTTCATATGGTATTCCCAAAGGATTAATATTTTCATTTCCTGTTACCATTGCTGGTGGCGAATACAAAATTGTCCAAGGCTTACATCTGGATGAATTTGCTAAAGGAAAAATTGCTATCACGCAAAAAGTATAATTTACAGCAAATTGTTATTTAATTAGTCACAGAGTTGTTGCAAATTTAAGCAATAAAGGAATAATTAATAAGAACATAAAAATATTTGTATATTATTTAATTCATTTATTAATTGTTAGACATTTTTTCTATTAATTTTCGTTTCGCAAGTGGTTTTTTTTTTTTTGTATATTGAACAATTTGAAAATTTAGAAGCTATAGACTGAAGTCTCACAGGAAGTTGTGTTCTCATGACAGACCATTAAATATCTCTAAAAATTTTTGACTTGATTAAATATTACAGTCTTTCTTTTTTATTCTTTAGTTCATTTGCCGGCTTATCCATAGTTTTTCACATATCACTAGTTGGATTATCCTGTCCTGCTCAAGTTATCTTAACCTTTTGATCAAGAATTTTGGTTTAATTTAGTGAATTTGCAATGGTGACTTGTTATGAGATAGACTTAAATAAATAGAAGCGAAATCTTTTAGTTGTGACTGTTACTGTGACTATATATAATATTTATTGCTTATTTACCTTCAAACTAATTCTCCCATCCATTTGTTATTTAAGCTCTTCAAATTTTAGCTATTTAACGGTATAAAAATATTTTTGCAGGAATTAGAGGAAGAACGTGATGAAGCTCTTCAAGCATGCGCTTAAAATATTATAAGTATCATTGATTAGTGATGCATATGGCATTTAATGAACAAATGAATCGTTTCAAAAAATTGGGACAAAATTAATGTCATTGTTTATCTGTGTCTACCATTTAGTATCTGATTTTTTATTATTTAGGTTTCATTGCAAATGATTAATTCTTGGAATTAATTTGTCAAATTTTAGTCTCACAACATATTTATTTACTATTTATTTGTATCTATTTATTATTTATGAAAAGAATAAAAATAAATTTTGTGATGCCATAAAAAAAAACGCAAGTCAATGTTCAGATCAGTCGAAAAAAGAAAAGCTGTATGGGATTTGAGATGGATAATTCAGAAGTATCCAACGATGCATTTTGATATGATTTTCAACATTAAAAAGGAAAAACAAAAAACTGTAGTTAATACATTTAAGTTAAAAAAAAAGTTGCTTTGTACTAAGCTATTATAAAATGTTACTTGTTTAAATAATCCAAATAGAAGAATTAACTGAGCCAGAGAAATTGTTACAGCTGGAGGAAATTTTAATAAAATATTCTTGTTGTCGACAATAACTTTGTCAACAATAACTTTATTCATTTTTTGTATAGTACTGCGTTTAAAGAATAATAAAGATGAAATGAATATGCAGTAAATATTAAATTATATCACCATTCTTCTGAGCGTTCACTAAATTGTCATTATTACATTTAATCATCATTATCGATCATTTGCGGAATTATTATTGCTTGCATTGTTGAATTGTCGAAGTGAAAAATACGCTGAATCGAATCTATCCAAAAAAAAAAAAAAGTTGAAATCTGATCCATTCTTTTTGAACCTTTCAAAGACCCTTCTTCTTCTTCTTCGTCTTCTGCTAATGAACTCCATCTCAAGGTCGGCTTCTTCTGTTATTTGTTTTGCTGATCAAAGTTGCACAATGCGACATTTTGATTAATGTGTAAATTTGAACGTATTTATTGTCTCTAAGCAATTCTATTTGTTTACAAATGGATCAAAACCTATTCACCATTAATATTTGTCATTTCCATTTGTTGACCTCTTTGAAATAATTTATCTTACTTGATTTTGCTACCATACCTACTCGTATGCAATTAATAATTCATTAATTTCGCTGACATTTATTCTAATTGATATATGTTAGTTAATTCTAAAAAGATATATGTAAATAATTAAGTGTAAATTAACACAAAATTTATAAAGGAAAATAGCACATCTCATCTAATGCTATATTTTGATTTGTTTTTGTTTATTTTAATCCATTATTGTTTCTACTCAAAAAATTTTCATCTCACATTTTGTCTTTTTCCATCCTTCAAAGATTTATTAGCAAAAATCTATCTTATGCTGTATTAGCAAATGTGAAACCGTAAGAATTGATATAAATGAATAGAACCCGAAAAAAATTATCAACTATGAAAAATATTCATATATAAATACTATGATCTAATCTTCCAACATTAATATTAATTAATATTTAATGGATAAAAGTTTGTCGTTTATTCTTGCAAATTCCATTTAGTATTATTATTATTATTATTATTATTATTATTATTATTATTATTATTATTATTATTATTGTTATTTATTATTGCTTCTACTATTATTACTATTATTATTACTCTTATTATCATTATTATTATTGGTATTATCATTATTATTACTGTTATTATTATTAATTATTAACTATTGTTGTTGTCACTAATTACAATTAATTATTGATTAATGAATTACTATTTATCATAGATCATTATATTAACATAATTTTTAAACTGAGCTGGTACTTACTTCACAGCTGGTAATTCTTTTTCGATATTATAAAAATTTTTCTTTCCGTAATCTTTTGTTTTATATTCACGACAAAGCATCGGAGTTTGAATGAAAAAGATGAAATAGTAAATGGGAAATAAATTTATCAGCTGTTGATTGCTAGGTAATCCTCTTGTATATATATGTATACGTAGAATGTTGTATATAGTAGATGGATGGTTTTTTTTTTTTGCAGTTTTCATTTTATTAGAGCGATCATTTTTTATTTTGTTGAAATATAATTCTTAAAATATATTATTGTTTTTTTCTTTAGGCATTGTTTTATTTTTAGTAAAATGGCTTGTTTTTTTTTTATTATTTCGTTTTGGTAAAAGAATTTTTCCTTTTTTTTATTGCTTCTCTTTTTCTAATGAAAGAATTTATATAATAGAGAAAATTTAAAGAGAAAAAACTTTTTTTTAAAACTAATAACAGTTTACTGGTAAACGATAACTGTCGTGTAATCTACGAGATTTTTCTGCTATATCTGCAATTTTTTACCTTCTTGTAAACATAGTTGTTGAAATCAAGAATTATTTTTTTAATCAATTTTTATCTTTTTTCCATTTTTTTTTTTAAAGAGAACAGGTAAAGAAAAGAAGAGAGAGAAAAGGACAAAAAGAAAGGACAGAAGGCAGAAGTTTGTAAATTTGATTTTCATTGATTGTAAAAAAATTTAGAGAATCCAGTTTTTTTTTTTTTTTTCTTAATAATATTATTTGATAGAACTGGTTAATTTAGCAATTATTTATTGTATAACATATTTCCATAGCGACAGTTCTTTTTTTTTTTTTTTTTCATTGTCAATTTGATAGGTGTTTACCATAATTGGATTTATTTTTTTTTTATGTTTTAGTATTTCGATACGATGTGTTAAAAACAATTACACTACTTATTACTGTTTAAGATCACTATACTATATATCACTGTTTAAGATCACTATACTATAACTACTATTTATGATCACGATTATTGGTGTCCAAGGTTATTTATGCGATATATTATCATTCAAGATCATTTATGTTGTATGCTTGATTGCTTCTTTATAGCAGTAAATTTCAAGTGTACTGGCAATGTGACATATTATAAAAATGTTATGAGACTGCATGACACATATATTTGTCATTTAAGTGATCAGTTCGTAAGCCTTTTAACTCATTTTATTAAGTACAATTAATTTATGATAATTATATTTCTGTAAGTCGTAACTTGCTTAATTTCATTTCTAGTTTTCTACTTGATTTGTTGATGCTAGTATTGTCAGGAGAATATCAAGTAAACCTTATTTTGTAATAATATTCAATTTAGCAATTGCATTAATATTGACAATTATAACGATAAAATCATTGCAAAGATTTGTATAATTGATAACTTTGATATTTTGATGCGATAGTATGATAATTTCAATTACTTGATTCGCTTTTTAATTTTTTTTTTTGGGATGAAAAAAGAAGAATTACTTCGTACAAATAAATAATTGCATATACTTTTAGATGGATTATTCGCCTTTTTTAACTTTCTGATATAAAGATAGTGATTTTATATAACTTTATGCAATGTAATGTACCGATTCCCAATATTTTATTTGTTTAATTTTTTTATTCGTTTCAAAGACGAAATACTAATAACTTCAATTGAGCAAATATTTATTCAGAACATACCATTTTCATTTATAAATGTAAAATCTTTTATGTCAAAATTTCTATTGCTTATGTGAAATTTTTGTCACGTTATTTACATATAGAATGTACTGATAACTCTGATTAATTGAATTATTTTGATAACTTCAATTAACTGAATTATTCGGATTAATCTCAATTATTAATTAGATCTAAATTATTTTAATAATAAATTAGATTTCACATTATTCACAATTCTAAAAAAAAATGATTCCAACTCAACTGGAAGTAATACAATCTTTTGTTAATATCTTTAATTCGTATAGAAATAGAACAATAGCAATAATTTGAGTGATAAAAATATTCGATTAATCTTTTCAATCTATTTATATATACTATCAGTAAAAGATTTTTATTACAAAAGTATTTGTGGAGTGGCAGTAATTAAAAGATGACAAATTTTCTTTCATTTAATTAGGACTGATCAGTTTCTTTAATGTATAGCAAACAATAAATATAATAAATAATACAAGTAATTGTTCTCTTTATTATTAGTGTTAATTAACAAATTACAATTATTAGATTAGGAATGTCTTCCTTTCTTATTAAAATAATTAATTCTACTCTATTAATTTGTAAATAATTTGCAGATGAATTTATAAATGTATAATGTATGTCATTAATTATCATATATGTTTCACATTTTTCATTATAAAAGAGGTCGTTTAGGTATGACTGGAACCACAACCGGTTAGAATTGAACTTCGATGACGATAGGATAGGAATTGATAAGAATTAATGATGAGCGTTATTTGTGAAGTTCGGTAACCTTCCTCATTTTCAAACATTCATTAATTAATTGTCTGTTACTCAACATCAACAATTTTCACATATTGTTAGATTGTATTCTGATCATAGAACATTATAATATATTTATTTATTTGTTTATTTACTCCGTTAGTTTATTTACTTGATTCTATGTCTCTTTGTCTGTTTTTTCGTCTAATTAACTAATTATTTATTTATTGCGCAATTTGTTATTAATTTATTTCCTCGTTTGTTTATTTAAACTCATTTATTTGCATATATATGTGATTGTAAATGGGTATTAAAAACGTTAAAAAAACATCAAAATTTTAAAAAAGTATGAAATTTTATCTTATACGTAAGTATAAATTGCTGTTCATAAGTATAGATCAATGTTGATAATATAATTGATAATTAATAATAAGTGTGAATCAATATTGACATTTAGTGATAAGTTTAAATCAATATTGATAGTATAATTGATACTTAGTGATAACTATGATTAATGGTATGATTGATACTTAGTGATAAGTGTGAATCAATAATGATGATATAACTGATAATTGTTGATAAGTATGAATCAATTTTGATAATGTAATTGATAATTATTGATAAGAATGAGTCAATATTTACTGTAATAGTAATTTCTATATAAGAAAAAAAAGAAGAAAGAGGAAATATGTAATATATTTAGGGAAATATACGGGTCGTTGTATGATATTAGTAGAAATACTTTCAAATATTTCAATGAAAAATGAAAGGAGAGAAGAAGGGAGAGAGAGAGGGAGGGAGAGGGAGAGAGAGAAAAGGAAGGCCACTGCTCTTATTGATAGGAGAAAAATCACTGAGGATACAGAGAGAGAGAGAGAGAAGATGACCTAAAAAAAAATTTCTTTTTTCTTTTTGACAGTATTTCTTATCATTCATTTTCCTCATTTATATTTTAAATTTTTAGTTGTACATATTTTATTTCATCTTTAATTTATTATTAATTTTCAATTAATTTATTTTTGTATTTATGTACAAACTAATTTTATTTCTAATTATATAATTTAATTCTACATACTTAGTGCTATGTATTTTAATTCTTTATATTCATTTTTATTTTTTTTTTTCTTCCCTTTTATTTTCCTTTTTTTTTCTCCCTTTCGTTTAATTAAATTTTTTCATTCGAATTTCTTCGATTAATTTTTTTTCCTCTTTAAAAAAATTTATATATATATATATATATATATATATATATATATATATCTTTTTTATACTTATTTTTCATACATTTATGCATGTATAAAACTTTATAGTTTTTCCTTTTTTTTTACCATTCAATAATTTTTTTTTTTTTTTGAATTAAAAAAAATTTTTTTCCAATTTTTTTATTTTTTCTTCTTACGTTTATTTTTAAATCTCATTAACATATCTTATACAAACTATTAAGAATGAACTTTAATAATTTTACTGTATTTCTAATTCGCAAATTATTAAATAAAAATTATTAAATTTTTTTCATGGTAACTTATCTCATTCAATCGTAGTATTATATATTATACTAAATCATATAGCATACTAAATTTAAAGCTAGCGATTTAATCACTGATAGTTTAATCAAAAATAAATTAAATAATAGTCAAATTAATTACGAATTAATTTAAGTTTTGAATTTGTCCGTCCAAATTTCACATTAATTTATTCATCTAACTCCCATCCATCCAATATATATCATCAAAAATTACAAACTTAAATTTGTGTTTGGAAAAAATTTTTGTTTTATTTAATTAAAATATTTTATTTTATTGTTGTATTTATTTAAAATATTTTATTTTATTTAATTAAAATATTTTATTTTGTTTATTTGAAACAAATTATATATTTTATATATTTGAAATATAAAAATATTTTAAAATATTTATTTATTATTCTCTAAAAAGTCATTTGATTCTCAATGTTATAAATAATTATTGCATTAATTAAAATTAATAAAACTTAATATCATATTATATTGTTTGAAGTGCTTATTAATATTATTTAAATGTTTTAATAATTGTGTTTGTAATAATTTTAATATTATTTATTCCTAAATATATATACTTCTAGTGCTAATATTATTTGCTTATTTAATAATTATCCTTATAATAATGTCAACATTATTTGTTTCCTAAATGCACAATTATGCTTATAATGTTAGCATTATTTGTTCCTAAGTGTATAGTACTTAAAATAAATATTTGAATTCAATTAAATCATTCAATTACAACAATCCAAATTTAACTTAGCTTACCAAAAAAAATCTAAAGGGATGGATGCATTTCGTAATGTACCATTTTTTTAGATTATGATGACACATAACATAATCTCATTTGGTGCTGTAGTTGATGTGTGTTTTGCTCAATCAATAAGGTTTTGTTTTGCTAGTAAGATTTGTTGTTCATGTAAAATTTACCGTTCAAGTAAAATTTTCTGTTTTAATAAAATCTACTAATCTAATAAGATTTGCTGCTTCTATATGATTTAATCATTTAAACAACCCAGTAAACTTTGAATAAGATCTTTTTTTTTTTTTTCAGTAAAAATTTTATTCTTATAATAGAATTCTTGTTTTGTAGAATTTTACTTCTCTAATAAAATTCAATTCTTTTTTTTTTTTTTTTTCGTTCGTAAAATTTGTTTTACATAATAGAATTGGCTAACTGGAATGAATGCATTAAATTCATGCAGTTTTTTTTTTTTTTTTTCATTACAATAATATCATTTAAATGCTTACATTCATTATTCATTCAAATAAAGTGCAACAATGGATAAGTATTACACAAATAGAGCCAATTTATTAGCATGCTAAATTATGATGCAAATAAGAATAAAGTAGAATAAGTATTTGTTTATTAGAGTTATAATAATATGATTCAGTCAGAATACTTTTGTTGCTCAAATAAAATAATGATTAGTTTCATATACAACTAATAATTTATAATGTATAAATATTTTTTTGATCCATTTTTATATATGAGTTTTTTCTTTTTTTCATTCCATCATTATTTAATTATTTTAAAAATTTATCACTTAAAGAAGAAGTATTCCAAAAAATCGTGGAAATCAAGTATTTTGTTCTTTATTATTCTTCATTACTGAATTTTACTTCTGATTATTGCTTCTCATATCCTAATAGTGCATTTGCTGTTGTGTAATACGGAAGTAATACTCAAAATGAAATTCATTAGTTGAGCTATATTATTGTCATCATTAGTTCTCATCCTAGTTGTACATTCATTTTTCCATTTCTTTTTCTTTTTTTTATTTCTCTGAGAATATATTATATTATTAATAATTTAACTATAAATGTAAGATTGCTGTCTCTTTCACTGCCATTTGATAATCATTTACAATTTATAGCTTTGGATAATTTTTGAAGTAATATTAGATTGTCGTGTACTGCAATTTAATTATCGCTTCTAAATTACATTCAATTATTGGAAAGGAAAAAAATTTTTTTTTTCTTCATCACATCCTTGGTTCACAAATCGATTGTTTCCTATATTCTTCCCCCCGATAAGTCTGTAATTTTTCTTTACCACATTTACTGCCACATCGGCATTAATTCAGATAATGATTTGAGAATTGTAATGATTAAATGAATCTAGACACTATAATTGTCAAGTCAGCATCTTTGTTCATCATTTGTCTTATCAAATGAATGATTATATTTTTCAGTAAGCATCAAATTGTCATTCATTTGTTATTTTTTGTATTTATACAAATTTCATTATCGTAATTTGAATGATGTGTGCTGTAGTTCTTGCCATTTCGTCATTGCAAAATGTGTTGCCATATCATTGAAAATTTAATTCGGTGGTAATGATATAATTATTTTTTTTTTTTTTTTATAGACTAAAATATGTTGATGAGAGCAATTTCGTTACTTGTTATTACCTTAATTTCGGTATGTCAGTCTGCAAACCGAAATTTGATTACATTAAACGAAGAAACATGGACCGAAATTTTGAGCGGTGAATGGATGGTTGAATTGTAAGTATTTTTTTCTCTTTTAATTGATGAATAATTTAAATTAAAAGTATATATGGTGAATTAAGTTTAACATTAGGTTAACAATCAAACTTATTATCCAATAATTTTGCAACATTTTCATTATGTTATTTGCTCGTTTCTATTTTCTTAAGTTATAAATTGATTGACTTATTTGAACTGTAAGCTTTCCGTTTGCAATTCCATAAATAATAAATGCTTACATTCATGGAAAAATATGGCGAAATAAAAAGCTGAATTGAATGGCTGCTGTGTTTTTATGAACATTTGCAGTAGTGGAAATAGTTGATTAAAGAACTTATGCAAAGAATGCAGTATCATTTGATTTAATTGTCCTATTTTTACAGCTGAATAAATTGGGAAATTTTCCATATTACTTTCATACTTGCATTATTTGTTTCACAATGTTCTTTCTTTTTTTTTGAAAATCATTTCAGTCATGCACCATGGTGTCCAGCTTGCAAAGATTTGCAAAAAGCATGGCATGCATTTGCTGACTGGAGCAAAGATCTTAATATTAATGTTGCTGAGGTTGATGTTACTGTAAATCCTGGTTTATCTGGACGTTTTCTTGTTACTGCACTTCCTACCATCTACCAGTAAGTAATATTTTGTTCTCTTCCATCATGCTCTTTTATAACTTTAGATATACCATCAGAACATAACAAACTTACAACTTGGTTGTTATCAAATATCCTTATATGTCGCTGATAGGATCTGATAAGGTTCTTTTGTACATTAAAAGTAAGTTGCAGTGGTGCAGGATTTTCAGATCCTGGAATATTTCCATTTGTTTCAAGAGAATAGAGAAGTGAAAGGAGGGGATGAAAGGGATATTGATTGTCTGTTGTTTGTGAAACTCTAATTAAATACTTTAAGATTCTGTTCAAAAGAATTCTTCGCAGTAATCGATAAATTGCAGTGTCAAGGATGGTGTATTTCGTGCTTATGTAGGACCTCGTGACAAAAACGATTTTATCAGTTATATCGAGGAAAAAAAATGGACCTTTTATGATCCAATCCCAAGCTATAAATATCCAAGCTCACCGCAGTAAGTCTTTTGCTTTCTTGCTTTCATTTTTGTTGATAATTTTAGAGGGTTTTTTTGAATAACTATTTGTTATGATAATTAGTAATTGATGGTAGCTTAACAATTTCTTCTCATTGATTCATTTTATTCATTTTGATTCATTTTTTAAATGGATGTAATGTTCTAGTCGGAAGACATCTAAATTCTGGTATGAACATAATTATTTTAGGATGTCGGTGGTGGCTTGGTTCTTCAAATTATCGATGTTTGTTCGTGATAAGCATAACTATTTAGTTGACGAGGGTTTGTTCTTTTTGTAATACTTTTCTATTATTTCTAAATCTCTCTTTTTTTAATAATTTCAGGTTTAATTGTGTATTATTTGTTCGTTTCAGTTATCGTTTTTGTTGATTTTTTTTTTTTTTAGTAACTAATCACTGTTATTATAGCAGGTCGTTATTAACTAATTCTTGGATAAATATCAATACATTGACGCAATTTTCAGTCACATTTTATTGAAGTTTCACAGAATCATGAGATAAAAAAAAAAAAATCATCCAAAGGAACAAGGAAATGAAGTCCCACTCAGTTCATATCTTAAAATATTATCAAAAAAAGTCATTATTTTTGAAGTGAATGAATCTTTCTTTAGTGGGTATACCATCATGGGCTTCATATTCCGTATTTGCTGGTATAACTTTGACTTTGGGCTGTATACTTGGATTTTTCATTGTTTGTATCATTGATCGAGTTTTCCCTACTGGTGAACAGCTCTGCAAACCAGAAAAGAAATCAAAAAAAGATCAGAAAAATAAAGCTAAGAAGGTATAATTTTATTATTTATTAAGCTATCTGTTTACAGTAGAAACCAGCTAGGAATCATGAATGATTTTTTAAAGAGGAAATATTAATTATGATAGGTTTTTTATAATTGTAGTGTTTAATTGTAATATAAATTTTATTATAATTTTTCTAGTTGGTTTCTTTAATGAAGAGCAAAATTGATTTATTGAGTGCCAGTAATTAAAAGTGTAAAAAAGTTAGCTTCGAAAATATGCTTTTAGTGAACGTGAACTGATCTCTCAAAGCATGATTGATTTTATTGTTGATTTTTTTTATAAGTTTAATAAGTTAACCTACTTGTAGGAATTTAATTGCTAGAATTTTTACTAATTCCTTGTAGTTTATTGTTTTAATAACGACCAATTTATAAGACCGTTTCTAATTTCAGTTTCCTCTGATTCTTATTTGATAGAGTGTAATTTCCAGTTGAAAAGTTGCGCTAAACTAATTTCGTTGTTTCACTGAGGGTGCAGCATTATTTTTCGTTTACATTTTTCTCCAATAATGTTAAACCATCCGTCACTCATTTTATCTACAGAACTTTTTTTTTTTTTGATTTGAACTAATCTTTTTAACGAGTTTTTTTCTTTTTAAGAATTTTGGTTTTATAGGATGAAGGAAAGAAAAAGGAGGACGACCAATCACAGAATGAAAGGAATTCTCAAGAAGGTCTGTGTTGCCTTTTCAATACTAGGACATTTATAAGATGAGCTTCAATTTAAAAAAAAAGAAAAAAATTGAGGTCTGTGTTAGCATAAAAAATGCTAGTGTCTTCTGTCATGATAATATTTTTTCAGATTAAATGTGGAAAATTTTTTAATTAAATTTTAGATATTATTGAATATTCAAATCGCATTATTTTTAGAAGAATCGGCAGATGAAAGTGTGCGAAACAGGAAAGGTGCAAAGAATGAAGTAAAGAAGAAGAAGTGATTTAACAGTTAATTCAAATATTTATAGAATATTATTTTGAACCATTTCGGTCATTATGCATTATGACAGTGGTCTTAAGGAAGATTAATGTGTTTGTTCGCTAAGTAATTTACGTTCGCTTACGATACTAAAGTTGTTGTTATTGTTGTGAATTTGCCGCCATCATTTTCTTTTGTTTAATTTCTGCTGGTCTTCTGATGGGATCTGTTAATTTTCTCCTTGCAAAGGTTTTATTTGTATTCAATTTCTCATTGATGATATTTTGTTCATTGTTACTAGAATATATAAATTGTTAATTATTCAAGTCTATTTTATTTTTCATTTTTCTATGAACTTGTTTGCTAAATTTATTATTAAAAAAATATGAGCATAATTTTAGTTAATTATCATTATATAACTTTCCATAAAAAATATATTCTATAAATTTTATTTTATTTTAGCTAACTATCACTCATTATATATATATAATGAGTGGAAGAATTCTTTTGTTAAAATTATAGCTTATTGATGTTTGGCATCATATGTTTTGTCTAAATTTATGTATGAAATAAATGAATATGAATAGAACATTCAATTATAGCTCTAGGTATATATTTATAGTTTATAATTAAATTGAAGCATAATAAGAAAAGTTTTTTAATCAAATTTTTATGATATAATTTATAATAGATCGGTCTAAGTAAGTTCATTTACCTAACACTTTTCATTCCATATTAAATGTATTTCTATGAATTACGTTGTATGAAAATATGGATTTTTCTTTTTTCTAATTGAATAGGCAAAATTTTGTGTCTCTTGCAGTGTTAATATTGCATCTTATATGTTATTAATTATTTCTAGGGAAAAATGATACTTTTTGTACCATTTTATAACTATAATGCAATTTCAGTTTTTCGCATATTTCTATTTTTTATCAGCTTACTTTCTTTTTTTCTCATTTATATGTTTTTGAATTCATGAATTAAAATTGTGAATTTTTTACCATTTGAACAATAAAAATAAACTTCTTTAGACTTTTCTATTAGAAATATGTTTTAGCTTTCGGTCATATTAAACCGTTGCTAACATTTTAACATTGCAAATTTCCTCTTAGAAAAAATAATAGAAGAATTGTTATTAATTTTTCTTTCAAATTCATTTCATCTCGAATAATAATAATTAATATAATTATCGTTACTATTACTATTGTTATTATGACTGCTATCATTTATTATTATTATTAATTATATATATATATGCTCGACATACGATCTTAATTAAATTTAATTAAGACATGCTACTGCTACTACTAATACTACTAAATGTTGAATTGAAAAGTATCAAATTTATATCAAATTATAATTCTCTGTTTATCCCGAAGAATATATCGAGAGTCATGCTTAATTTAACTAGACTTTTTTTTTTTGCTTTTATCTTCTTTAAGTTACCGAGTTAACTAGCACATTTTGCTATAATTTATATTTATGCAATAATAATTTTGTGAAGTAATAAACCTTCATAGTATAAACAGTGGAAAATTTTAAGCTATGAAATTTGTTGCGTTTCAGAATTGAACACAATGCCTGATCCTGTTCAATGGCTTCCATTAGAATCAAATCCGGAAGTGATCACAAATGTAAGAATTTTGTAGTTCAATAAGAATAAAAATTTAGTGGCTTTTTCTGGTATTTCATATGCTTCGTATTTGATTATAATAATATATTCTTGGAATATTGTGAGATTACTAAGGAAGTAGAATGAGGATAATTAGTACATAGTTGGGTATTACACATACACACATACATACATACATACACACACATACATACATACACACACATATATATAAATTATGTTTCTAATGTGACTTTATTGTTCTTATTGCACAGAGTGGAATGAGTAAGGCTTGAACAGTTGTAAATTTTCGGTATTATGATTGTTGATGTCAGGAACTATTTTTTTTTCTTGCATATTTGATTAGGATATAATATTCGAGAAATAAAAGGTGTTCTCCTGTTCATAGATATTGGAATTATTTTAGGGTCATTTAAAAATTGGATAAAATTTTAACATTTAATTCTTAAATTATAGTGATTATGAGTGGACATCTATCATGTATGACAAATATTTCTCATTGAAAACACATCTTTACTTATCAGCTACCAAAAAAGATCTCATGAAAATTAATGCTAGCTAGATATAATTTATTTGAAATGAAATTATATTTCCTAGTTTTTTCTTTTTTTTTTTTTTTTTTTCAAATCTTAGTTTATGCGTAAAATTGGCGTGGAGAAAGGAGTAGAATGTGTGGATGTATACGGTTTTGATGACGATATATTAGCTTTCATCCCACGTCCATGTTATGCTGTTATATTATGTTTCCCAATGGTTGATAAGGTATGTTCTTTTTTTTTTTTTTTTGCAAAGTATAAAGTAATTTGTATTATGATAGACAGTGTATAAGCTGATTTTTTAGAATTGATGAATTTAGCTTCCTACTTTTCTTTTTTAACTTTGAACATTTGATATATAAGAATTACATTTTCTATATTTTATTTAGTTCCATCTTCTTCAAATTCTCATATCTTTCATCAATAAATTGAGAGTTGTGTTTCAAAAATTAAAAAAAAAGGAAAAAGAAAAGAATGATGTTGCGATATGAGTGTGCTATTAAGGTTGATGAAATCATGAAACCTATCTATAAAAAAATGGAGGAGGAAGGAAGTGTGATACCGGATGGTGTCTTTTTTATGAAACAAAAAATATCAAATGCTTGTGGAACTTTTGCTCTCATTCATTCACTTGCCAATAATCATAACAAAATTGATCTTGGTTAGTTGATAATAATTTTACACTATAACAGAGAACTTTCACTTCTGAAGATTTGTCAGTTTTGTTAAGAAAATGGTAAAATTGCACAGCAATTAATTTCGTTTTCTTGCATATTCTGTTTATTTTCAAAATCATAAAGATTGAAATTAATCATTTCTTGCAATTGCATATCTAAAGATGTTTATTGAAGGCAATGGATCACTGAAGCAGTGGTTAGATAAAGCAGTAACGTTGGGTGTTGAAGAAAGATCTGATTCTTTGGCGGAAAACTCAACACTTGCTGAAGCTCATGATAATTGCGCTCGAGATGGTGAGACCGATTCGAGTACGCCTGTTGATCATCATTTCATTTGCTATCTTAACTACGGTGATAAACTTCTAGAACTTGGTGTGTTATTCGTTTGTTCATTTTTTAGAGTAAATGTTGAAACTACATTGTAGCTTTATTAATTCTTTCTAAATATATACATTTTTTTTTTTTCTCAATAAATTTTAGAATAGATTGGATAAAAAAAAAAAAAAAAAAAGTAGTCGAATGAATGAAATGTTTAAATTTGTAAACAAGAAAAATTTATTATTAAAGGTATGTTTTAATATAACAATTATACAAATTTTGCAGATTCTCGTGCTCCATCTCCTCGTATTTGTGGTCTGACCAGTGATGCAACATTCCTGAAAGATGTTGGAAATTCATGCAAAGCATTGATGAACAAACTGGAGAATGTGTCATTTAGCGCTCTTGCAATCGTTCGTGCGCCCCACTAAATGACACATTCATTGCTTTTTGGTGTCGCTAATTGTATGAGCTTATTTTATGATTGCTTTGCACATATCTTTAACATTTCCATTATGAATCGATTATATCATCTTTTTTCATTGTGTCGCTTATTTGTCGCTATTTGTCAATAATCAATAAATGTTATTTGGTGCAAAGATATTGATTACATTTGTTAATTAATGAACATAAAAGAAGAAAAAATGAACATAAAAGAAACTTAATCCGATCATATCACTAAAAAAACGATTAATTAATAATAAGTTAATATTAATTTAATATTAATTAATCCCAATTATTATTAATTAATTGGGGCTAATTAATATTAACTTATCACAATGATAATATATATATATAATTTTGGTAAACACTCATTTTACATAATTATTCGGAATTATTATCAATTCTTATCAATTTATTTAGATTATTAATTCATTTTACATAATTAGAATTACTGTCAAAAATAAAAAAAAAAAAAAAAAAAAGGTTAGCAATTTAAATTAATTAAGACTGCAAATTCTTTATAATATTTGACAAATATTAACCGATATAAGTATCATACTTTCTGATAATTTGTAACAAATAATACGTACTGTCATATTTTTTCACTTATTTTAACCAGCAAATATATGGAAGAATTTATTTGATAATTGTAAATAAATTCAATTTATATTTGATTTAAAGCTTTTTTTCTTTTTTCTCTCTCAAATTCAATTTTTTTTCTCCTTCACAAAATAAACTTATTTCATTAGGTTCACGTTATGATGAATATTCTCGAGATCCTTCATAAAAAGGATGAGAACATTCTTGATATATTCAAATATACAATCGTACGATTTTATATTTCAAATTTATATTTTATTTTTATTTTCATCCTATCATATGCAAACATATTTCCTATTAGAATGGATTACATAATAATTACAATTTTATTTTCCGTATATTTATGATAATTCGTATAAATTATTTTAGAGCGAAAAAAAAAAGAAAAAAATTAATGATTTTCAAATTTCATAAAAAGAAAACAATTATGATTATAGAATATGTTGATGTAAAGTTAAAATTCCATACGGATTCTCCTAATTAATCGTTTTTTTTCCTTTTTCTTTTTAATTAAAATTTGAGTCAAATCTTAGTTTTAAAAAAATTTATACTTCCTTCTTTCTGTTAATTACTCTTAGATTAAGCTAAATGAATTAGTCATTTTGTAGTTGGTTAATTAGACCATTTAAAAAATTCAAAAAAAAAAAAAGTAAATGAGACAAAAAGCATATAATTAAAATGAAATTAAAAAAAGAAAAGAAAAAATTGTTTTCTTTTTTTAAATGATTTTTGATTGTGTATGTTTGTCAGTGTAATTGTGGAACTAATAGTTAAACAAATTAAATTAGTAACTTAATGGCAAAAAAATTCAGTGCAAAAAAAAAAAAAAGAAAACAAATTTTTTCCCAATTCTTTTCTGATGGAATTTTTTTGTTCTTTTATCTTGAAGAAAAATCATTGAAATTTATATTTTTTTTTTTTTTTTTTGCTGAGAAATTTATGCAATTTTGAAATTCGAATTTAATGCATTGAAATTGAAATTTGAAATTGGAATTTAATGCATTCAGTTTATTTTATGCGTTTTCCTTCTTTTTTTTTTAATTTCATGCCAAATTTTAACTAATTAATTAATTCATTCAAAATATTTAATGCAATATTATTGCTACAATATCAAATTACTATATTTAATTGTTTCAGTATTTCAATAATTCCAATTTCAATAATAAAATGCTAAATATTTAAAGGTTTAGCATCCAATTTAATAATCAAAAAATCAATTAATTCGATTATCAATTATTTCCCAATATTTAAATTTAGCAAATTATTCAATACATTTAGGTTAGAAAAGCAGGGTTGTAATTTTATTAAAATTTAACGTTAAACTTTTTTCTTTATCAAAAAAAAAAAATAAATAATAAAAACAAATAATGAATGAATAATGACAAATAATTGATAATAAATAATTTTTAATCAATTTATTAAAACAGGCTAATGAGAAAGAGTACAATAGTAAATTGAATGATATAAATTTTCTATTGGTTGAAAAAAAAAAAAAAAAAAACAAATGTCAATAATATTAAATATTTTTGAAATGAATTTTAAAGTAGCAATCTGAATACTAACAAATTGTTAATAAACAATATTAAATTATACAGTATACAGTAACTATTTATTACAGTAATAAATACAGGCCATACCGTAATAATCCATTATTTAAGAGAAAATCAAATTAAAAAAATAGGACAGAAAAAAACGCCCAAATTTTTTTTAAAAAAAAAATGAAAGAATTATTATTCTATTTACAATCAATTCACTAACGTTTTTATGATTCGTCCAGTTTTTTTTTTCCTGCCAATTACGGTAATTAGTTTTGTTAAAGTGTACGGTTATTTAATTTGCTAAAACGATATTTATAAATATATCTTATTTAAATTGTAAATAAGAAAAATGAAATCTTTGAAATGAGAAAATATGCATCAAATTTGGGTAAATAATTCTTTATATTTGGGTAAATAATTCTTTATATTACTTATTGATTAAAAAAAATTTATGAAAAAAGTAAAATTCCAATCATAATTTATCTGCTTATCATTGTTTTACATTGGATATTCAATTTTTTAATTGTTTTTGGAAATTTATCTCTTTGCTTTTTCAAATATTATTTGAAGATTCTTTGATTAATTTCTGTAATCACTATTTAACATTTAGTGAAATTTATAATTAACATTTAATATTTAAAAGTATTTAGTTACACTTCTTCACTGATAGCTGGTGATTATGATGGTATCAGCACTGATAACTAGTGATTAGCAAATAGCCAGATTATGTCACACATTGATAATTAATTGATAATAGTAGTGGGTATGTTGAATAATGAAAAGTTTACTTATGCTTCTTCAGTGATAACTGATGATAACACCGATTATAGTGGAATGATAAAAGTAAGAAAAAAGTGCACAATTAGTTTATAAGCCATCTATTCATTATAATTTTCGATGATGATACAATGTCGAATTTCAATTTATCAAACTACAGTTCGTCCAGTTTTTCTTCTTTTTTCTTTTTTTTTTTTTTTTTTTTTTTTTGGTAATTTTCAATACTTAAAAATAATTGCATTTTAAAATTGCAAGAAAAAAAAAAGAAAATTAAATTAAATTGAACATTTTACTGGTTTTGATAGCGTTAATTTTCTCATTTTTCAATAGCAATTTGGTTTTATTGTAACGTATCAATGGCATACATCTAACAATGTCAAATGATTCATTCATTTCAATGAGATCAAGAAAAAATGGAACAAAATTTTTGAAAAAAGGAAAAAAAAAGATTTTTTTTTTTGCCTTTTTTGATAACATTTTTTATGGTTAGGGTTTTCCTTTCTATCAAAATATAAAATTTATACTTTATAGCAAATTAAATAATGCAAAATTAATTATTTTGTTTATTTTATTTTCATATTTGTTTATTTTTTCAGTTGTGTTCATTTATTTATTCACTTGTTTGTTTGTTTATTTGTCTAATTGTCTTGCTTGTGCCTTTTTGTTTGTTTATTTTTCGCTTATTTGTTTATTTATTTATTTATTTCACTTTTTTGTTTGTTTACTTGTTTTCTTGTTCATTTCTTCGTTTCTACATTTATTTATCCTTAGCTCTTACACTATTCGATCAGCATTAATACCTAAATTATCAATGATAGTTACAATTTTTTTAAAACTTCACCAAAAATTAATTAAATTGAATAATATCTGTAAATAAGCAAATAACAAATGAAGGATAATTAAAATTAATTTATGCAAACGAGCATATTGTTGTTTTATGCTTCTGTAATTTCTAAGTCTAATTTCTTCATTATTATATTTTTTTGACATACACATAAGCAAAAACATTTTATACATTGAAATTATTTTCGAAAATTATTTAATAAAGCATAAAATTTTGTTATGTTTACATTTCATTTGTAATAAACAATTTGAGTAATCGATATTCCTAAATTTGAAATTTTGAAATATAAATTTGAAATATACGTATATTCTACACGTATATTTCATAAATATATTTATCATATAATCATTATTTTACGTTCATTTATATAACTTTTAATTTTGTCAATTCATTTCTTTTTTTTTTTGATTAACAAATTACTAATTAATTTGCAAGTTTCTCAATAACTAATAAAAAAGAAGGTAAAGGTGAGAAAATAATAGAATAATATTTTTTATTTAAATACTCATTAACAATCATATGTATATTTTTCAGTTTTTATGACTATTATTGCATATACAAACTATAAATAAAATTAATTCTTGATGTTAATGTTATAAGTTTCCGAAATGAATAATGAAATAAATAATGGAAGTGGAAAAAATCGGAAGTTCCAGAAAATATTTAATTCATTTAACTAATTAAGAAATTTTCATCGTTACTATAAAAAATTTGGTATAGATTTGAAAATCTAAAAAGTTATCTAAGTTGCATCATTCTAATTAATGAATGAAAAAAGTGAATGAATCGACTAATTATTTATTAAGTAAAAATAAATTGATTAATCAATTGATTATTTTAATCATTCATCCATTGCATTTTAAATTAATAAATTAATCACAAGTCAATTAATTCATTTTATAATAGAAATAAACAGATTCTATGATTTCTTTAATATCTTATTCAATTGATAATTTGATAATATACTAAAACGGATAGTAAGAGATAAACAAAAGACAGAAAAAAGTACTATGGTATCTATTATTTCTCATAAACTTCATTATTCCATTACTTTATTAATAAATAGGGACAAATAGACAAATTATGGTGACAAGTTGAGGTGACAAATTAAGGTAAAGTTAAAAACATTGAAATGATTTAGAAAAGATAAAATAAATGGAAGAGAAAAGAAAAAGATGAAATGGGTAAAAATTTTTGAAGTAATTAAAAGGTAAAAAGAAGGAGAAAATGGGTAAGAATAGAAGAAAAGATCGAAGATTATTCATTCGTTCAGCAATTTCATTCATTCTTCCTAAATTTATAATTTTACCTCCCAAACAAAAATGAATTATTCAATTTTATCGTGGTGAAAAATTTTTTTTTTTTCTTTTTTCATCCTCTTTTTTTTCTACTACTTTTATCATTTTTATCTAATTTTTTTTTTTTCATTCTCATTTTATCCTAGCATTAATTAATTAATTAATTAATTAACTGGATGCTTTATAAAGGTTAATAAGCTTTTTTAAAAAAATCTAAGCGAAAAATCTAAACGAAATGTGTTCAATGAATATTTTGTTATCATTGAAATTTTAACAAGAAGTGTAGCATTCTAATAACTAATTCAAAAAATGAATATGACTAAAGGATATTTTAAAAAATAATTTCAATTGACAAGTCATTTTAAAGTATTAAAATCCTAATTTGTTTATTAATTGATTAATTGGATACTTAAAAAAAAAATTATCAATGTATTATTTTAAATGGCGAGAAAAAGATTATCTATTTGATAATATTTAAATACAATTTGGAAGGGAGAAGGAGAGAGAGAGAGAGGGAGGGAGACAAAAGGATTCAATTAAAATATGTTTTTCTTTAATAAACTGTCCTCCTACTAAGGAAGTAATTAATTGATGATAAGAGATACATCAATATTAAAAAAAGCAGAAATTTATTATCATTGAAATTTTGATAAATAATGTGAAATATTACTTAACTAGCTCATATCACGAATATATGACATAATTAATCAATAAATGATTAATTCATCCTTGATAGATCATTCTAAAATACCTAAGAATATGTAACTATGACTATTTATTAGTATCTAATCAAAATAAGAAAATCAAAGGTAACAAGTAAATCAGTTATTAAATACAATTATTGAAGTGCTAATTATGGATGCAATTATTAATTATATAATTAACTAATAAATATTAATTACACTTTGCTCTATTTCGATTATTTCAAAATAAAAAGCAGCAAAAAAGCTCAAAGTATCGAAATTTTAAAGTATAATTTCAAATTTTTGATTACTGAAATAATTTCAGCAAATAAAGATGAAACTTCGCAATTCTCTAATTAATATGTTGGGTGAATTTATTGGTCTTCATAAAACACCTGATTTCAAATTAAATGCTCAATCATCACAAGCTATCATTGAAGCAGTAGCTGCAGAAACACGACGTTATTCGTTATCAATGAATTATTCCACAACAGATAATAATGTTAATTTTTTTTTTTTCTTAAAATATAATTAAGAAAAAATTTTCAACTTAAATTTAAAATTTTATAATCATATTATTATTGTTATTTTATTATTGTTATTGTTATTATTAATTTAATTAATCTATGATTACTACAGGAATACCCAGTAGTGCATCAACGATCATTCTCGACAAACAGTGCACATGATGGAAACGATCTGGTAAGCATGGATCCATCATGTCGCCGTCTTTCAGAGCCTACGTCATTGCCGTCATTTACGCCACCCAGAAAACGTCATGTTGAGCAACGATTACTCTTACATTCTCGTTAGTTAGTATTGTATTCAATTTCATATTCATTAAACTATTAAATCTAAGATATCACTGATAATGATCAATCATTTAATTGCTAAATTTTTTAAGTTTTATAGATTATCATAATCATTAAAATTTTCATTGCTTTGTTTCTATAATAATAAATAAATAATTAAACTATAATAAAAATCCAAGGATAATTGTAATAGTTGTGTATTTCATAGAAAAAAAATATATCAATTAGTTGATACTAATGAAAATATTAAAAATCGTCTTTTTTTCTCAAAAAAAAAATGAATTTCTACAAAAAAATTAAAAAAATAAAAATTTTTATTAAGCAAAGAATTTAAAAATAAATGATTTAAAAAAAAAAAGAAAGGGAACAATTAATAATCAATCATTAATTACATGAATTTAAAAAGTTTTAACTCAATTTTGCCAGCAATTTTTTTCGAGAAAAAAATGAACTAAATTCCATTAATTTTTTAAAGTATTTTTAATTTAAAATATTTGAAAGTAAAAAGATTGGAATAGAAAGAGTTATCATTAAAAAAAAAAAAAAAAAATATCTTCTTTAGCAAAATTTTCCTTTCCTTCTACTATTTTCCTCTTTCCCCCCTCTTTCTTTTAATTATTAATGCTAATATAATAATTAAGTACAATAAATCCTTTACAATTATTTTATTAGCATACGCTATCTTTTACTTTATTTAAAATCATTGAAAATAAATTTGAAAAGGAATTGTTTAAAGTCATCAATATTTTTAAGTATTTCAATTCTTTCCTTTTTTTTGTTCTAGCATTTTCTCCCCTTCTTTTCTTTCTAATAAATTAGTTTTTCTAATTTTTTTTCTTTCTTCACATTCAATTCTTATAAAATTTTATTTCATACTTTTATTGTTTCCTCAACTTTTGACAAGAAATTTGATTAAGATTTCTTTTTTTTCCTAATTTTCCTAAAAGTTAAACTTGTTCCAGTTTTCTTTTTTTTTTTTTTTAAAGAAATTAATTTCAAGAAAATTTTGTTTCTCTTAAAGAAGGAAATGAAAGAGAAGGAAAGAGAGGAAAAAGAGAAAAATAAAAAAAAAAGATAGAATTTTGATCATTAATTCTTTTTTTTAAAAAAAAAAAAAAAACATTTAAAACTTAATATTAACTGACATTTATAATTGCAAATGAACATTAAATATTGTATCATTTTTAACCAATTAAAAATTAAAAAATTCCCACTTGTCAATTTCAATTATTAAATTTGTAAATTTGTTTGCTTAAAAAGAAATGAAAAAGCAATTTTACAGAGAAAAAGAAATCACGAAAGCAAAATACACTGAGTAGCTTTTTTGGACGAAGTGATAAGGAAGTAAACATTGATAATTGTTTCAATGATCGACAATCAAATCGATATAATCGACGAGGTTCTGAGACATTTTGTGGTTCAGTTGCAGCATATTCAAATAATTTGAGTACCATCAATACAAGACTGTAATCTTCAAATATCATTTTAAGTACCAAATGATTTTACAGCTTTTACTTCATTTGTTGATTAAAAAAAACAAAAGAAAAAAAAAAAATTTACAAAAAAAAAAAATTACAAACGTTTGGTATTTTAACTTAGAAATAAGTTTTAACTACTGTTAAATTTTCTTTTTACTTACTCTAATTAAATTTTTATTTATTCTATCAATTTACTTATTCTAATTAAGTTTAATCTTAAATAATATCATAAATAATGCCTTATTCTCTTATCATTGATCATATGTTGAAATATGATAAATGTCATTATCGATAATTTGATTGAAGAATATTGATAAAAATTGATTTTATATGTATAATAAATTTATCTCTGCCTGTTATTATTCGTGATTTAATAATGGCAATTTACATAAATCGATTAAAAAAAAAAATGTCGAAGTTAATTTGATATTGAATATATCGAATAATAAATTCAATATCAAATTCTCTTGTCATCATTTTATTACGTAGTTATTTTATAACATTTAATAGAAATGATCTATCAGTTAAAACTTATGTTTATAAGTAATACAGTTTATTGTCCAAAATGTTAATTAATTACCATCAATAATGACCTTCTTTATATTTATACATATGTGGTACAATAGTTATGGCACTTTACCACTTGTGGTACTTTATCATTTATGGTACTTTATCACCTATGGTGCTTTATCATTTATAGTACCTTATCACTTATGGCACTTTATATCAGTCACCTACACATAACGCACTATGTATTAATGTCATCCATGACATTACTGATATTTCATATCAGTTCTCCGTCTGAGATATCTGATACTATGGAACTAAGAAGTAGCCATGATATCTAACATCAATAAAGCATATCATTCAAAGCATTCAATTACTCACTCCAATGATCTTTATTCATGATATCACTAATGATATCACATACTGCTCAAAGGGCATTTCGCATTATCATATCGGTCACCTACCTATGATACCACATACCGGTAATTTATACACAGCATTTCATATCAGTTACTTATCAGTAGTGCTGTGTATCAGTAATTTATATACTCCACTTCTACTAGCTACCTATCAGTAATACTACATGTCAGTAAGTTGCTTATCAGTGGTACCACTCACCAGCCACCACATCACTTAATATCAAAGGAAGCACTGCAACAAAGTCTGATAAGAAGTCATCCCAAACGATAACACCTGAAATGGACGGATGGCACTTTACGGTTAGCTTTTAGATAAGCTGTGGGTTTAGATTTTTAAAATAGATTAAATGAGATTATATCAGGTTAGATTTCTAGGGTAGTGTTGCTTACTTAAATTACGCATATCAGGTTAGATTTCTAGGATAGTGTTACTTACTTAAGCTTGAAATATTATATTTGAAAGTTATTAATCTTTTTGCTATATACATTTTTTTATTATTTAATATATAAATTTGTAATTGGAAAAATTGCATTACTTCTTTTTTCTTTTTGAAATGTATTTTAATTGAATTGTTCGTCATTCCGTTTCAATGAATTCATTTTAATATTGAAGCAGCAATTTGAATTGTTAATGATAATATTATTATCATTGAATAGATGCAATATATAAGAAAAGCTTTGGGTTGTATGTATGGACAAGTCATCGGTGATTCATTAGGATCGCGATATGAATTTCAGTCTGCTTCAATTGTTCAACAAATGATAGCGGAAGATTTGGTAGAATCTTTTCTACCAATTATTGGTGGTGGACCATTTCACCTTCTGCCAGGACAGGTTTCTTTCTTTATTTTATTTCTTCATTATTATCTTTACTATTTTTATTATCATTAGCAATAGTAATAATATTATTATTACTTTCATTGTATTACTCTTCACTCATATAACCTCTATAAATTTATTATTACTATTACTATTATTACTTTATATTATTTTACTATTTTATTATTTATGCAATTTCTATTACACTACTATTAATTTCATTAATTACTACAACTATAGTAATAAAATTGAATTGTTCATTTCCAAATTATCATTTTTCAAAAATTTTTTCCTGAAATAGAAGGAGGAGAAAGAGAAAAAAATGAAAATTTTTGGAAGAATATTTGAATTATGAAATTATAGCAGGCAGTTAATGAAACATTTATAAAATTCTTGTATTTATGAATGACTAATCGATAGTTGTTGTTTTGTTGAAATTTGATGTAATATTAAGTGCTAATGTTAGTTTATTAAATAGTTTGGAATTCGAAAAGACAATTATGAATATGAAAAAGAAGCAAAAATCTTGCTAAAAAAAAACTTTAAACCTTATACAGTTTAATGAAAAAAAAAGAAAAAAAAAATTAGAAAGTTAGAAATAACATTTTCTAACGCTTAAAATTGGCCAAAAGGATTTCCGGTGACGGATGATTCCGAAATGGCTCTTTCATTGGCTTCTAGCTTAATCCGTTGTGGTAAATTTGATGCTGCTAATGTTGCTTGTAGCTATGTTTCCTGGTGTCAGTCTAAACCACCGGATATCGGGAATGCTACTCGAAATGCACTAACTATTGGTATTTGCATTTGAATACTTGAATTCATTTTGCTATTTAGCTATTATACCGTTAATTGAACCATTAATTAATGATTCATTGATTGAAATTTAAAAGATGATAAGTAATAAAATTTATAATTTTCAAAAATTAAATGAAAATATATGAAATTTTTGGCTGTAAAGTGAATGCTTCTACTATATTATTTTATAGAAATACTTGAAAATTGAAAAATGACATTTTTTTGCCATTGTTTTAGCTATGAAAACAGAAAAAAAAAAAAAAAGCTATGTGATTTACAGGTAAACAATTGTCACCTAATTGGCATCACGAATTGAATGATATCGAGAAAGAAGAAATACATCAAGAAGTATTAAATAATGTGAGGAATTATAATGTTGGCAGTTTAAGTAATGGATGTCTTATGCGAATATCATCTTTAGCTATTTATTCCATTAATGTTTTATCCATGCAACGGTAATTTTATTTTTCTTTCTGACCTGATTATCATCAATCAGTCGATTCTATCCAAGTTAGATATTGACAAAACATATTTCTTTTTGTTAAATATTTGATGGAAAGACACTAGAAATTCGAGACATAACTGACCTTATAGAAATTTTTACTTTTGGTTTTATGTTTTTCTCGTGAAATGCGAATTTGTAAGAATTTAAATTACTTCTGATGTTAATATATTTTCTAAATTTTTTTAATATTTTATTATCTGATTTTTTTAATATTTAAGTATCTGAAGTTATAAATTAATTATTGGAAATTTAAGAAATTATAGGAATAATTCTTTGTTAACAATTCATTTCTTCAATAATTTTTATTCCTTGACGTTTGTGGAAAGTAAAGTTTATTGAAATTTAGTATAGAAGAAATGGTTCGTGCAGATTGTTCACTTACACATTGTGAAGAAGACGCTAAACAAGCTGTATTTTCATACGTTATAGCGATGCGACATTTGCTTATTGGAAAAAGTAATAAGGTTATTTTACTGATACTTTATTAGAAAATCATGAATCGTGAAGCATTTCTTGAAGTGTGAGATGTTCGAAATGGTACCATAAATATAAATAAAATGAAATAAATAAAGAAACTAATTAATCAAATAAATTGATAAGTTATTTAATTAAATAGATAAATGAATATAAATACGTATGTATGGTTTGAATTTACTGATAAATAATAAAAATGCTTCGTCAAATATTGTCATTTTTTTCATACATTAGTCGCAATTATTTTCATATGATGAAATACGTTGCTAATGGTAAAGTTTAGAATATGAAAATTTTTGCGAAAATGTTTGTTGATTAACCTGGATTGCTTAAATTGCAAAATCTGATTGCATATTTGATAGGCTAGCTTCACTTGAGAAGTAAACACATTGACTTAATCTTTTCCAGTTAAAAAATTGTTTTTACAATTAAATGAGATTTTTATTTCAGTAATAAATTACTATATGATAATAATGAGAAAAATGAAATTTTCTCGTCATTAAAGTGGACAACTTTCTTAGAAAGATGAAAATCGATGTAATTTGCGTTTATATTTAAGTATGTTGTTGTATCTGATGCAAAAATTTCAAAATGATTTTATATAGGAAGCATTTGAAATAGCATTAAATGCTACTCAAAGTATGCGTATTCGTGAACACTTGTTAGCAGCTCAAGAAAAACCTGTACCTGTAAATATTGGAAATCAATTTGTGAATGGTGACGAGAAAGCAATAGGATATATTGGGGTAGCACTACAGGTTTACTTTTGTTTACTTTATAAGGAACTCTTTGATGCTCGTAAAATTATATAGCGTATAAATTTTTAATTGGGATTGTAAGAATGATAGTTATAAATTAAGATCAAAAATGGATAACAAAAGAAAAAATGTTCCAGAGTGCTTTTTATGAACTTCTTCATGGCACATCGTTTACGAAGTCAGTAATTGACGCAATATCACGTGGAGGTGATACTGATACAAATGCTGCTATCGTTGGAGCTTTAATTGGTAAGAGTTTCCTTTTTTTTTTTCTTGTTTTTTATAAATTTTATAAATTTAACTTTTATTTCCTGTTAGATGAGCAGCAATATAGAGTAAAAATTGAGCAAGTTAGAATGATATTGTATTATATGTCAGTTTACTACTTGGAAAATTCATAACTAATTTTTTACTTAATAATTCTTTATTATCTTATTTGGTTACATTGGCGAATATGGAAATTCGGCTAATCTGTGACTTGCACTTTTTTTCTTAAAATACTGAAATACTGCATTGTTTTAAAGCAGTACTAAATAATCATTGCTTTTTCTTTTATTTGAATTTTTTCAACTTTTTCCGTATTTTTTTGAAGTTTTCAGGTGCACGATATGGTATTGACGAAATTCCAGAGCAGTGGATTAAAACAGTTAGAGAAACTAAACCACGAGTTAATTTAACTACCATTGATTATAATGTTGAACAAATTGTCAATAAATTACTAATGTTGAATTAATTATTCTGTAATTTTCTCCTCTCTTACCCTTTTTTTAAAGGATTTATATATGTTTATATTTATTTATTTATTAATATTTTGTTGTGCAAACATAATACTTTTTATTATCACATTTTTATTTCATAATTATAATATTATTAAGCGGTGTTTTTTATTTTAGGAAATTCTTTGCATTAAAATGATTTTGAATGATTGTAAGACGGAATGATGTAATAATTGCAATTTTAAAAATCATCCTAGTGTAGGTATTAGTAAAGTGATAATTTTTAACTTTATTTATTTGTTTATTTTTTTTGCTGAACTTTAAATGAAAAATCCTTTGCAAGCTATCATATTATATGGCAGTAATAGAAATTGTCCTCAACTAATTTATTGAAGCTAGTTATTTTTTTGTTCTAGATTTATTTTAGCACATCAGGCAATATTATTTTATATTATTATGAATTACTCTTAATAATATAAATTAATTAATTATTAATTATTATTTGGAAAATGAAAAATAGATGAAAAGGGGAGAAATTTTTTATATAACACTCTATCTGTTAGATAAATGTTATATTAATGACTACAGTTTGTATATTTGTATTGTTTTGCTATTAATTGTAATTAATCTTTCGCACTTTAATTAATGTTTTGTTATTAAAGCCAAGTGTAGGACAAAAAAAAAAAAAAAAAAGGAAAATAATAATGAAAGAAATTTGATGACTATTATTTATTGTGTTATTATTATTTTTGTAATTAAGAATTTTTTAAATTTAGTCTACGTTAGACTTTTTAATTTTTGTGATGTTTACATTTATTTTCATTAAATGTTGTTTAACATCATGGTAATATGTAATTCTTGATCTACTAGATATATGAGAGAGAAAATGTCCTTCGTACAAGAAATCTGTTTATTTTAACAAAAAGAAAAAAAATGTTAAAGAAATAAATTTAACAAGTGCTTTTATTGACGCAAAAGGATCTTATCAATTTAATCAGTTATTTTGTCATTTTAGCAATTTTAATCAGTTCTCTCATCTTACAAATTACAAATATAGTATTCTTCTAGTGTCTATGAATTTTTAAATTAAAATTTTCCATAATCTGAAGGCGGAACTGATGAATGCATACTTCGAATATTGCTAACAGTAAATGGACGATTGGGTTTTAATTTTAATGAAAATTTTTATTTTATTAAAGTTATGTTAGACTAGAGCGGTTTGTTAAATAATGAACTGATAATTATCACTCCTTTATGTTTTCTTAATTAATTAGTTCTACTTACCAATGATTAACTATGTTATCAGTGGCCGTTGTATGTGTATGCTATGATATACTATAAAAATACATTCGAGTAATACTTAAAAATTATAATATTATCAGATAAATTTGCTAAACATACGTTAATAGTTTAATGAAGATTATCTTACAATTATTAAACTTTATGAGTTTTCTCTTTTTTTCTTTTTGTCAAAATTACAAAATTAAATTATAAATATTTCTGTTGATTGAAGTTTATTTTTGAATTTAGAACTGATTAGATTCATTTCATCAATATTTTATTTGCGCTAATTTAAAAAGCTTTTTTTTTGTTAAATGAAAATGTTATTGACCAATTATTGAGCGGCAGAAAAAAAAAAGAACAAATTAAATTTTTGGGTTAATTTTAATGTAAATCGATTTCAAAAGGATATTTTAGGGCAAAAATGGTTATTGATTAACAGAGCAGTTTTTATACAGAAATTTAAAAAATTTATGATAATAGTTGAAAAAGAGAAAAATTTATTTCATTTAGTAAAATTGCCAAATTTTACATTTGAATAAAAATTTCCTCTAAATTGTCACTTTATCTTATAAATAAAATTAGATTTGCTTTATGCATAAATAGCAAAAGTTATCGTTGACATTCATTATCATTTTTATTTTGTCGGCTAAATTAAACAACAAATTGTACATTTATATGATTTACAATTTACTTTATTTATTTAAAATCTCTCTCTTTTTTCTCTTCCTTACTTTTTCTTTTTCTTTTGGTATTATTATTATCATTAAAAAATAAGTTAAAGAATAATTATTAAAGTTTAGAAGAAATATGCAATAGTTTAGTAAATCGCTTTTTTTTTTCTTTTTTTTAAGTTTTTTAAATTAGTAAAATTTTATATAATTTGCTCAAACTTTTGTGTTTTATTTTGTTTTCTTCTTCACTTTATGCCTTATTTTTTTCATCAATTTTCATATCTTTTACAATTTATGTTATCTTAAAGAGTGAAATTTTTTAAATATTTTGTTAATTCAGAAATATTAAAATTATTTCTATGATATATTAATAATGAAATTGTGAGAAAAAAATTGATTCGTATTGATTCTATTCTTTTCGCAGTGAATTATTTAAGGAATCTTGAAATGAAGAATGAGATAGGTGCGAAATCCGGCAGTGCAGAATTATGTAGATGAGAAATGGAGGCTGAGGAGAATCATAAAATTTGGAAATCATGTCATCTAGAGTCATTTAAGGAGGGAATCATGTCATCTAGAGTCATGTAAGGAGGGAATGATGTCATCTAGAGTCATGTAAGGAAGGAATGATGTCATCTAGAGTCATGTAAGGAAGGAATGATGTCATCTAGAGTCATGTAAGGAAGGAATCATGTCATCTAGAGTCATTTAAGGAAGGAATCATGTCATCTAGAGTCATTTAAGGAGGGAATCATGTCATCTAGAGTCATTCATGTAAGGAAGGAATCATGTCATCTAGAGTCATTTAAGGAGGGAATGATGTCATCTAGAGTCATGTAAGGAGGGAATGATGTCATCTAGAGTCATGTAAGGAGGGAATGATGTCATCTAGAGTCATGTAAGGAGGGAATGATGTCATCTAGAGTCATTTAAGGAGGAATCATGTCATCTAGAGTCATGTAAGGAGGGAATGATGTCATCTAGAGTCATGTAAGGAGGGAATCATGTCATCTAGAGTCATGTAAGGAGGAATCATGTCATCTAGAGTCATGTAAGGAGGGAATGATGTCATCTAGAGTCATGTAAGGAGGGAATCATGTCATCTAGAGTCATTTAAGGAGGGAATCATGTCATCTAGAGTCATGTAAGGAGGGAATGATGTCATCTAGAGTCATGTAAGGAAGGAATCATGTCATCTAGAGTCATGTAAGGAGGGAATCATGTCATCTAGAGTCATGTAAGGAGGGAATGATGTCATCTAGAGTCATGTAAGGAGGGAATGCATGTCATCTAGAGTCATGTAAGGAGGGAATGATGTCATCTAGAGTCATGTAAGGAAGGAATCATGTCATCTAGAGTCATGTAAGGAGGGAATGATGTCATCTAGAGTCATGTAAGGAGGGAATGATGTCATCTAGAGTCATGTAAGGAGGGAATGATGTCATCTAGAGTCATGTAAGGAGGGAATGATGTCATCTAGAGTCATGTAAGGAAGGAATCATGTCATCTAGAGTCATTTAAGGAGGGAATCATGTCATCTAGAGTCATGTAAGGAGGGAATGATGTCATCTAGAGTCATGTAAGGAGGGAATCATGTCATCTAGAGTCATGTAAGGAGGGAATGATGTCATCTAGAGTCATGTAAGGAAGGAATCATGTCATCTAGAGTCATGTAAGGCATGTAAGGAGGGAATCATGTCATCTAGAGTCATGTAAGGAGGGAATGATGTCATCTAGAGTCATGTAAGGAGGGAATCATGTCATCTAGAGTCATTTAAGGAGGGAATCATGTCATCTAGAGTCATGTAAGGAGGGAATCATGTCATCTAGAGTCATGTAAGGAGGGAATGATGTCATCTAGAGTCATGTAAGGAGGGAATCATGTCATCTAGAGTCATGTAAGGAGGGAATCATGTCATCTAGAGTCATTTAAGGAGGGAATCATGTCATCTAGAGTCATTAAGGAGGGAATCATGTCATCTAGAGTCATGTAAGGAGGGAATGATGTCATCTAGAGTCATGTAAGGAGGGAATGATGTCATCTAGAGTCATGTAAGGAGGGAATCATGTCATCTAGAGTCATGTAAGGAGGGAATCATGTCATCTAGAGTCATGTAAGGAGGGAATCATGTCATCTAGAGTCATGTAAGGAGGAATCATGTCATCTAGAGTCATGTAAGGAGGGAATCATGTCATCTAGAGTCATGTAAGGAGGAATCATGTCATCTAGAGTCATGTAAGGAGGGAATCATGTCATCTAGAGTCATGTAAGGAGGGAATCATGTCATCTAGAGTCATGTAAGGAGGGAATGATGTCATCTAGAGTCATGTAAGGAGGGAATGATGTCATCTAGAGTCATGTAAGGAAGGAATCATGTCATCTAGAGTCATGTAAGGAGGGAATCATGTCATCTAGAGTCATGTAAGGAGGGAATCATGTCATCTAGAGTCATGTAAGGAGGGAATCATGTCATCTAGAGTCATGTAAGGAGGGAATGATGTCATCTAGAGTCATGTAAGGAAGGAATCATGTCATCTAGAGTCATGTAAGGAGGGAATCATGTCATCTAGAGTCATTTAAGGAGGGAATCATGTCATCTAGAGTCATGTAAGGAGGGAATCATGTCATCTAGAGTCATGTAAGGAGGGAATCATGTCATCTAGAGTCATGTAAGGAAGGAATCATGTCATCTAGAGTCATGTAAGGAGGGAATGATGTCATCTAGAGTCATGTAAGGAGGAATCATGTCATCTAGAGTCATGTAAGGAGGGAATCATGTCATCTAGAGTCATGTAAGGAGGGAATCATGTCATCTAGAGTCATGTAAGGAAGGAATCATGTCATCTAGAGTCATGTAAGGAGGGAATCATGTCATCTAGAGTCATGTAAGGAGGGAATCATGTCATCTAGAGTCATGTAAGGAGGGAATCATGTCATCTAGAGTCATGTAAGGAGGGAATGATGTCATCTAGAGTCATGTAAGGAAGGAATCATCTAATTTCTCATCTAATTTTAGCTCATTTTTGACAGCAATTAAGAATAATATTAGATTAAAAATATTAGATACGATGCCTTCTTATGCAAAACTATTATTAATACTGATAAAAGGAAAAAATGGGAGTAATTATATTTATGAACTTATCATCAAACTCTTCTTAATATTTAAAAAAGAATGAACAAAGAAAAAAATATTAATATTATTTTAGAAAACCGATAATTCATCATCTGTGAATTTTCTTAACATCAATCTCTTTTAAATCAAATGATATTTGATATTTTAAAAAACTGTTAATAGATACATCAGTAAATTAAACAAATATTGTCGTCCAAAAAATAAAGAGTTATTTATAATTATGGAGAAAAAAAACAACAATAAACAGTAATTGTAATTCTAAAATTTTGTTTATAAATTTCCATTTAAAAAAAAAAAAGTGAAAGAAAAGGAAGGAAACAAATTTTTAACTGTCTCTTTTGTTATTTTTCTCTATATATGGCGACATTTTCCAGTATCATCGATGATTTAAAAAAGAAAAAAAAAAACTTTTTTTACTGTCCTTTCGTTTCGTTCATCAGTTTTGGTAGAGTCTTTCTCGAGCATACCTGTATTGCTGATTAATTTTCATTTTCTTTCTTTTTTTTTTTTCCTTTTTATTTAAAAATATAATTGATTTAACAGAAAACAATTATCACATTACTACTCACTTCCTTCAGATTATTCCTTCTATAAACAATAATAGCAACAACAATAAACAACGAACAATAATAAATTACCAAGCATTTGTATTCAACAACAATAATGTATACTATTCCATTTTGGTAAGTTTTCAAATTTATTTTATTCAAAAAAAATTTCTTCATTCTATTAAATTTTTATAAAAATTTTAAAAATTGTCATTTTATTTTTTATTTTATTCTTCCTTTTTCCTTTTTCTTTTTTAATTTCTTTCAATTCAAATTCATATTAAGAAAATTTCTTTTTTTTTTTTTTTTTAACCAACAAAATTACGAAAAAACTTTTTAATTTGTTCGATTTTTTTGTTTATTGTAGCAATTATTATTGCTTATTGTTATGTGTAAAATTTATTGAAAATAAAAAATAAAAATATAACTCAAAAATTTTTAAATTGCTGGGATTATTTTATCATGTAATCAAAAGAATAATTAGAGCAATGATTGTTTTTTACAAATTGTTAACTTTTTCATTTATTTTGTTTAGTGAATTCCTAATAAATATAATATATATAAAAATAAATTAATATAATAATAATTACAATAATTCTTAAATAAATATAAAATTCATATCCATTTTACAAAATCAATGAAATTTATTATCACTGTATTCCTCCTCCTCAAATTAAGTATAAATTCTGAACAATTTTGAAATGTAAATTTTATTTATATAATCAATTTAATAAATGTAAATATTTTTAACACAATAAATTTGTTTACTTTTTGTAGGAAAAAAAACGAAAAAAAAAACATATTTGTATTATTTATTGTTGAAATTTAAAAATAATCATTGAAATATTTGACGAAGTAATTAAATAAAAAATAATAATTGAAACAATTTTTTTCTTTAAAATAAAGAAAAATAATTTATTTGCTCAATTTTTATTAATTTATTTTGTTGATATAAAAAAAATATATATAAAAATTCTGGCATATGAAAAATTTATTTTATGTTTTTTTTTTTTAATCAGTGTCATTGATAAGTTTATATATTTTTTCCATATCTTGGTCATTTTTAAGGCATTTTAATTTTTTGCTTTTTTATACTTTACAGATATAATAATTACACAAATTTTAATTTTATACTTTACAGATATAATAATTACACCAAATTTTAATTTTATATTTAACACTAAAATTTTAACATAATTTAATAATTGCGCATTGTTTTTTATTCATTCTTAATCAGCAACATTGATTTTTTATTAATTAATCAAATATATTTTACAGATATAATAATTTCGCTGAAATACAGAAAGTTATAATAATAATTTTGATAAAACTTAAAAATTCATTTTAGCAATCATTAAGATAAGATTTTAGAAAAAGTAATATTGGCAACAATTACCTTTTTTTAAGTGCAAATTGAATTTTAACTTAGTACTTTGGAAATTCCTCGCTGTTCAATGATTAAAAATGATCAGCGCAAATTGTCGTTTACTTAATTTTAGTTTTTTCTTTTCTTTCTCCTTCTCATACGTCACAATTCTTAATTTCAATGAATGATTCATTATTGTTGTTTAAAAAATAACGAAAAAAACATTTTTTAAATGACAAATTTTTTTGTTTGTCATTGATTATTGAACAATTTAAAGAACAATTAATTACATTTATTTATCGATCTTTTTCATTTTCTCATTAAATATCAAATATTTGAATTTATAGCACTGTTAGAATAATTTATATTCAATTATTTAAATAATTCATTCATTTAATTTAGTCTAATCTAATTAAAATTCAATCTAATCTAGTCCAGTATCAAGGTGAATAAGTCTAAATGATTGTTCTAGAATTATTCTCATTTTTTCGGATGATTACATTTTCAATATTTAATTTTTTTTTTTTTTAATTTCTATTGGTGAAATCAAAATTGAATTTTAACTTAAAAAAAAATAATATATATAATACCTTAGTTAACTTACTTTAGAAATTCCTCTCTGTTCCTTTAAAATTGTAATAACAATTCATTTATCATACAAATTGTTAATAATGAAAAATTTTCTCTATTAATTTATAAACTTATTTTTAAAAAGTTTAAAAAAAAAAAACTGCTCAGGAAATTATTTCATAGTTAATATTGCTTTATTAAAATTTAATTCAAATTAATAAAAATATAAATAAGGGAGAAAGAAGAAAAGGATTAAACGCTAACCTGTTATAACAGTATTTATTTTTTCACCATCTTATAGCATAGAAAAAGAAATAATACAGAATTCTATATTTGTTGTAAAAAAAAATTGATATTTTATAAAATTTAGCAAACCAGAAGAATAATTATATAATTTGTATTCATGTAATAATAATAATAATAATAATAATAATAATAATAATAATAATAATAATAATAATAATAATAATAATAATAATAATAGCAATAGTAATAATAATAATAAATAATATTATACAATTAAAAATAATATTAGAAATTACAAATTGAAGAGCTTTCATCCATTAAATTAGTTATAAATATAATTGTAAGTGTTAATTATATTTTCACTAATAAATTTCATAAATTCCAACAAAGAATAAACAATTAATAATTAATACAACTATTTTGCTAGCAATACTTGTTGATAATTTAAGAATATAAAAATATGTGATTGATCAAAAAAAAAAAAAACTTTTATTTACTTTTTTTTTTTTTTTTCAACAATTCTTTTATTTTCTTTTTTCAGGATTTCCCTTTTTGTGATAATACCGGGAAGAATCACATGTGCTGTTATCATTAATAGCTTCAATGGACTTACAGTGGGTTCTAATGAACTTAATGGTATCGGAAATGATAACACTGATATGATTAATGTCAATAATGTCTCTGGAGCTTCTCGTTCCTATCCACGTAGCAATTACGGACGATCAGCGCCGGTATCATATTCTTCTTCCGCTTCCTCTTCCGCCTCTTCCGTATCGATAAATTCATTTCAAGGTAATATTGGTGGTTCTAATTCATTTCAAAATAATGCTGGAATATCATTGATACCAACAAGAAATGCTGCTGCAACTTATCGCTCTTCGTGGGTATCGTTATCATATTTTTATTGTTTTTATCATTTTTTCTTTTTCTTTTGTAATTTGATTGAAATGAACTTATTTAATTTATAATATGAATAATTTTGAATATAAAATGATAATAAACATTTTTATTCTGTGTTCTTGTTTTTGCTTTTTTTTACTTTGTTTTCACAATGTTATATAGTTGATTGTTGCAATTTTTTATGTGTTTATTCGTTTACTCAAATTTAATAATAAATTTCCAAAAGAACATAGAATTTTTTGATTTATTTATTCGTTAATAAATAGCAATTATAATAAATAATGAAAATATTTCTAAAAATGGCTTTTACCAAATGTATATTATGGTTATTTATTGCTGTGTTTATTATTATTATTATTATTGTTATTATTATTATTATTATTATTATTATTATTATTATTATTATTATTATTATTATTATTATTATTGTTATCACTATCATTATTATTATTGTTACTATCGCCGTTATTACCATTATTGATATTTATTATTATTATTATTTATTTGTTATTATTATTATTAATTGTTATTATTATTATTGTCATTATTAATCATTAATTCTTGTCGCCATCATTCTGGCCCTGTTTTTGGTTTACTCTTATCTACGTTATCAGTAATTTTAACCGACTAAGTAACGTATGATATGATTCTTTATGATATTAACATTCTATCATATCAGTCTTTTCAGGTATTTTCAAATGTCGTGAAATGTGCCAAAATTAAGTTTAATTTTAGTAGAAATTTTAGACGTACAAAGAGGAAAACATATTAGGAAAGAAACAGAAAGACAAAGATATACATTTTAATGAGATTAATTGAGTTAATTAATTGACTCATTTAGTTCACAATTAACTAATAGAATGATTTCAAATTTCGATTTTTTCATGCCAAAAATAAGGAAATTAAAAATTTTTGGTGATTAATAATTATTAATAAAAAAATTATTTATTATTTAAACAAAAAAGTTTTTCCAATATTTTATTTTATTATTTTTTCATTTATACATGTATTAATATATGTTATTTGTCTAATTATTTACGACTAATTAATAATATTTTCATGTTCCGATATAAAAAATTGAAAATTTCATATTATATTTACAGAGTGCTACTACTGATCCATGGAAAGTATTTCGACGACGTATGCAAATTTGGGCAGCACAATTACGGGCAAGGTATCGATTGGTAAGTGTATTTTTAAGAGATAATACTGATAATATCATTTTAAAATAACAATTTAAAACTGATAATACTTTTTTGGTACTAATTTGACTAATATATTAATCAGAATAAAAAAATATATATATAACCAATAAATTAATAAATTAAAAAAAAAAATCCTTAGCAAAAGAAAGATGAATATTTTAAATTTGCTAATAATAATAAATAAAAGAGAATAAATGAAAAAAATTTATGAAAAAGAAAAATTCCTTTTTTTTTAAACCTTATTAAATACTTTTGTTTTAATTTAAAATTTTTTAAGACGAAAGAATGATAATAATAATTTTGTTATTGTTTCATATAATATATTAAAATATGTATGTATCAATTAAGGAAGAAATTAAATTAGTAGAAAATAGTAAAATTAAATTTCGACAATTTTGCTGTCGAAAATTTTTAGAAAATAATTTTGTTCCATTTCACATAAATTAAAACAACAAGAATTAGAAAATAGTAAAATTACTTATTGATAATTTAATTTTTTCTTTCTTTCACCAAAATAAAAAATCCTTAAAAAATCTAAAATGGAAATTTTTACAAAGTAATTTGATAACATTTCACAAATGCTAACTTCGAATTTATAGGAATTATGAAACTATAGAAAAAATATGTATAGGAATTATTTTTAAGACACAAAAAGAAATAAAAAGAAAAAAACAAGTAGAAAAGAAAAGTAATTAAGAGTAAATTATTAGTTGAAAGGTGTAAAATAAAGTTAATTTAAAAAAAAAAATATTACTACTATTATTAAACATTGATGAATCAAAATTGAAAGATATTAAAAAAATGAAATTTTGAATTTTTTTTTTTTGAAAGTTAGTAAAAAGTCAAAAAAAAGAAGAACTTGAATAATTTAAGGATAAATTAGAAAAAAGTGAAATTTTAGTAAAAATTTTTGCAAACATTCTAGACTTTTATTGAATCCACAATTAAGATGAGAAAACAAAGGCTTGAATTTTTAATTTTTTATTTACAACTAAAGAAGAAATATTTAAAGTGTATTCTAAAAATTTTGCCAAAAAAAGTGATAGATTTTATTATTTTTTTTTCAATAAATTCAGCTTTAAATTTAAAAATTGAGGAAATTTGAACGAATTAATCGATAATTTCTAATAAATCACAAAATACAAAATGAAAAAATATTGTATAATTCTTGTTAAATTGTTTAAAAAAAATAATTCATAATGCAAATTCTTATATTATAATGGCAAATTAAAATTCCAAAAAAAGACCATAAACAAAAAAAAAATGTTTAAATTGTTTAAAATTCCTATTTTAAATAAAATATATCTCACATAGTTTACAAACACTAATACCATTTATAATTCCTATATTTCTTTTTCATTCCTACTTTCTTTTTTAAGTGAAAATTAATTAATTAATTAATTAGTTAATATAATTAAATACATTTAGATATAATTTATTTATTTCAGTACTACTCGCTATATCCATATGCTTACATCTACTGGAACTATTAATAAAAATTCCCTCTGATGTGTTTGATTCAAAATTAACAACCTTTTAATGATTCATTTTATTCGATCTATATACTTTGTTCCTTATTTTAATTGTGATAACAACAATTTTAATTAAAATCTCATAATTTATTGGAAGAAAAAACGATTAAATTACTTTTCACCTTTGAAATGCAAAAAATTTAGAAATGTTTTATTAATTTTACTTGAATTAACTGAGAAATACAATTCATTGTGAAAGAAAAAATTTTTAATAATTTTTATTTCTAATAAATTTTGTAGTAATTATTACTTCGATGCTATCACTTCTATATTGTGCATTTCAGCCAACTTATTTCTTTCCCTTTTCGTCTATTATCAATTGTTTAAAGAGTTTAAATAATTGTTATCACTACTATCACATAGAAATTAAAACTAGAATTGAATGTAAGACTAAATCTCGAATAAATTGTAATCAGTTCTTCACAGCTTGATAAACATTCCAATATATATTCATTTTAATTTTTTAGCATTTTCATGATTAATCTTTACCATTAAAAAAAATAATAATAATAATGATAATATAGTAAAAGTAAGGATTAAAACTATTTACAGAAAGGTTGTAAATATTGTCCAAAATGAATTTTCTTTTTTTTTTTTTTTTTGTTAATATGATAAGCAGAATTAAATTGTCAAGTGAATACTACGTATTAGATCAACATTTTTTTTTAAACGATATTTCATGAATATACTTTTTTAACTTAATAATCAAATTTATTTTGTTTTTTAAAGTTTACAATTTTTGTCTTCATTTTATGCAAAAGTACTTTTCATCCATTTTTTTCTCATTTCATATGTCCAATTATCTAATTATGATAATCATGTAATTAATATTAAAGTTAGTGGGGTAACAATTTTATTGTAATGTCTTTATAAATTATTATAAGACAGATAAAAAAATCCTTCCAATGAGGGCGAATTAAATTCATTGAGATGATTGGATGAGTATTTAAACTGATGAGTACAAAATGATTTTAATTAGGGCTAATTTGTCACTTCTATTGTGAAAATCCTTTATATCAAAAAAAAAAAAAGAATTCATTTTTACAAATAATTAACTGAGATCATCACCAGAAATTTCACGAACAATTAACTAAGTAATCTTATAACTGTAATTTTTGTCGAAATAACATTGCTTCTTGCATAAGTCAGAATCACTTATCTGATATGTAAATTACCACTGTTCCTCACAAAGATAGAATAATAAAAAGAGAAGAAAGGGAATTAGTTGATGGAAGATACGAACCGGAAATTTACAAAAAGCTTTCAAGAAATAATATCATGCATAAAATGCAATAACTGGTATTTGACCGCCTTGAACACCCGTCCCATTTTTACTGTCAGCTGAGGGAGTGAAATAAAAATTCACAGTGCTATTTTCGTTTTCATCACTTTTCTGCTCCTTTTCAATGATAACTGTAACTTCAGTCATACCCTAAAATTTTAAATCGAAAAATTGAAAACATATCAGAAATGCAAAGGAATAAAAAAGTTTCTTACCGTTAGTAGTAATTGTTAAAATACAGATTTAAAACTCCGAAAAATCATTTAATCAGGATTGATAAATTATTTAAATCTTAATTTAACTTTTACATTATTATTAATTTTTAATGCTTTTATTGTAGTCAAAATAGAAATCCATAAGTACATGAGCCAAGTTTATTATGACAAGAAAAAAAACCCACTTCTTGGCCGAAAAAGCTCAAATCTCTGCCTTCCATTATAACTGATGCTGTATGTCTCACTTCCGGTTCAACCTGTAAAGAAAAAAAAAAAAGAAAATTATAAAATAGAAAATCAGATTTAATTGTTGTTCAGTTAAAAAAAAAAAAAGCTAACGTTACCTGAACAGGATGATTAAAATATAACAAAATTGGTTCTGAACTACCCGTTGAGGAAAGAATTGTCTTCTGACTTTCCAATACTTCATCACCTCTTTTTAATTCCATCTTAACCTGAAATTTAAACAAAATAACACTTTAAAAAAAATAAAATAATCTCCTCTAAAATGACGAATAAAATTCCAGAATTTATGTCAGTTTTTGATATTCTGGAATCTTGCAACAATATCTATGAGAAGGAAATAAAATCAAAAATGACTTTTTTTTTTAAAAGAAAAAAAAACCTCATATTGTGAGTTTTTTTTACTACTACCATATAAACCATAACCAGCAATATATATACGCTGATCAACTAGAAATTGAATACTATCACATCGTCCTCGATAACGCCATTGATTTGTTCTATAAATGATTTACAGATACAAATTTTGAAATATTCTATGAAATGCAAATTTTTTTTTTTTTTTTGTATTAATATTATTTCATATTACGAAAAAAAAAATTTGTAAAATAAATCTTCATATTTTCATATCAAATAAAATTCCAAAGAGAAAAATAAGCAAGTTTTGGTACCATATAAAAAGTATTTATAAAATATACAAACCCTTCCAAAGCTGTCTGAAATCGAAAACATGAAAGCAATGTTAAGCCATTGCGTTTATTTATTAAAAATGGTAATTGAGGCTTTTCTTCCGCAGCAAAATGTAAAAATATATCATTGATTTCCTAAAATAATTTAAATGATTTTTCTTTATCTTCGATATATAATTTCAATATATACATATTTATTTTATTAACTGATTCACTTATTTATACAAATTTATATTTATATATTATATCACTGGAAATAATAATAACTTTCCTGTTCTTCTATACAAATTTATATTTATATATTATATCACTGGAAATAATAATAACTTTCCTGTTCTTCTTTCAACAGGAAAAAAAACAGAAGTTATATACCTGACAAGTAAGCAAACCCATTTTAGCCGGACCATTAGCAAATTCATAAATCGTCATTGCAGGGAAGCGAATGTGATATAAAGCATTGCCTAGTACATTTCGCACATTTACCCGTGAAATAGGTAAATTCCGTCTGCAAAAAAAAAAAAAAAAAAAAAAAGGGAATAGAAGAAAGAAATCTGAATGAAATTCACAATAATCCTAAAAGGATAAATTCAAGATCCAATTAAAATATCGATGAAATTCTGCAATTTTAGAATTTTTAACCTTTTTTAATTGCAAGACGAAGAAAATTTTTTAAAAAAAAGTATAAATTACCTTCCACATTCAGCTTCTGCCCATTTTAAAGCTGCATCATAAACCAATTTTTCTTCGGTAAGAAGAGTATCACGAGATAAAATTTCCTCAAATAATGTAAAATCGATATCACAAAAGGCATCCGACATTAGAACTCTTTCAGCATCCACTTCCACCAATTTCCAGCATCTTAAAGATTGTAATAATTATGTTTGATCGATTATTGGAATTCAAATAAAGAAAAAAAAAATCAAAAAATGAGCATGCTTAGAGTTTTTTAAATACGTTATTTTGAAAGGATTACCTTCAAAATTTTTGATCAAATGTTATTGCAAGTACTTACCTATCCATTAATTCCTGTTCATCTTGGAAAAGTTGGCTCTGAGAAAGTAATAAACAAACATTTTCAGCTTTTAAATTAAAAGTAAGAAAATCAATGACTGCTTGTACCAGATGGGTTATCATATATTTTTTTGCTGCATAAAGTGTACAGAGCGCATTTGAGGAATCCAGTTCAATACTATCACAATAAAGATATCTGAAGAAATTTGATTTAAAAAAAAAACAATGATTAATTACATTACAATTAATTACAACTAGCTATATGTTATAGATTTTAAAAAATTTTAAAGTCGACATTGTAATTAATGCTAAGAAAGTATCAAATACAAGTAATAACAAACTTAAGTAAAATTTTAAATGCAACTGGTTCTACATCTGGTAACTTAATTTCATTATGCTTTTCGAATCCACCATTGAACATAGCATTAAATGGTGCTGATGCTATTGCCAAAACATATGAATGCGCAGGAATTCGCTCTGTATTCTAAAAATTGAACTTAAAATACTCATTAAATTTAAAAAAAAAAAAAAAAAACAAGAAATTAGAATTATAAAAAAGATACAAAATGAACAGAAAAAAAAAGTATTTTGATTATTTCCAAATGATAATACCAACTTCATCGATACCAACAATAAAATGAACATCAGCAAGCCATTCATTAAGATACATTGAAGCATTCCGTTCTCTTAATGTTGGTTTAAATCCATTTCCATCAGAATTTCGTTTTACTGTAAATTTCAAGTAATTCATAAAATTTTTATTGCTAAAATAGTAAGACAAAAATAATTCAATCCAACAAATTATTCTAATTTAATCAAAATTAATGAAATAAAGTAGAGGAAGAGGAAAAAAAACACCTTTGAATCGTTTGTATTTTAAAATTTTGAAACAATACTTAAAATTTGAGTGAAATAAAATTGAAATAGAATTTGAAATAATACCAACCAATTTTTTTTCGTGGAGCACGTGATAATGTGCCACCAACTGGTATGGTAATACTTACACTATTATAATTTTCTTTAACCATTGAAACGAATTGTGGTAGCTGAGATTGTGAAAGTTCCAAATTGTCCGCAAAATTCTTTAAATTACTTATTCGAAAATATCAATTAATTATTAAAACTTTTCTGATGAAAAAATAAATAAAGGAATAAAAAGAAAAAGAAAAAAAGAGAAATTAACCTGTTGATTATAACATTCACCACTGTGAAATGTTATACACTTGATAGATGTTACGAATTGCTGATTACTATTATCACTAGTGTTAGTTTCAAAATTTACGCACTGAAGATTTGATATATCGTCAGCAGATGATACATCTTGTATTCCATCTCCTTGTTGAAAACCTCAAAATATAAAAATTAATTTTTCGAATAATAAATGAATAAAGCAAAGGTCTGTGGTTACTATTTATCCTTCAATTCAATATTACTTAGCTATTTGATACTAACCATATATTTTAAAAGATTATTCTCACTACTGCAAATAAACGGAGCGTTAATTATTCCCTTCCTCAATTAATTTAGATATTATTTTGGAAAATAAAAGAAAAGAAGAAATAATAATTACCTGATCCACTTTGCACTGTATCCGACATTACCGCATATTAGTTTATTTCACTAAATCGACCCTTAAACATAAAGCTGTGAAATAATTCAACAGAAAAAAACTACATATCTTAAGTTATAAAAGAAGCACTTCAATAGCTAATTATCAAATTCTACTCAAATCAAACTTCAAATTATTTAAACATCTATAACCATACTATGCTATAGTTCGATAATTTTTTTATCTTAAGGGTTTTTAAATAGTTATAAAATCGACCTACATCTTACAGAAAATGTTAGTGCATATCATGATAATACGTTATTATATTAAAAAATAATATAACCAAGTAGCATTCAATTATTACTAAAAATTTTTAATTATGATATCTCGGAGAATACATATATATACATATATATTCTGAAAATTCAAATTATTATTTCATACAAACGACAAAATAAAAATCACAACCAATATAAAAAACCCAGAATACAACAAAGGCAAATTAATACACGCATAATGAGCATAATGATATGAAAGTACCATAAATATCAACCAACTAGAAAAGAAAAAAATTTTTTCACAAACTTAATACTTGCTTATTAGTTAATAAAATGAGTGAAATAACTAACATAGTAACTGTTTAAATTGATTGATAAATCATCAATAAACTGCAATAAAAACAAAAACATAAATAGGATATGACAATTAATTACATAAAATAAATAATGGAACAAAATAACTAATGAAAAGAAGATATGATGAATGGATAACAACAATAAAAGAAAAAATAAATATTGAGAGAATGTAATAATTAGAAAATAATGATTACTGATCATAAACAAAATAAGTTACAATTTAACAATAGAATAATTGATCCAGTTAAATTTATAAAATTGCCGTTATCGATTATCATTACCATGTAAGAGGTTATATATCACATTTTGCATTGTGATAAATAAATTATGCAAAGAAATTAGAACAATCAAAAATTTACATTACTATTTTACAAATTATAAATATATAGAATGAATTTTAAAAGATTTCAAAGAAAATGATAACTATGATTGTACAGATGAATTTTTAGCAAAACAATAAATTGTACGGATTCGTTCCTTTGCCGGTTGAAAATTGGATTGCATTGATAATGTTGAATAATAGAACATTAATGCATGCTGATACTTTTCCTGCAATTTAGTTGAAAAATTTTTTGAAATTCTGAAACATCATCTCCGTATTAATACTTCTTTTTTTTATAACTTTCACTTCCCTGATATAACTTTTACTCTCATTTTATACTAATAATTTTTAATCTAACTTTAAAATTCTTTTAAACTAAAAAAAAAAAAATTATGTGATGAGAGAAAGGATATTCATTGCTCTTCAAAACTACTAACTCTAACAAATATAATTCAAATACGAATAATAATAATGTCATAAAAAATAAAACTAAGCAATAACTAAGGATGAAAAACATAATTCACCACTATTAACAGAAAAACATATTTAAATTTATAACTAAACAACTAATATATAAAAAAAAAAATTATAATTTACCAATGAAGCATAAATGTTAGCAAGAGTAAAGTGTATAGCAACAAGTTTGGGTGAAATTTTTAGTGCAAAGCCACCAGCAATTAAAGCACTATGCAAAAGTCCTGCTTGTTGATATATATTAGCCATACTGACTAAAGCTACATCCTGAAAAAAAGGAAAAAAAAATGATCTACAATCTATAGATAAAAAAGAAAAACCTTTTTTTTTTTTTCTTTTCTTTTGTCTATAATTGCTTATTCATTGCAATTGATTTTTGGAATTATAAATATAGATAATTTTTGGAATTATAAATAAGATAATTAGAATTTAGATAATTTTTGAACTACTCCAATATTTTATTTATTTATATTTGCCTAAATTATTACTTTTGAATGCTAACTTTCACTTTGTTCATTGATTAAAAAGCCTATAGATTTTAAATTATTTCATATCATGTATAATAAAATATAAAAATATGAAGTAATTTTTAATCTGTATAAATAAAAAAAAAAACTACTCTCATATTCGGCGGTGCTGAATTCAATGACTGTCTAAGACAGTTAAGCGCATTCACAGCATCACCTTTTACACGCCAATATAAAGCTGAAGCAGTTGATAATGACCAATGTACACCATCTTTGTCTAGAAATAAAAATATCTGTAATATGTGATATTATCTTATGTTATTTCTTTCCAATTAAAATTACTTTCTATAATTTAAATCAATATTTTTTTTAACAATTTACTGAAAATATCATAATGTTGTATAACACAAATTATAGACATTACTAATAGAATAACATGATTGCTTAATTTTATAATTTATTTTAAAAGATAAGAAGGAAAGAAAAAAAATTTACTATGTGCAAATGATAATGCCATTGCATCTTTCAGCCTTTTAGCAACCACCTCAACTCGGTCTTTTTCTTTCCCCAATTTTAAAAATGCCTTAAAATTATTAAATCACAAGAAAAATTCATAAAGCAAATGATAATAGCAATATTATCAAATTTTGAGAAAAAAAAAACACGAATATGAATGGTAACATGACTATATTTGACATGTTGTAATTAGAGATGAATTTACAAGATATACATAGTTAATTAACATTTCATTATCAAAAATTTTGTCTTAAATATATTCTTCACTTTTTTCCTGATAGAAATTTAAAACATACATCTGTTAGTCCTTTTTCAGGCTTGTAATGAATAAATTGATGGCGAAGATGATAAGCTGGTAAATGATCAAGAGTGAGAAGCGGTGAAGATGATTGCAATTCCGGACAAACCGGTTCGAAATCCTCGCTTAAATCAACTGATGCTTGAAAATCAATGAATTCACTCAGATTTACACCTTTGGCTGTGACGGATAGCCAAGTTAGTGTGTTCTGCTCACGAACAACCGCTAAACTCTGAAAGTCAATAATATTCCATTTTCATAGAAGTATTTTAGATCTAAATTTTCGAATAAAAGTGACGAAAAAGAAAGCAAAAACAAACTTAGGTAAAGTTAGCATTGTAAATTAAGAAACAATAACAGCAGTTACCAATGCAATTTTAAATTTTGCTTTCAAAGATAAACCGAAACTCTTACTAAAATCCAAGATAGTTAATATGATTAGCAACATACAACTATTTATTTTCTCAATTCATATGCCTCAATCTTACTATCAAGTTGGCAATTTATTTTCAAGTTAACCTTACTGGCATCACTAAAATTATAAAATAATAGAGAAGAATGAAACGCTTCATTTCATGTAACACTTGTTAATTTTGTCATAAATCATTAAATTTGAAGTGCTTCTCATAACATTTAAATTACTAACCATTTTAGTGTTTGCACAAAAATTACTGTTTGGTGTACGTTTTGATGGCAATGGCATATGAGGGAAGCCACTCGTAATTTGATGTTTAAACGGCAGCGGTAATTGCTGTAATTATATGTTATAAAACCATATAATATTTGTTGGGAATAAATCATTATGACTTTATTTTTCTAAATTTTTAAAAATTTTTAGGTAACAAAAAAAAAATCGAATTGTTCATCCAATTTAATAAAAAGTTAACAAAATAGAAATTTTCATACTGATGGAAGTGGTATATCAAAAGCAATCATTTTTCGTCGTTCGGGAACACGTGCTAAAGTCAATCGACCCTTAAAAAACAAACTTCAAATTACGGAAAGGAAAAAGTAATAAAAATAATAAATAATAAGGGAATAAAAATAAAAAAGCGACAATTAAAAAAAGGAATAGGGAATTTAAAAAAGAATTTAACGGACTTTTGGTAGAGATAAATGTAAAATTATACAAGTACTCATTTACTGCATATAAAAACAGTTTACCTGTGGTATAATTATTTTGTCAACAGGTACATCTATCACCCAAGAATTACTCATTTCATTTTCCTTTTGTACATCATTTTCCGTAAATAGGATCTAAATTTCTCTTTTATTTCGTTTTATTTCTCCTTTTTCTCCTTTTCAAATTCTTTTATCACAAATTCTTTGAACCAGATTATATGTTTTGTTAATTTAGGTAAAAAAAGTGACAGAAATTCGTGTATAGCATAAGAAATATAAATTTGTTCTGCAAAAACTTCAATAAATTAAAATTTGAGTAAACCTCGCTTTGAAAAAAATTTTTTGTTGAAGGAGCAGTCATTTTTTGGATTTTTCGTAAGCTTTCTTCAGCTCCATAATCCAATGGAATCTGAAATATTCTTACTCAGAAATGCAATTCCATTTTTGGTTGAATATGTAAAAAGCAGAACATTCTACAATAAATTACAAACCAACAAAAAATGATAACAAAAGGTCAGTATTCAAAGTAAGGCAAACATAAGTTTGATATTAATTTTAATTCGGAGAGAGAAAAATTTGAGTTAATAATTCCTTATATTAATGTGTTCCTGATGAACATAAGTCTTATGAGGATGAAGAAACAGTACTTCATCAGAAACAGTCATATTTTTCTTCTGTTCAACAATCCTTGTTTGTTTGATCAATTGCTCCTGTACCTCTTTTTTAGTTTCTGTAAGAGAAAAAAAGCAAAAATAAGAAAATTGGAAAAAAAAATTTTTGTTTTGAGTTCAAAATGCACAAAAACCGTTTGTAAAATTAAATTATTTAACTTCAATATCATTTTTTTTCTACCTTTTCTAATTGTATTCTTTTAGCTATTTATTTTTTCTTTGCTAATTTAACCTAATAATTACCAGATCTATAAAATAACTTCTAAACATTCTATCATCCAATATTGGCCTCATTAAAAAGAAGTAACTGTTTGTTTAATGAGAAATCTCTTCAAATCTATTAGTTTAGCAGATTGAATTTGAAACAATAATAATATAGCAATACTGATATACCTTCACCATTTGCACTGCGTGGATTTAACAATAAAACAAAAGGTGCAAACGAAAAAGCACGCTTGCAAGAATCCTGAAATGAATTTTTAATAAATACCATTAAATTAAAGAAATCTCAAATCCAGATCTACACTTGTCGTTACTTTAGTTACTTATCAGTTGCATAGTAAAGTATAGCTTAAAAAAATCATCAAGCTATTTCATTTGATTTAAGTTTATTACTGCTCAAGTAAAAGAATTAAATCAAAGGAAATATTTCAATATTACTATTTTTAAATACATCTCACTCACATTAGTTTTAATATTTTAACTGCATAACACGTGAAGTTCACTTAGGGTATAAATCAAAGAAAATTTAGAAGACTAAGAATTAAGAAGAAAAAAGCAATATCACTAACTAATCACCTCTTTGTTTCTTTTATCTATGTCACAAGTTATTCCAATAAATGCACCTTCCTTGGACATTGTGAAACATCGATCGCTACGAGTACCAAGGCAATAAACATTTGGTTCCGCTTCAGAACAACAGCGCAAATGTAATCGTTCAGCAATTAATTTTTCTTCATTCTAAAAAGATACCATTCCTTTTTTGAATGCATTTATTTTATTTAATTTTACAGTTTTTAATTTAAAAAAATTTTCATAATTTTTAATCAGAAATTAAAAATTAGTCGACCACATATTTTATCTACAAAATTAATATTCAACTTTTTTTTCTATCTTTTAATTTTGTACGAAAAAAAAACCAAATAATTTCAAAAAATATCATGAAATGTCAAAGAAAAATTAGACTTTAATTAAGATACACTGCACAATAAAAAAAAAAGAAAATAAGGAAAGAAGTAATCATATTTCCTACTTTACTTAAACATTTCAGTGCATGAAGTACGGCAACAGCTGGTTCAAATAACGGATCCAGAATAACTGCAGCACGAATATGTGCCAATGCGATAATATGGTTCTTTTGAAGAATTTTTACAATTCCAATCAAAAAATGTGTTATGGGCTAAAAATTTTCTGCAATCAAATTAAAAAAAAAAAAAAAAAAAAAAGAAAGAAACCAACTTTCATGCTAATTTATAAAAACAATTTAATAGGAATTAAAATAAATGATAAAGAAATATTTAGCTTATATCACCAATTTCTTATACTGACCATTATTTCTTGCACGAATTTGCTACTGCACTAAATAAAAAAAAAGAAAAGAAAAGCGTGGAGTGAAGTTACAAGGTAGCCGTAATTGTAAAATAAGCCTAAACTTTTTCATTGTTTAGATTTAGAAATTAATATTGCCACTTTTGATTCCTTAAGTTATTTGAATTCAGCTTAAAATCAATGTATCTGATTAACATTAAAAGTATTTGCAATTGTAAAATTATTTTTTTTTTATACTAAAAATAGAATTTCAATTATAGGTAGAATGTTAAAATGGAAAATTATAAAAAAAGAGAACAAACCTCATTCGGATCAACATGAATAGCATTGTTCAATAGTACAGCAGCATCATTTAGATGATAATTATAATTGGAGCCAGAACGGATAACAATCTGTGCTAATTGCACCAATGCAATATCAGCGTATCGTTCTGACTAAATATAGTAAACGACAATGATAGGAAAGAAATAGAACATATTTTAGATCTGTTAATTTCATATAACAATTTAATTTTAGTCATAAAATTTAAATTCAAGTAATTAAAAGATAAGGGAAAAACACGATACAAAAGATAGTTACATACCTTTTGTATGAGAAATGATATAAAGAAGAATGAATAATAGGATAAGATGAACGGTACAATATAACAAAATGAGTACTACCAAATAACATTGAAATTTATAAGCAATTTAAAAAAAAAAAAAAAAAAAAAAAACAGAAGCAGAAAATTAAAATAAAGATTACAGAAAGATTGCGATGGAAAAAATCGAAGTGAAATACACTATAAAATAACTTACGAAACTCATTTATACTTGTGGAGCAAAAAATAAAAGAAAAAACAAATATAAAAATAAAATTATATTTGTAGAGTAAAAAAAAAATAGGAAAAAAAGAAAAATCTAACAAAAATATCATTCTTATTTAGCCTATCCTTAATTCTAGAAATCTGACAGAACAACATATGCAAGTCACATATGATTGCATGATGTTCAAGAAAAAGAAATTTTAACCTGCATCTGTAATGCTGCACGAAGACATGTGATTGCTTCACCCGGCGCACCAACAATCCGCCAATACAAAGCCGCTAAGTTGTAAACTAACCACTGTGGTCCAATTTCCTATAATTTAATTAGATTAAAATAAGAAAAAATAGAAGTATAAATAAAAAAAAAAGTCTAATAAGAACATAAATGTCATTTTTTTGAAATATGATAATATTTACCAAAATTAGTAACAAGATAAATTATTTAGTCCAAACTCAGCTAAATTCAGATTAAGCCAATTCTGTTCATGAAAATAAATAAATTTTCTGAGTAAAAAGAAAAAAAAAAAAGAAAAAAAACTAACATATCTCATAAGAGTACCGATACGTTGAGCAATATCCGCTTCAGTAATCTTATCATCCATAATTTTCAAAAATACCGCCTGAAGCTTATCTTCCGCAAGTTGTAACGAGGGACCGCGTGCTGCAGCTGCTTGAATACCAGGTAGCTGAAAAATCTTCTGCTAACACGATTGGTAGCATGATTTATTTATAAATTCCCGATTAGCTACGAATAGTTTAATTTTTTTGAATTTTTTGAATGATGATTCGTACTACAACCCTACAAATGGATTCAAAAAGCTAATGTAACACCTTCCCTAAGACCGGCATTAGCTTTGGAAAAAGAAGGATACGGAAAACACAAATTATCTAAAAATAGCTTTCAGCATGCTAAAATACTTTGAATCATTTCAGGATATTCAAAACTGCTGTGCCACTGCTATTAATTATTGCTAGCATTGGAATGAATTCTCCTCTCTCTCTCTCTTCTTTCAGATGAAATTAAACACAGTAAAGATGTCAAGTTACCTTAAGTATAGCTGGTAGCGGTTCCTCAGATACGTAGCTGTCACAAATAGGTGGTTCCCACGGTAATGGATGTTCCTCATCATCATTCAGGCCAAGATATTTGCCAAGTAAATCGGATGACCTAATTTAAAAGCATAATAAAACATAATTGATAATTATCATTTAAAAAAAAGTAAAAAACTCAACATTACAATTAGTATGGAAAGATTACTTGAATCCTTTGTTGTCAGGACTTAAGAACAGTTGCGGAAGCCGCTCCGATGTTGGTAATGGGAAATGCCAATAACTGCTTTCACATAATGTTTTATTAGGCCAACTGCCGCCCAAATAGTTTTCCAGAAGTTTATTGGTTGATGGTAATCTGAAAGAATCTCAACTACTAATATCAGGAATGCATGAAATTATAATTTCTAAAAAATAAACGTAACCAAAATATCCAATATTTTATTAAGGTAAATATTATTCGAATAAAGTCTAGTCTTCATATAAAAAATCTAAATTTCAATTCTATAAACCAATTTACAGCTTTCGTGGATAAATTGGCTTCTCAACTGGCTCATCCATATTCATTTCTTTCATTAGCTTCAATTTCTCCAAAAATATTGTTAGTTCGTAAGAATCATTCAAATTTTCCACAACAACTCGCGCATTATATTTTGGTGCCTGCAATGTGTTTTCTATTAATGCAACTTTATCTGCCTTTGCAATATTTTGAAGTTTAATATTTATCAATTTATTTTACTTAATCTTAACTAACTATTAAAAAGAAAAAACGAATTATGAAACATGAAATTTTTCTAACAAACGATGCGAAAAAACAAAAGAATTCAGCAGAATGATTTAAATATTTCCTTAGCATTGCTTGACTGACTATATCTATCATAAAAACTTTCCTGGTTATTATAATAAAAAGATAAAAGAACATTCCAGTACTCTAAAATCAGTACCACGGTAAAATGGAAATGTGAAATGCACATTAACAATTCTCAGCAACATCGATCATAAAATATTGATCAGTGTACAGAATACCACAGAAATAAGTTTAAATTATGCTAAAAAATTTTTGCTCAAAAATTCATGGCAAATAATTTGAATTTTAAGCTATTATGCAAAAAATTTTTCTAATTTAAAAAACATACATTCTTTGCTGCATTTCGTTTAACACTTGCCACAAGTTTACGATGCTTTTCTTCACGAACAGCTCGATAATTACGCCAATCACTTACACTACAATGCATTACTAAACGACCTGATACCAATACCGAACGGCAATTGGAATCTAGAATCATTGTACTTATTAATGTATGTTAGTATAGTTTGAAATAAAGAAATATATAAACTTATTTAGTAACCCACGAATCTAATTCCAATACAATTATTAAATATAGAAATTTAAATTTTACGAAGTGCTGTTGTATATATTAGAAAGACTTACAAGGCAGACTACCATATGTGAAATAATCATGAATTAAAGCAGCTTGTACTTTTTCTTCAAGGCCTACAACATTTTCTTTTGCGCTTTCTTTCAGCTTCTTTATTGCTTCATGTCTTAAAAACAAAATAAATAAATAATTTAAGAAAAAACTCTATTTTTAGATTAATTAATACTAATCATTAAACTGAAAATGAATAATCAACAATACTCTGCAAGAAAAAATATTGGAATTAGTTATAAAGCAAACATTCTCATACTTGTCATTATATAAATTCTTCTCTCTAATTGTATGAAGCAAATTTCTGTGCTGTTCTTCCATTGCACTGATTAATTTTTGATCGCATTTCAGTGCTGCTGCCTAAAAAATCAGGTGATATTTTTAAATAAATGGATTAAAATTATGAGCCCAATTCATTAATTCTTATAGATATCATAGAACGAACAGATATCAATATTGACAAGGTCCATTCCACTTTATCTTGACCACTGCAATTTAAATTCTTAATTATATTGATTTAAATCGATTTAGACAGAACAAAAATATCATAAGGAATATCATAAAACAAACCTTAACTTGGGCATTTTTCATTGATGGATCAATTGAAAAAGCAATATTGTACTGGTCAATTGCTTCCGATCGGTTTTGTACTAATGCATATGCATCAGCAAGGGCCATATGTATTACAGCATCATTGATTTTCAATAATGCTAACTAAAAAAATTGTAAATAACGATAAAGTTTATTTGGGACTGTATTTTTCATTTGACAGAAAGACAAGCCTGATAAAGAATAATCGCATCTGAGGGATAACCAGCACGATGCACCAAATTCCCAAAATCAAACTGAGTACGAGCTTGCATTTTTCTGCAGAATGTAAAAATTAAAAAAAAAAAAAAAAAACACTATCAAAGGGTTTTAAAATTAGCTGGAAAGCAAAAAATTTAGTAGCAAATAATGAAAAAAAAATTGTTTTTTCAGCTATTCATCCATTTTCTCCATTTTTTAAGGATTTTATTCCCTTTCCCAAAAAAGAAAAAAAAGAAAGAAAAAAAAAAAATGCAGGACGTATAGCTACGATTCCTTGGCACATTTAAATATAATTAAACTGATACAGAATATTTCAATATCAATAATTTTCAGCAAAAGATAGTGTCAGAATTTTTTTGCTCCTTTTCAAAAAAAAAAAAAGATAGAAAAAATGACTCGATTGTATAATTTACTTTGTTGTAAAGTGAAGAGCACGTCGAAAACATTCCATAGCTTTTGGAGCATCACCTTTAATTCTCCAATATAGAGCTGCTAGACGCAAAAACGAATCACTAGTTGGTTTCTAAAATTATTCTCTGTTGTTTATTCGTGAAATATTTTAAAAAAGCTAAAAAAAAGTCCTCTATTTTTCATGACAACAAAATGTTAAAAAGTTAAAAATGACCATTTCTAATGCTTTTGCAACATGGCTACCAAATTCAACGGTTGAATAAGTTGGAGGAAGTAACTTTTGAAATGCTGCTTCAGGAATGATTTTCAGTTTGTCACGCTGTTGCACAGACTGAAAAGGAATGTAAAAAAACCAAGGAAAGGTTTCAAGTAACAATTGATATATTTTTTTTTTTATATTCTGATAAAAAATTGATTCTTTATTCTGATTTTTTTCCTTAATTCTATTGGTTACCAACAGAAGCAATAAGGAAAACTAAGTGTAGAAAATATATTTTAATATAAAAACAGTTTTTTTTTTTTTTTGCTGTAATATTAATATCATACCGGGAAATGTTCGAAAGCATACATACTGAATTGTAAATCATACGTACAATGTGGTTCAACTCTTGGTTTTTGCTTATCATCACCAAATTCAACACTGGCTAAGATCTCCAAGCTGAAAATTTCATGCTGCAAGAAATTAAACGAAATCAAAATTTATGTAGAAACAAGCTTCAAACAACTTAATTTATGTTAATTGAACTAACATTAAGATTCACCATGCTCATTTACCCATATCAACATTAGTTAGCACTAGGAAGTATAAAGAATAAATTATAATAGCTTAAGACCATTCCTCATCAAATTCCTCTTTGAAAAGCAAGTTTGAACTTGCTTTTGCATAAGATCAAGCAAATATGCATTACCATAATAAATCATAATAAAGTTAACATAATATCTTATGTTTATTCAGCTTAACAAAAGAAAGGATGCAAATATAAATCAGAAAAAAAAAAAAAAAGAAAACATGAAATTATCAAAAAGTTTTGAAATACTTACTCCTCAACCAATTTCCCAAGAGAGTATGCTAATAAGAAAGCATCTTTGCTAGTAGACATAAGCCCACCCATTATACAATCTTTATCAGTTTTACGAATTTTCGTTTCTAACTCTGGATCATCGGCATTTTCGTGTACATGAATGTTCTCCTGCAAATAGTATTTCTTTTTAAACACGTAATAGTATCACTAATTAAACTTGAAACAATAATTTATGAAAAATATTACTAACCAAAATTTAAGATACTATCAAATATTTTGGTATTTTATCCATTTTACAGATAGTGTTTTCGTTTCAAACAGTAATAGAGCATAAACAAAACCTCATGTTTTTGAATAAAACTCCGCATATGTGCAATAGTATCCAATTTTCGCCCTTGGTCCAAAAATTGTACCAACGAATGTGGCTGTACCATATGAAATGGTGAATCAGGCTGAAAAGGAAAATTCTTAAACTAATAACTAATAAAAATTAATGAGTGAATTTCAATATGATTAACACGATTTCAGCATTTTTCACTCTAAAATTTCAAGAATAATTTCTTGCTTGAAGTATTTGGAAGTGAAAAAAAAATCGATATGAAAAAGAAACTGTACAAAAAATGAAATGATAAATACTTATACACATAAGATTTTATTTAAAAAACAAAAAAAAAAAAACAAAAACAAAAACAAAAAAACAGAAAACCATAATAATTCATCGGCCATTCAAAACTTTTACTAAAAGGCTTTCAGAAGTATCAAATGTAATTACTTCAACAAAAATGTTCGTGGCCAAGTTTCCACAATTTTTTCCTTTTTCAATATTTCAAATTGTATTATTTAACAGTTACTTTAGTACTTTAGCAAGCATAACTAACAACAGATTTTATTGTAAGTCCATCATCGGTAACCATCCAATGAGTAAAGCATAATCCATCATATAAAAACAGTGGTAGTATAAAGAGAAGGCAAGTCTCGGCAAATATTCCCAATATCATTTTACTTATTACTTCGTTAATGTCTGAAAAAATTTTAAGCAATTTAAATAAGACCGGAATTTTTCCAAATTACATCATTTTAAATACATATATCGTTTGATTGCATATTTCATGCCATTCAAATATAATATATACAAAAGGAAAAATTTTTAATAATTTAACATAAAGTCCGAAATTTTTACAACAAAAGAAACCATGAAATTATATCTTTGCATTCGTCATTTTAAAATTTTGAAATTCTCACTTAAAATCCATTTATTTTACTTTAATTATATGCTTGTATACTATATCATAATAATAAAACCACGGAATGAAATGCATTGATAAAATTTTGATCATTATTTGTTAACAGAATAGAATACTATTCTTTTCACATACTAAATATAACTTATAATATTTGTTATTAACAATGAAATAACAAATTACATAAAGTAGATATGAAATATTAATTAAAAAATGAAAAGTAAGTATGCCAACAAAATAGAAAATACAAATAAAAACGAAGGATAGAAAACCAGAAATAAAAACATAAAAAAAAAAAAAAAAAATTAAAAAAAAATTCAAACACAGAATAAGCAAAAAAAATATTGACAAGAGGAATAGAAGAAAGAAAAAGTATAAATAAAAATTGAGGACTGAGGACTAATGAGGGTAAAATACAAATAGAGAGGGAGAGAGAGAGAAAGAGACAGAGGGAATAACAAATGGAAAAAACTGAAATAAAAAAGTGGAAATAGAAAAATTTTAAGTAAAAAAAAAAACTGAAAATGGGCAAACTGAAGTAGAAAAACGGAAATAAAGAAGTAAGAAGCATAAATAGAGGATAAGAAAAATAGAAGCAAAATGACAGAGGCAGAAAAGCAAAAGCAGAAAAAATAGAAAAAATAGAAAAATAGAAAACATAAATACAAAATTGGAAACAAAAACAACAAGTAGAAAAAAAAGAAAAAGGAAAACAAAAAATGAAATTAAACAAAAGTTTAAAAAATGAAAAAATGCACGTCTCTCGTACTCAACACGTACGTACGCGACGGCCACTTACAGCGGGGTATTTTGTGACTCAGACCACGGGATTAGAAATGCCAAACTGTTATTATTTGGTTAAAATGTTTTGATTGTATTCTGTAAATATTATTATAACTTTTCTCAATATTTCTAGGTAAAAGAAAATTAATTTAATAATTCTAAAATTTTTTAAAATTGTAAAATGCACTGAAATGATACGTATCGTATTAAAAAACTTTATTAATTTTTTCATATGACAAATATAGAAATCGTTAGTACCGTTATTACGTAGAAGTGATAGCATTATATTATATTATACTGATTAATGTTATTATTTGAAAGTGGTTAATACGTGGACGTTGTGTCGTTACTTGATTAGTTGCATTTTTCTTGAAAACTACGCAACGTTAATGCGTCGCATCATGTGATTACGTGTTCACGTGATGAGTTGCATATAGTACTGTTAAGTGAAATTGAGTGGTACTATATATGGCGTACCATCCATTCCGACATGAGAGATTCGTCATGTGATAAAACAATTATTTCCTTGTAAGGAAGGTATAAATAGTAAGGAACATAAAAATCAATTTTTGGAAAGCAGTGAGTAAATATAAATAAATAAGTAGAAGCTTTATTCAGCTTGATTTTTAAATAATTTAAATCAAAGCTAAGAAATTAATAATTTAGGAATAATAAAGTAAATATAAGACCTAATTATTTGGATTGTGAAGTTTTTCGGTATTTCTGGTTTGCACTTTTTCTGTCAATTCAATTCCAGGTAAATTCGAACTTGTATAGGTAAAATAGCAACAATGTATGGACATCAGTCGATTCCACGATCGGTAAGTGCCGGACAGTTGAACGCGATGATGTCACATCCTGGAATGGTGATTACTTCGCAACAAATGATAAATACGGTTTGCTTTATTTATTGTTTTACGGTTACTTCTTGTTATATTTCATTTATTAATTAGCGAGCAGCTGCTATCCTCCTGCAATTACTATCTCTTTTTTAAATATTTTTTCTTATCTATAAGTAAGGAAGTAAACCAGTATGATTTTATATTTTTGAATTGAATTTTTAGTAATTTTAAACTTGGAGAAAATATTCAACATTTCTAAGCTTGCTTCTATCAATTTTTTTTTTAGACTGCTCATTTTTCTCTTTTGCTTTTATTTTTTGAAATTTCGAAGAGATTTAGCAAAAAAGATAAGAAATGGTCGTGACGTATAATGCTAATAAGAGGGTTATTATGGCATATTTTAGCAGTTTCGGGACTTTTCGGATGATGATATTGACTGATTGTTCACATGTAGGTGATGTTAATGATTTGCGTGTGTAGTTTGATACCACAAATTAATTATTTAGTTTAGATCACATATGGCTAACTACTTTAAATCAAAGCTCATCCTATTTTTTACTTTTCAATTACAGTAAGAAATGGAGTGAAATTTTCATTTTTTTAAATTTCAGCCTCAAGGTGTAATGGTTTCTCAGGCCGGCTATCCGCAAGGTATGATCAACACCGCTCAACCACCACAGATGATGCCATCACAGACTCATATAAGTCAACAAATGATAAATACACATATGGGTGTTGTACAAGGCCTAAATCAACAAGGACACATGAACGTACAACACCAGCAAATGCAACAGATGCAGCAAGTTCAGATGGCACCACAACAAGCATATATTCAGGTGAAATTCATATTTAATTAACGCTTTTTTAAAACCTTTTCGACATTATACTGGAAGCCGCAAATTAAAAGTGACCATATAACATGAAATGAATCATTTAATCAATGAATAATTCTTCGATTCCAAACAAATTCTTATGTAAGAATTTATTATATTTCGATCAGTTTTGTCTGGTGTTCTTTATTTTAAGTTGCGGACAAATGATTGGGGCTCTTCGTTGTTGGCAACATAATATTCCAATTCATTTCTTTTTTATTTATTACATAGTAGCTTTTGTTCTCCTGCATAGCTACAAAGTTGCGACAGTTTCTTCTTGTCCTCGTGAAAAATTTTCTTAATTTTTTAATTTTTTGCGATCTTTTTTTCATAAAAATTTATTTTCAAAAATTTTAAGCAACAAGGTATGTCGCATCCAAATTTCGTGAATGGACAAGCGCGGAGTCCAGCTGTTGGACCTGGTCCACAGGGGATTTCAGTAGGTTTTTTTTTTAGATTCAAATTTTAGGAAAAGTATTATGTAGAAAAAACGTTTTTAAAATCCTTATACTTCAGACGTTATTAGATACTTTTCGTTTTTACAGCAACAAGGAACACCAGGTAGACCATCTTCAACTAGTGGACCGCCATCAAATAACCCCCAAACACCCCTGAATGTTATGTCAACCTTAAATCCATCATCACAACAAGTTTCTACACCTGCAACTCCTCAACAAGCTCCGTCATCCGTACAGTCTACTACTACCCAGGATAACATATCAACACCTACCATAGTACCACCAGATCCGGTATCATTAGCCAGGAACCTATTACTGCGAGACCTTCGGTATTCGCTACAAGTAAGTCAACAGTATTACAACTAAATTTCACAAAATAATTTTTATTTGTCCAATCTGGGGATTTTTTTGAAATATTTGTGCTAAATTTGGCTTAAAAACTTGTCTCTTAATCTTTCCTTTAATTGTTTAATCGGATCATTCTTACCCAGTTTTCTATCTTATTTTCTACAAAAACTGCATTTTTCACTCCGTGTTTTAGTTCCTTGAATTTGATTTTAAATCTTTCAAAGGAATGGAGCAAAACAGCTGCTGAAGTGGTACGGCCTTCGACTTTACGGCAGGATGGATCCAGCAGTGCGATGCATAATCCAATGTCTGTGAATCCGCAGTCAGTGAATCCGCAGTCAGTGAATCCGCAGTCCGTGAATCCGCTCTCAGCAAATCCAAGTTCAGTAAAATCATTAGATGAGCCAAAGTCGGTCGAAAATTTGGAAAAAAAGATTTTAAGTCCAAGCGAAGCATATATCAATGCATTTGATTATTTCCTTGGAACATGTGATCAAATTGAAAATGATATTGTAAGTTTTATTAGTAATTTACGAATTCATTGCTTAATGGTTTGCACTGACCATAGATAAGACAGATGATTAAAATTCCAAGATAGAAAATATAAAGAAGGAGTAAGGACGAAAATTTAAAAGAAATGGAGGAGAACGGGAATAATTCATGATATAATTTTAATATTCTTAACAAAACCATACAGCTTTGTTGTGACTTCTTTTCTAATTACCCCTAAATAAAGTGGTGTTATTCTGTACCACACCTAGAAATTACAATTATGTTAAAATTAATTTATCTTGTTGCTTAATCCTCACAGATGGTTGTGCAAGAAGCTCAGAAGCAGAGCGTTAAATTTGATAAAATGTTTGCTGGTGAACTGAAAATAGTCGGTGAAATGGCGAATGTGAATTATTCGCAGTATGCCCAAGGTTACGTGGAATCAACGGCAAGGGTTCGGAATGCGATTACTCGTACTTTGAAGAATCTCAATGCCACAATGGAACGAATGAATGCTGCAAAAATTGTTGGTTTTTATGTTTAGTAATTTAGAAATTCATCTATATTATTTTGTTCGTAGGTTAATGTTTGTACACGAAATTCAATGGTTTATATTTGTTATTTCAAAATCATATTTTATTAACTGGGACTTCGAGCTCAAATCACTGGCTTATCAAATTAGCTACAAAAGATTAGGAGTTTTTGTTTCAATGTTTCAATTTAAATATACATAAAGCAAGCTGAAGTTTGTTCTGTTTTGCAGGTTCAAAAAGATATTGAAGAGAAGATGGCGATGTGAATTTTTTTCGAATATAAAGAAACTTGTATTAAAACATATGTGTTTTGTATTTTGTAAAATTTGACCTTTCGGTTTTAGCGAATATATTGAGCTAACAATTGGATGGTAATATCAAGTTATGCATTTGAATATTTCATTATGGACGCATGCAGTATTAGGAAAG